CTCTGTCAACTTTTCTAGACTCTGTCAACTTTTCTAGACTCTGTCAACTTTCCAACTCTGTCCATCTTTCCCACGTCTGCACGCATCGCACGCATCGCAACAAGTTTTCAAGCAGCTTCACTGGAGGATCTATCGTCCTCCGACTTACCAAGCACCTCTGCCTCACAGACCTTGCAGCTCGACCGCTTGATCTGCTCATTGCGACGTGCTTCTCCAAACAGTGTAATCAAACCAAATGTACGAAGTAGCCACATGCTGAAGAATTGACTGGTATTATGGCACTGGCATACTGTACTATTGGACTTTTGCTGCTGTCGCTGATTTGCACACATCGTAAAGATTCGCATCACTCATCCACACAACATCTAGATTATCAATCGCCGCGAGGCAAACTCTTCTGACAATGAATCTCGACCGTCAATAGCAGCCGTTACCAGCCCGCAATTGGCTGTCCCTGCTTTATACCAGCACGAGTGGAGGCCTGGGGAAAGTACTGAGGAAACGCCTGCCGAAGCCGCGCCTGCTCCTCGTGCATTCTCAGCAACACCGGATCATTGGATGGCTCAGGCGACATCATGGCGTGCATGCTTCGAGGGTTCGGTTGATGGTCCGCAGCATCCAGCATAAGTTGAGATCGTCGACCCCGAGGTGTCTTCTGATGGAGCGACGGAGGCTCGGGAAGACGTACACTGTGCCGTTCGGGGCTCTCTTCGCATTTCCCGACAAGCTCCATTCCTTCTTCGCTATCTTTCTTTGATACGACTCCCACTGGCGAAGTCACTGCTGTGCTGGCTTGTGACTGTGACCATCGACCAAAGTCTTTGAGGTCACGGGATATGGTCGTTCGAGGTCTGTGTCTGGGAGTGCCGATCGTGCCGCGGTTGCCAGCAGCGGAGCGCAATCGTCTTGCACCTTCCTTCTCGAGTGAAGGAGCACGAGTTTTCGAGAAGATGGGCTTGATCACTGCAGAAGAAGCGCATAGGATGCCTAGATTGATCTCCACGAACGACCATAGGCTAATGACGGCAGCATCCCGCATGGGCTGTCGAGATTGCGTGAAAATCTTGATCGAGTAAAGTCGAATACAGCTTGCTAGAGTTCCGCCCCCGGCTACAAGGAACGCGGACAAGATGGCTATCTTCTGACGCCTATCTCGTGGGATACGCCAAATTATTGGGATGGGTAGCAGAATCATGATCAAGTCCGTTATTATTGTAAAGATACTGGTAGCTGCTGACTGTCAGAATACAGTGCTCACGTGGACGCATTCAGTCCACTTACAGTAGAAGAAGGCTGTAATATCGATACATGTGCCGGGAGTACTCGGCGTCCAGTACTTGTGGATCGGCACACACTGCGTCGCAACGACAGCTATCGTTGTGATGAAATGCAATATTAGGAGCACCAGAAGTCCCACGCTGGCGTAGAAGAACCACCCTCGCAGTTCGGCAGCAAGCCTCAGGTACAAGAACATCAACGACAGCTTGATGCAGAATATTGTCATGTAGTAGAAGATCTCGTCGGTGTATATTGCCTACGAGAAGCGTCAGCTTAGCCAGGATGGCAACGACATCGAGCTGCATCTTACCTGGATGGCTTTCGTTGCCCAATTGACAGGAACATCGCCTAGTTCTAGTCCGACGCCCCACCGAACAGAGACGAAGACTGCTATTGTGAATCCGGTCGCGCAGCCAAAGGCCGCGAACATCGCGTAGTCATCGTATCCGATCTTTCGCCGCCGTTGTACGAGAGTCAGGACCCGACATGTGATTGCGAAGATGCCGACTAATGTAAACAGAACACCTGGTCGGCCAACATTAGTGTCTTGTGTCCTTTTTGTCTGGTTGGTATCTCGCTACCTTACCGGCGGCTACTAGTCCTGCTCTAGGCCCTGGAAAGGACCTTGTGTTCTGTACGGCGGGTATTGGTTTGACGACAACTTTTGCTGTTAGACGTTGCAGTCCTTCTTGCACTTCCTTTGGCACGATCATGATAGTCGAGTGCCTTGAGCAGAGCTGTAGGATAGTATCATCCAGGAGTTCCAGCCGTTATCGAGTCAGGTAGGCAGCGGCACAGCGACATGAGCAGCCAGTATCGTAGAACTGAAGGAAGAGGGGACCGAAAGAGGCAGCGACCAATCCTCCACCGTAACGAAGGGACAGAAGAAGACGTCACAAACGGATTAGAAAAACCGAAAACAAGAAAGAAAAAGACCCTCCTCCGATCCGATCCCCAAGGTAAGGGAGGAATTGGAGCAAACACCTCCAACAAAAGGTGGCGTCACCAGATACTTTAGATATTTTGCATCGACCATCGACTACAGGCAGGGACCGATGATCATCACTCAGGGCAGAAAAAGCTACTTGCGGCTCCGACTCAAGAAACCATATGACAGGAACGGCAGATCCTCTTTCTTGGGTGAGCCTATGGTTATTAGCTTTCTGGCCAACTTGGGGATGGGGAAGGGTCCGCTGAGCTTATGAGACGGACGCTATGGTGCACGTTTACAGTGCCACTGGGTGAGGTGAATTTCATTGTTGGTTGGAGATTTGGATTTGATGGCGAGTCGTACTGTGAAACGATGACAGGTTCGACGAGAGCAGGGGTCGGGTTTGAGAAGTATTTTGCCATCGACGGGCTAGCGTTGTCACGCTGGTCTTGAGCTGATCGTGAAGATAAGACTGCTAGAATGCGGGCTGTATGTTTGTCTGCTGGAACGAGTCTAGAACAACACGCACAAGCGACCATAATTTCTGTGCTCGAAATAGCTTCTATCTAGACTCGCCACAGGTCACATGGCCAAGTCGAACCAGCTTTGATTTCGATTTGGAAGACCGAATGATCGCCGTGCGCGCAAAGTCCATTGCCAGAGCCGCATACGCTCTGTCTGCGATGTGGTCCGCAGTTCAGCAGGGAGCTGACCACTCTTGAAATCACCAATTACTGCGACATTGCCCTGTGTCCCGAGTGTGAAGCAGCTCCAGCATGCTCGCAGGGATCTCCACGCCCAAGGTATGCGCATCATTTGTATCGATCCGATGAGAACCTGCGAAGAGCCTTATAGGCGCCGTACGGGGGAAACTTCTGAACTGGAGCTGCAGTGGTTTGCCACTGGTATCTATGTATCGTGGTCCACTCAGTGGAAAGTGTGATAATGATGTGGCGGTGCTTCTTGCAGTCTCTTCGAAAAAGTTCCCAAGACTCGATCGATGTAGCAAGCTGTGAACTTCCAGCCTTTTTCCGACTGAGATGCGGCAGTTTCGTATTATGCCACGAAAACTCCGGTTGATAGCCTTTGAAAGGCGCGAGCAATGTACTCGACAGATCAACCGCGAATTTTCTCCGATCACCAGAGCCCATCGCAGACACGATTCCAGACTCCATATCTTGTCGAGGTACCCTGGTCCATGCAGCACTGAAGAGCGAATCCGAAAGAGTGAAGTGCCATGAATCGCGCATCCTCTGACATGACGGGGAACCATAAAGAACGATAATACCAATGGCGAGCCGTCTCTGTTCGGTTTGACTTCATGTCTGACACTTGTCATGATTTTCTCTTTCGCTTGATGTGATGGATTTGCAACCGATGCAGGCAAGGCTGTCGAGCTGCTCGTTCTGTGAGGCGCAATTTGTGTTGAGTGTTGCCTGATCTCATCAAGAAAATCATGCTGTGTTGTAGCGGCTTCGTTTCCGGATCTGTGGACCATATTTGTAGAAGACGAACGGGATGGGCAACATGGCAACGCAAATGAAGCCAAGGAGTGATGTCGCCCAGTCAATCCCCAAACGTTCGTACATCCTGTCCAAAGTTAGCTCATATTACTCCGACATGGGATATCAGAGGTCATACTGGACTGCGAAAAGGGGAAACACTGCCCCTGTTGTGTATCTCATGAGGCCATTGGCTGCCATTGCGCTTGCGCCATTCATCGGGCCGTAGACATCCATCAGATACAAGACCGATGACAGGAACAAAGCCATATTACCGAGTGCGAAGGGGATCCCGGAAAGAATTGGCACGATCCAGTGAACGTCGCTGCGAGCAGTCCAGGCGAACCAAAAGAGTCTGCGTTTCGTGTCAGTAAAAGACTATCGAGGATGGGTTCTGAAGACTGATCCTACCCAATTGGCAATGCGAATGCACCGATCATGCCTGGGTATAAACGTTCCTCTGGTGGTAACATGGGTCTGCCTTGAGCCGCTGCTACTTTGTGCTTCTTCAAGTAGATCAATCTGTCACACGTAATGCTGACAGCAACGCCAGCAATCACGCCGACGCCCACTGAACCAAATACCAAGCCGTTCTGCCATGTATTGAAGTTGTAGACCGTGGTGAATGTGTAGGGGAATGCAGCGAAGAACGAGAAGAGAATGGCGAAAGCGAAAGAGTTGTACACGCCGAAAAGAAACACGATGGACTCAGTGAAGATCATCGTGACAGGTCGCCCAATGGTCATCATCAAAAGCGTCTTGAGATATCCAATGCTGAACACATTAGGTCCTGGTGGAGGTTTCAGTCCCAATTTCTTGGCGCGTTTCTGCAGTATCGTCTTCTTGTAAGTTTCGTGCATTGGCAGGCAGGTGAGATAGGCGACGCCAAGAATGATGATCATGCACCAGATTGTCCACTGCCAGCCTCGATACTGCGCAGCGAAACCCCCGATGATGGGTCCGACTAGCGCGATGTTAGTGCCATTTTGGCGACCTGATTGTGTTCGTAACAGGAGTGAGGTGACTTACGTCCTGGGCCCAGGAAGGGCATCATGATGAACAACGATGAGGAAAATGCACGATCCTTAGGTAGGAACGTGTCGGCATTCGTGCCCGCACCGACCGCTAGCACTGGACCTCCAGCAATTCCAGCAAGGATTCTAGTCACACAGAGACTGGCGAAGGATTTCGAGAGCCCTGAGCCGACGAGAAAGAGTATGCACACCGGGAGAGTGATCTTGTAAACGATTGATCGCCCATACATCTCCGAAACAGGTGCAGCGATGGTAGGTCCAAGTCCAAGTCCAATCACGTACAGCGTAAGTGGTAGGATGGCAACCGTTCTCGAGACTCCAAAGTAGATCTGTAGGTCCCGGTTTGCAGGGGTGATTATCGATGAGGCTGCTGTCACTGCAAAGCCGAGAAAAGCGACAGGCCAGAAATGACAGGCCTTCTTCAGCAGACTCCACTAGACACCATGTCAGCATGGCTCCGAAGCGAAGCATGTACGAGACAACGCAAATCAAAACCATATGGGCGGGCCAGATACAACCGAAGGGGGATTCATCGAGGCAACAAAGGACAGTCCTTGATCACACTGCTTACATTGAGAGGGTTCTCGGGGTCATCAGGCCCTGACCAGTCTTGCGCAGTAACAACTCGTGTAAGCGGTGGGCGTTCGGCGTCGGCGGCCTTCGAATTCTCTCGAGCGTGGTGCTCAGCGCCCTCTGTACCATCTTCCGTGCTGCCCATTTCGTGCGCTTCCAGAGCTGATTCGATATCTGATTCCGGCGGAGCGGGCTTCTCCGTATACTCGCGCGACTTGTAGGTCGTGCTCGTCATCTTGTGCTGTTGTTGTCGTTGCGCAGCAAGATGTGTCTCGCCAGCTTGGTCAGTGGCTTCTAAGCTCATTTATGTGCGACTGTCGCGCGGACTAGTGAACTGAGCATTGCGTGATCATTCACTTCCAGCGCCCTACGTGCGAATATGTACCAGCACACGGAGCCGCGATCGCGGTGGAGCTGTGCGCCACGCGACGTTGGTGCCGAGGGCGGCTGCATGGCGCTAGTGCATTGATAGCGTAGTGTCCCTTCGACCCCAGATGTGGAAACACGATGGCTATACCAAGTCTCCATCATAGACGGATCTGGTCAGGCAGTCGACGCAAAACTGAACTCACTGTTGAAATGTTCTCAGCGTTTCACTTCTATTGCATCTTCACTGACCGGGCTCACATCACGGGCATATCTCGCGTTCGCTTCGAGCTCGGACTTGGCTTGAATGTGAGGATTTCCTGATCACTCATCACTAATGTGGTCGGAAGATACGCGCCGGTCTTGGAATATGGCGATTGGAGCACCTGGCACAGTCTTAATGCTTGTGCGTGAATCCTCAACGGCATGCTGAGCAATCCATTTCTATGGCCGAGGGTGAATAGTCATCAGCCATATGCTGTCGCTATCGGCGTGCTGCCATCTCTCCCTTTACCATCTACTCGACGCTGCAGAGAATAAACTCTCTTCTCTTCTGGCTGAAGTCGCTTTGCTTCTTCAAACTTTTGCCGGCTCCCCACGTGGATTCTTCGCGCATACTGTGCTACGGCCGTGCAGTTTGAGGCATCGTGCATCTTCGGTCTCCATACTGGGTCTTCTGCGGTCGGACGCGGGCGGTCAGGGCATTTTGCGGCGGTGTTATGCTCTCATCTTCATAATGCCCGCCTTGTAGAGTCTTGCATTACTTTGTAGGCCTTTCACGAAGAACGAAGTGATGTCTGTCATCAAGCAGGGGCAGGATTTGAAATGGCTCACCAGGATCGGAGCTCAGGTCCGGTGCTGACATCACTTCTCTCGATTGGACGCGACTGCTGCACGTTTTTGGTCTGCAAACTTGCAGCGATCGCAGATGCACCAGCTTTCGCTGTCTCACTAGAGCTGGGCAACGCGTCAGACACTGGCAAGTCTCGCTCTTCTCTTGCTTCTGACCTCTGTCACAACGACACAAGCAAGCATTGTAAGCAGGAAAGCTTCGCACACCTTCAAACCACCAGTTTCCGATCTCACTGAATTTACCACTATCAGCTTAGCATCCATTAAACGGGAGACATGGACTGCGGCTTCATACCCTTACCGCTCTGTATACAATGTGGTACAGACCAGAACCCGTGCAAAGTCAAGTACGCATGCGCAAGTCAACCTTCCGATACACGCCGCTGACCTCGATCGACCAGAGTGGTGGGCCCGACACTAGGATTCATCATTGGAGTGTGCATGGCAGTAAGAGAATAGGACGAGGTGCATTCGGGAAAGATGGCTGATGGAGGCTCGGATAGATTGTATGCTGGCCAGCTGCCATCTTGTGTTGCTGTTGTGCGACAGACATGGGCAAAAGTGGGTGAAAGTTGAGGGCAAGTAACACCGCAGGCAACACTGACGACCGCAGGAATGCTCGGAGCGCCAGCAGATACATCTCAAGCAATAGGGCACGCCATCCCGTTTTGAATGGGTTTCGGAGCTTAGAGAGTGGCATTGCGATTACTGCATGATTTGCACGATTTAGCGGATACGGTACCAGAAGCCCAGCAAGTACAGCATGCACGAGATCGGAATAGTACGCCAGATGGTCCTGGGACAGTACGCAAGTGCAGTGCGGCTGGGTTGTCATCAGACATTGGCTCTGGGAAGGTGGAGTATCGCGGCGACAAAATTCACGGCCTCGGTGTGGAGCACAAGCAGACTGCAGTGTTGTGCAGCACTTCGATGACATAGACCTCCGACAGCAGCAGCTCAATGACACAGCCCGAAAAATCACATCTCGCACAATGCAGCACTTTGCGCTCTACAGTCGCCAGACCGTGAAGACAGATGAGAGGTCTAGCCGTTGAGCGAGCTGCACTTCACGCGCGCAACTGCTGGTGACGCTAATGTAGCCGCTGCAGGTGAAGGGCGGGTTACTTCACTGCCCTTCTACTATAAGCAACAGTACCCATTCAGAAACACGCGCTCACTGACATGGACAACAACAACCACAAATGGAGCGCGAACAGTTCGCGGAATCGGCATTGATGCCACTAACCTACGAGGATGGACTCGAAGAAATCGATCGCTTCTATCGCACTCCAGAGCCAGCGACCGAGCGCGAGCACACAAGTGCAGATCATGTACTTGACGAAGGCGGAGAGGAGCTGCACACAACTGCAGACGACGAGTTCAGCACTTTACTGCCGGATCTTGAAGCAATGGAAGGCATCGAAGCCGCCGCGGGCTTCGAGCCAGTCCTAGAGAAATCAAACGCCAACAAAGATGAGCACCGCAACGAATCACCAGCTTGCAACAACGACGATAGTCACGCAGCGAACATTGCAAAAAGCGCTGCGATGGCGCTCACCGGCCAGACTCCCAGGGCTTCTTCGCCCACTATACCAATGGACCTCTTTGCGTCCGTGAAGAACACTCCTGGTCCAAGCCACAGCCCGATGCCGCCGTCCAGCAGCAACCGTAGCGACCTCCAAGCGGAGATGCGCGATGAAGAGACGCAGCAAAACTCGCCACTCAGTACACCGGGCGCCGTGCCATTCTCTCTCGCCCGAGACAAGGCCAACGCCAAATCGAAGCGAGATGCTTCAGCGTCGCCCTTGGCCACTCGTCGACCAGCGAAGAAGGCGAAAGAGGCTGAGGCTGAAGGAGCAATTGTCTCGCCCGCGACCCTTGCTGGAACCCCAAGCGCGTCCTCCATACCGCCCCCTCGCTTTGCAAAGATGGACGAGCTGGCTTCTGGTGCTACTTTGTCTGCGGCAGATGCGGAAATGGCAGAAGGCCAGCCAGAATCAGATTCTTCGCGATCCGCACACGAAGTAGAGGTCCGCAGTCCAAAAGCCGCTCAATACGAAGTGACGGAAGATGGCACCCGTCGCAAATCTTTGCTGGTTGCCATGCCTCTTCCACAGAAGAATCGCCGCGGCAAATCTGTTGCCACGAGCGACGAACCATCCAATTCCCAGACTGCTCCACCAGCTTCAGAGGCAACCTCGAAACAGGAGGCCAGTCAAGCACCGTCCAATAAAAGCTCACTGCGTCCAGAAGCAAAGGGTGCGCAAGATGATAAGGCAACTGCCCGCGAAGGTGCCAACGAAGCAAAGAAATCTGCTGCTCGCACCAGAAGGACAATGGGCGCGCACGAGCTGAAAGACATCCTTGACACGAACTCGCGCAAGGGTGTCACGGGTGGTATGAGTCCACACCGCATGACGAGAGGTCAGAAGCAGGAGAGAGAAGCGGCGGGACCAAATGCGAAAGAGGCTGTGAAGAGACGCCGGAAGTCGAGTGCAAAGTGAGATTGCGAAAGATGGGAAGCATGAGGTGAAGGAGCTGTCAACTGAACAGAATGGAACTCACTGTCTTGGCGGCTAAAGACTGTTGCCAGTTCAAATCCTAAAAGATGCTTTGTCTACCGGAGGATGTCTATGTACATCGCAGCCAGCGATGCAGCCAAAAGCTTCTGTTGAGTAGGCTGACGCTCCGTCACCCTTTGATCAGACTCCAAAAATGTACGCTATTCGCAAGCAGAAGCGCAAATCCGCTGATCCAGAAATCCTCGCGATGAAAGGGTCGAGCTCGTAGGATATCCCAAACTGCTGAATTGTCGCAATACCACATTGATACCAGAATTAAACAGCTTCGTAATGTGATATCCCATAGTGCTATGAGCCCTGGTATACCCATTGCAAATCTTTCTGCTAAGAAGATTTTGAGGACAATTCGTCTGTATTGTGCTATGTGGGTTGATTGCCGCACATATTGATCCATCTCAGAGAAATGGAAGGATCGGATGTCCGAGATTGTGTATTCTTCGTCGGTCGACTTGCGAAGACTTTCCGGGTAGGCGGCTGCAGGTGCTGGACAGCGGAGGCGGCGGAGAAGTTTCCATCGTATGTTCTCGAGGAAGCCAATGCGAGGCGTGTCTTCGGTCGTGAATTGTGAAGCGTGTTTCATGGCGTGGAGCAGGTCAGGTAGAGCCGGTGTACCATCTATAGTTACCGTTCGGTTCTTCTCGTCTGTGAACAGACATTCCCGATCGAAAGCCTCCTTGGCATGAGCATAGTGCAGAAAACGGCTGTAAAAGGCCGGGGAGATGACTTTCAGAGTCAGCGTGCTGTCGTGATCTTCTTTGTACGTGAAATTTGTTGAGTATAGCACAATTTCCTCGTCATCATAATGTGCGGGCTCGTAGATGACTCGTAGCGGTCGGTCGGCGTGCTCGACGCTTTGTGTCAGGAAGTCTCGGAAGATTTGCTCAAGAGCCTTTTCTTCGGAAGTGTATGCTCGGCCGATACTGGTGGTACCAACGACCTCTGGTCTGAACCACACGTGGAGCTTCCGTCGGAAGAAGAGTTTTGCTGCTTCCCAGACAATGCGCGGAAATGTGGCAAGGCCTACCCACCACCACACCGCGATGAACTTGGTAAGTTGCCAAGAAGTGATCTTTTCTGGGTCTTCAGGATTGCCCTCCGAGAACACGCGTGCTACAATTTTTGCGTGTTCTTTCGAAGATTTTAGGACGATGGTGTTGTCGATCGTGATGTGGCCGGTCTCTTCATATGCTGCCAGAGGATCAATGGCGCGCAGCGAGTATGACCCTTTCCTGCTGTTGAAGGGTGAGACGTGAAAGTCCTTCTCCCATGAGTCTGTAAACAGCTTCGTTGTGCGCTTTTCCACATCATCGCCCTCGGTCTTAGCAGAAGCATCCGATCTCAACAAATACAAGCGTCTTTCGTCAAATGTGTTGTTGACCTCAATTACCATATACTTCAGACTGGCATAGGAGTCATAAATGTAGTAGAACGAAGCAGGATTGAACGAGTAGGACAGCAATCGCGGCGCGGTAACCAGATAAGCGAATGCGTAGTCTCTACTTGTCACGCCTTTGGTATGCAGAAATCGACGCAACTTTTCGGACAGTGTATGCTGGTCTTCGCCACTCCGATGCAGGTAGTCCGCAGCACGGACATCGAACCACCCGGCTTTCGCACTGTCAACGGACAAGACCGAGCCAATCCGGCCTGTGAATTCAACAGGAACTCCAACAAACAGATAGCTGTACGAGAAGGAATGCTTTTTGGGAAACATCCGAGAATGGGTCGTGCGACTTGGTATTATCGATGGTGGCAGAAGAGCTTCGTCGATCCGTTGGCTGCGCAAGGCATGGCTTGACGGCCGGGATTGCAGCTGCTGCTCACGGAATACGATAGATCCAGCAGCAGCACCACAAATGGCCAGAAGTGCGAATATACCGAAATAGATCTGCGTTTCCCGATTGTTCCAGTCGATCCTTATCAGTCCTTGAATGCTGGGCAGAGTCCATGACCGTGTCCACCAAAGCCCATACATGTTGTGTAGGGCGAGAAACAGTCCGAGGTCCTGCCTCCAAGTCAAGTCACTTTTCCACATGCGAAATATCCAAAGAGGCTGGAAGAGTAGTGTCCGGACTGCAATGGTCTTGTGAGGCTCGGTGAAGATACTCCATAGGAATGTTGAGAAGGTCCAGAGGGAAAGAAGGAGTGTTGACGTCGTGCCGTCGTGTTCTGGTGGCTTGGCCTCCACCTTTAAATCTACTCCCATCTGGCGGAGTCTTGTGAGAAGCTGCCCGCTCTCACGACTGGGCTGTTTTCATGATGAATGTCGTGGATAAGAATGATGTCGGTTGCCGGTGCAAGATGGTGACAGCAGGAAACAGAACCTCGAAACGAGGTCAGATGCCAAGCCCGCTCATTCGAGACCTCTAAGTTAAGTTAGTAGTGTGTCACTTCCCTTCCTTTTGCTACCTCCATCGACATCTCAGTTTTGCATCCACGGCCAAATGCCATCCAGAGTCACGTCAATGGTAGTGCTGTGTGCTGTCAGCCCAAAGCTATCGCTGAACCACTGCCGTGAACGTCCGCCGCGCCAGATGAAGTCAGACGCCACTTGACTTCGACTCTCTGGCTGCGGTTTGCCTTCGAAAACATTCAACCACCTCGCTGTGCAAGGTGCAAAGGTCTGATGCGGTTGTCCGACTGACTGACGGCTGAGTGTAACTGGTGGTTGTTACTGCCCACTGAACCTAGCCGAACTACCATGAAGCTCCTGTGCGACCTCTCTGGTCTCCAACTCATGCCGATAGAAATACTCTCCATTCTGCAATTCCGGCATCCGCTGTCTGGTATCGACCTCGTATATTTGGTACTCGCTTGCGTCAACCTCACAATGTGAGGCCGACGATGAGCTCAACTCCTTCACATTGGTGGTTCCACCTTCATTTTCACGACTCATCTTTCGAGATCTTCTGAGGCACCAGAGCAATGCGACGACACAAAGGACTGATACCACGACTGCTAACGCGATAAGCCCCGCAAGTTTCGCTGTGGTGATGTGGGTGCCAGCGTCGCCTTCTGATGGCGGACGGTGTATCGCTGTCAGGCGCTGCTTTACCGATGAGTCCGGGAACAATGCCTGGGAGACGGAAAAGGTCCGACGATCATAATCAGCAATAACATATGCTTCCTGCAAGAAGGTTCGCCCAAGAAACAGCTGACTTGCATTTTGCGCTTGCTTGATCGGAAACCATCGCGTAGTATTGCTGACAATTGGCTCTGAGAGCACCTGATCGAATGCTGCATATGGGAGGACGATATCAACGGTGGCACCCGAGTCGCTTCCTGGATTCAGTCAGTCCTACTGTCCAATAAATTTGAGGTGTTGAACACACCTGACTGGCCGATTGTAAATGTGAAGCTTGGATTTTGAGCTACGAGAGCAGCATGCGCAACTTCGTCGACCAGGTACAGCTGGCCTTGAGGATTCCAAGTCAAATTGAACTGCTGCTGGAAGGCATTGCAGGTCTCGATTGGTAACCAAATTTCTGTCACCAGAGAATCGATGAAGATGTCAACACTACTCGTCAGCAGTGGTGACGCACCAGCGGTGTCGTATGTGATCGATCTCAAGCTGACAGTCAGGTCGCGCGATACCATGGAATCAAAGGCGAAAGTCTGGTTGTTTGTCTGAAAGCGGGTTTCGTCGTAGCCGCCAAAGATCAGGCTTCCGAACACGTCACGATAGTACGCGCCGGCTGTGTAGGCCCATCTGCATTCACACCTGTCAGTCCCTGCCGAAGATCACAGGTCCGGAAAACTCACGATGATGACGGAACCAGCGACTGGTTGACCAGTGCACCCAGCACGCTCGATTGGGGATCTTGCAGGTTGGAGAAGTTCGTCGGAAGCGGGCTCAATCCCAGTGAACCCACGAAGTATTTGTCGTCCCAAACGCCGGCAACGAGCTGATGCTGCAGAGACGGTAGGCCAGACCCAGGTATACCAAGACCGACGGTGTCATAACCATACGAGCCATTGCCATCTCGTCCAATCTGAAGTTCCTCATCCGCAGGTAGGTTGTAAATCACTCCGTCGACACCGTTCTCTAGTCCTTCTGTGGACCATGAAGAAGACCTATTGCTTTCGAAGAGGCCACCCCGGAGATCTGCGCATTTCTCGAGCGAAGGGTTGACTTTACTGCAGCCGGGATCTATGATGACCCAAGGCGCGCTTCCTGCATTGGCTGATGTACTTGGTAGAACGCGAAGGAGTTGAGGTGGAGTACCGACTTGAATGTTGAAACTTGACCATCGACCATCAGCGCCATCCCAGGAAAAGCTGGGGCTGATGCTTAACGGCTCTGGCGCAGACCTGCCGAGCACTGCTGTGATGGAGACACAGAATATTGCTGCGACTCTGCAAGTCACCATCATGTCGAGCATTTGTTGGTTGTCCGAGCAAGTTGGCTTGTGTGCTCGAGCATGAACGATGGACTCCGAAACTATGGAATTTCACATCGGAGACTCCCGAATGCGACTAGGCTTTGAAAGACGTGAAGTCCGTGGTGCAGGATGCATGGCCCTGTACCTCCCTTTCGGCCTGAATATCGTCCTCGGTGAACTCTAAAACATGTAGAGCTGACAACTGCACTAGTCCACAAATGGCATCTTTCCTTTGTGGCTTTCAGCTGAAACGCTCAGCCACGATCCATCTGAGGCCGCAACCTACGGCCTTTGGCCAATCCCATCACGGGTACGGTTGTTTTCAGGACAAGCTCGTCTGCAGTCTTGTCCCGAGAGCTTCCCTCATCTTGAGCAACGCTTCCTACTGGCGAAATGTGGTCTCTCACAGCTTGCATGCTTCTGCGTGGCGAACTCAAGGTTAGATCGACTTTGGCCAGTCACCTAATGTGCCCTGTCAGCCCAGCACTGCAGGTTCTTCTCGACCGCGGTACGGAGGGCAAGGCACAGCATGATGCTAGCGAATTTCCGGTCGCCCCTACATGTGCTATGCAATCCTTCGAGAACCATGGGCGCTGCTTGGCTTGCTCGCCCTGAATGGCGTAAACAAAGGTATTAGACTTGTAGAAATCGCCATCAGTCGCACTGCCCTTGAGACAGCAACATCCACGACCAGCACCTTACAGGGCAAGTCAAGCAGCATCAGGTCGACGATGGGTTCTCGAAGCCTTCTTCTCTGGGCTCTGTTCATGTTTACATGCAGATGTACCTCCTCACAGTGTAAGTGCAATAGTATCGATATTCACGATGGATCTGGTGCTGATCCGAAACACTCAGACTTCAACACGACGCAGAGAACTGTTACGAGCGACAGCGCAGAGACTACATCGTCGGCAGACTCGAGATATATCGCACCTTATGCAACACACCGCAGATATGTCTGGACATTGGCTACATGGCGCGGGATAAATTCTGCTGTCAATTTCGTCACTGTTGGAACAGTTTTCGTCGGCGTTGACCCGGCAGCCTCTACTGCTTCGACTACCACGATCTTCCACTCCGAGTACCGCAATAAATCGGTAGAGTTGTGGACAAGAACGGACACCAACTCCGATGGAACTGTCACAGCAACAGCGACAGACTTGAGTGGAAGGGAAATCACCTTGTAAGAGTGCACTCCTACATCCAGCCTTGTGCTAACATCTCTGTAGGGCATATCCGACAGCCTATAACACTATTGATGCCCGCGTCACATGGGCTGTCCTGACACCTTCCAAAACCGACAGCTCCACGTGCTGCTGGTACAATTTTGTGTCCGCCACTCCTCAAACTCCGATAGTATCTCCAGCACCGAATACAGCCGCCGACGTTGATGATCCTCAAGGACTCAAATATACTCTGACCTACCTTTCCAGAGACAACCGCTATAATATTCCGAATGAGCAGCTGCAGTTTCCCTTGCCGGCTGCTGTTACTGATGCGCCTATGTGCATAGCAGATCTCTGCGGCATTAGAGGTGGCGGAATTCCACGAACACACATCTCTGTTGGAACCACGCAATCGTATCTCTTGGCTACAACGACGACCACGCTGACTGGTATTGGAACTCAGTTTCAAGTACTGCCTACGCCTCAATTGCCGCATCATACGTTGGCCGTGGTGCCGGCTCCCACGATACCCATCGTCACCAGCAGCCCCGGCACACTCGCTGAGAGTCGTGCGGTGGACGAGCCTGCAATACCGACTTCACAAGTCCCTGGTGATGCTTCAGTTCATGGTCCTGGTCCGCAGCAACCACCACAGAAAAGCGTCTCTCAGTCTTCACCGTTACCGATTACCTTCAACTCTGTCACCCTTCAACCTCAAGCATCAGCTGTGATTATCGAGGGCCAAACGCTTACCCTTGGCTCTGCTCTAACACTAGGCTCTGGACCTTTAGCGACTACCGTCGCTCTGCACAAGTCAGACTCTTCCATCATCCTCCAAATCAACGATAAGGCCTCCACTATCCAGTTGTTTCCGACTCCGAAACCAGCACTGATGGACCACCATCTACCTCCATCCTTCACAATGGGTCCACAGGTCATCACGGCAAATTCAGAATCTCAGTATATCATCCAGGGAGAGACTCTTACACCGGGCTCTCGGATCGTTATCGCAGGCTCGACGATCAGTCTCGCGCCGAATGCACAAACACTGGTCATCAATGGACAAACACAGACTCAAGTGGCAGCCGCAAATATCACGCCCGCACCAAAGCTGACAATCGGGTCGATGGTTTTCACAGCCGATCCCTCCTCCAAATTTGTGATCGAGGGCCAGACATTGCAACCCGGAGGTGCGCCAATAGTGCTCGATGGAGGCAAAACGACAGTGAGTCTCGCGAGCAATGGTGCTCAGATCGTCGTGAATGGCAGAACGACGGATCTACAGCCCAATGGAGCAGCCGCTTCGATTACTGTTGGGTCGACAATGTACACCGCGAATGCTGATGGCAGATACGTCGTCGATGGCCGGACATTAGTTCCAGGAGGTTCTGCGATTACAGTTCATGGGACTACGTTGAGCCTGGGATCTGGAGGAAGATACATCGTCGTTGATGGGAAGACAGAAACGGTTGCACAGAGTACCAGTGGAGGGGATGAAGCGGAGTATGTTTGGAGTACTTTGGCTTCAGCCACGACAGCACCTTTGGCAGCAGGGGTGACAACGGACAGTGACCCTGCGGCCACCCCTCCCTCATCCTCTTCGTCCACTGGGAGTAGGCTCAAAGGCATATCGAGCTGGCGTGTTTCGGGCATGATGTTGACATTGCTGTTTACCATTGCGGGCCGGTAACCAGGAAAACTGAAAAGATCCATAATATCAAAACTTCCATTTATGCAATGCAGTTCAAATCTGTGGCCTGCAGCCTATCTTCGTATTTACTCACAAAGCCATCGCAAGCTCCAACAACTTTTCATAATCCGGCGTCCCCCACCCTGTAACCGCATCCCAACCCTCCACAGCCTTCCACGAAGCCCCCTCCACAAACGGCGTATCCAGACCAGTAACCTTATCAATCCCCGTACAACCACTACTCCCACCCTTCACAACATCCGTCAAAGCTTGAAACGCCTGACCATAAATCCAAGGATTCAGGAATCCTAATGTACTCTTCCCCGCTTGGAGTCTTTTCGCATTCAACAAAGCAATAATCCCTGCGAAAGCAGGCGCAGAAGCCGAAGCACCGGAAACATTCGTCTCGTTACCTTGATCGAAGACTTTGTATTGGTATGCTTGTGCTGCGACATCGGGATAGCCGCGTCCGGAGGGGTTGTAGAGGCCTTGCCAGGAATTTCCTACGAAATTTAGATACTTCGCTACAGCGTCTTTTTGATAGTCTGGGGCAGGCCAGGTATCGCTGAAACCTCCAGAGGAGAAATCTATGGCCTCTTCGGGATCGATTTTCCAGGTTCCGCCTACGGACGTGACGTAGGGGCAGGATGCTGGGAAGAGAGGCATGAAACGGGTGGTGTTTGTCCCGTCGTTTGTGAGGCAGGCGCTTCCGACTCCGCTGTCGCCTGAGGCGACTAGGACGCTGACACCGCGGGCTCCGAGTTGGCCGAAGAGATCGCAGACTTTGCGGCGGTAGGGTTCTGGGATGCTTTGTTCGTTTTCGCCGTACGAGACGGAGATGGTGTGAGGGAGTTCTTGGTCGTTTTGGGAGAGGACGTAGTTGAGCCAGTCGAGGTATGGTTCGTTTTGGTTGACTGCTTGGGTGGGTTGGTCGAGGTCTGGGACGAGTTTGCCAAGGCCGCCGACATTGTAGGAGTGGATGTTCAAGGGCCAGCCGGTGGCGAGAATGTATTGTAGGTCCAAGTTTGCTTCGGAACTGCTGACGTTGGAGGTTTGTACAGTTTCGAGTGGAGGTGCTCCGTTGATTGTGTCCCAGGTGAATCGGACACCGTTGGCGCGTGGGAAGTAGTCTTCAGTGAATTGGCTCAAATCATCGAAGCGCGGGTGTTGTTCTAGAAAATTGGCAAAAGCCATGTATCCGCTTGTGGCATTGTCGATCTGTGGGTCATCCGGTATTTTGTAAAGTGCTCGTAGGCAGTCTGGGGTCACGTGTTTGCCATCACAAACGGATTTGATGTCCTTAGGGTCTGCAGGAGGCGTGTATGGATGATCATCGCCGACTTGCTCTGCTTGGTATATTGTGCTGCGCATGGGTTGCATCACCGAGAATCGAGTAGTAGGTTGTATCATGTCGATATAACTAGAGGTAGTCAGCATGCTTCATCAAAGTGTCAAACTATTGATGTTTGACGTACTCGCAGACTTTGTCCGGCACTGAGTAGTTGAGAGTGCGGAGGAGCTTCTGCCCATCAACATCTTCGAACACGCCAAACGAGGTATCTAGCAAATCGTTCGCAACACCAACGGTGCAAACAAAGTTAATCCACTCTCCATCTTGCGCGATCGCGCTGTGATCAACTCCACCCTGGACGAGCCAGGCCAGTACCGCTTCCGTCGCCTTCTCATTCGGTCTCAACATGGCCTTGAGCTCATCGCGCTTCAGGTATTGAGCATACCTGGGATGTGCTGGATCTGAAATGGAATATAAAGTCTGCTCGAACAAACCCGGATTTGGGGCCGACATCGCGATCCGCAAGTGTATTCGGTCGTGATTGTGTGCCTCCCCAATTTGACGCCAGCCATCAGGTGTTTGGCGTAGTGACTCCATTACTTTGGCACTGGCTGTGCCGGCGAACGCCAGAAATACAGTGAGCAGCATGCTGACTGGCTCACCGAGATGAGTAGCTGCTACCAGAACGAAGAAGTTTGCCGATTATCTGTCAAAAATAGCGGAATCCAAGGAGTTGATGCAACTGGTATGATGAGTAGAAAACGAATGTGTGGCGCGAATGTGTGGAGCGAACGTGTAGAATGAATGTACAGAATGAAAGCACAGAATGAACACACAGAACGAATGTGCAGAAGAGAGTCGTGATCATGCCTGGAAAAGCTACAGTAGTATCAGCTCATCCCTTGAACAGGGTGCCAATGTCGTGGCCGCAAACAACCTAGTGTTATTGCCAGGCTCTTCATGATTTGGGGAAGCATGAGGCGAGCATGATGCTCACATTACATGCAGTGGTGCAGGGCAGAATCCCACGCCTCGCTGGCCAGCCCTTGCGAGACAGAACACATGCGAGTAGGGCAGTCCGCGAGCAAACTTCGTAAAATGAGCCAATGCACAACCTTGTTGAGTAGAGTAGCCAATGGAGTTCATCAACTTGGATCTTCACACTCTGGCCCATGCGATGAGTTTGCTCCCCGCCCGGTTTGAGTTCATCAGTACATTTCGGCTCCTCACTTTCGCTGATGAACCGAATGACGTCCGACGGTCGCCAATTGTAGAGAGCGAATCCGAAGACGAGCGCCGCCATTCACCAACAACGTGATTTGCCAGACAAAAAAAAGGGGAAGGAATAGATAGGAGACGAAGGTGCGCTGTCGTACTTGTCAAATTTGGGGCCACGAGAGATGTCAGGTACATCGTTCTTGTGGACAACCAAAGTACGAAGACTGACAGGATAAATGCTTGATACTTTTCGTGTCCGACTGGGATGTTGAACTTCGAGCGCCAAGATAAGCGCGGCAGGAGCAAAGTTTCAATGAAAAGCTGCTTCGAGTGACACATTCTTGTACTCATTGTGCTGCGCGGCGATAGAGAGCACACCTTGGTTTGTGGAACTCTTGAGTAGCGACGCGGTGCATTGAGGAAGGTAGGTGGCGCCGTGAAGCCGAGGAGTGGCATGGCTGTTCTGGGATGACTGGCTGTGCGATAGATGAGCGTTGTTTGAGAAAGCCGCCGCATTGATCTGTGCGGGGCATGGAGCTGAGGATGAGGATGAGAATAGCACTGCGCCAGGTTCCAGAACAGCAGCGGCGAAGATTAGATTTGGGGAAGCTCGGAAGTCTTCAGTGGCAGAGTTGATGATGTTTTCCGAAGTCGTGGACAGTCCAGTCAGCTTGGCTATTTCACCAGAATTGTATGAAGGCGCTTCGTCCGCTGACAATTTGAGAGGCGAAAAGAGGTCATCATCAGAGTCAAGCTCGTCGTCGGCATCATATGTCATCGCCTCGACCCGGCAACTTGAAAGTGCCTTGATGAGCGGAGGCTTGGGAGGGTTATGCGGGTCGTGGTCGTCGCTGCATCGGGAGGGAAGTGCTGGGGACGCTTTCTGCGTTGGCGCCTTCTTCTGGATGCAAAAGTGAGCGATTGCAAGTCCGATGAGGCACACGCTGATGAGGATGGCGAAGAGCGGGATGTGGTTGCCGAGTGGGGCTTTCGGGAATTGGGGGCTCTGGCTCTGCATGTTGGATGGTGTTCTGATTGCTGTCGATGCACGTCTGGGACTGTTGTGCTCTGATCTGAGGAGAGAGGGATCTGGAGAGCACAAGAAGCCATACTGTAGAAGAGCATATATCACTTCCCTTACCATGCATGTATGAGACAGCGGCTAGGAGCATACAGGACATTCAACGCGTACCCAAAGACACGCATGTCTCTGTCGGGCACTTGCTGCGTCTGCTCTGTCTGACGCAGGACCGGTGACATCTGCTCATATTGTGCCATGCTGTCTTTCAGCAAGGCAGCAGATGGTGGAGGAGAGGATGGGCGAATGGCGTTGCGGATGATTTCATCGGAAAAGGCGCATGTGGGAGCGAAGTTGGCAGGGATGATGTGGGTGGAGCACGACAACGCCTCGGGACTGAAAGAGGAGCGCGAGCGCACGCGTCGAATATTCGCGCCGCCTGACCGCCTCGCACAATAATCAGGTCGTAGTCATATTGTCGCCAACGCCAGCACCCGCTCCCCTCCCTCCCTCCTTCCTCACTCCACTTCTCTCTGCACGCGCCCGCCGCAATCCACTCGCACAAATTTCCATATGGAAGCTATCCTGCTGCAGACCACCACCGAAGACCACTCGCACCCGCCGATACAATAATTCCTCCGCAACCTATATTCGCATACCACACCCTACGATTCGACGCCAGGGAAGGCGAGGCGTCCACGCATCTGTCACTCCTCGTCACGCACCTCCGCATCCACGAGTAGAAGTATCGCCAAAATGCGGGAACGGAACATGCTGAAACAGGCGCTCGAGAGCGGCAAGACAGTCTCCAAGGCTGCTCGCTCAAAGGAAAGCACTCCTCCGCTCAGCAGAAGCGGCAGCGCTGCGCCGTCTCCACGCGGATCGCGCATCGCCAGTAGGGAAGGCTCCGACGACGAAGACGCTTTCTCCGACGACACCGAGTGGAGCACCCGAAGCATCGACGCGCTCGTAGCCCCGCCTCTCGAGTACGACGACGGCTCCGATGCCTGGGTCGCTGTTCTGGAGGACCGCATCAATGCCATTATCGACCGCAAACGTAGTTCCACCGAAGGCCGCGAGAACGACATGAGCGGCTTCAATCTGATCCTGACCCGTCACTTTGCGCAACAGCAGCTGCAGCCACGCGCTGACGAAGTCGTGGCCGCTCTCTTGAAGAGCGTCAAAGCGGGCCAGAGTGAGCGTGAAGTGGTATTGGCCCTCAAGGCTTTGGCACTGATCATCATTACCGAGCCCTCCGAAACTATCTACGATTCGGTGGCAGATGCCTTCAAGCGGACCATCAATGACTCACAATACCCGAATGCAAAGAGCGCTGCTATCCACGCGCTGAGTGTGGCAACTTTCTACGGCGGAGCTACACTCGAAGAGACGGAGGAGATCATGGATCTGTTTCTGGACATTGCGTCGACGGATGGTGCAGTAATCGATGAGGCGGATAACGGCGACGTCGTGGTGGCAGCCCTCGAAGAATGGGGCTTCTTGTGCACCCAAATGGACGACATGGAGGAAATGACAGAGCCAGCCATGGACACATTCGTCGACCAGCTCGAGAGCAGCGATGTGGGCGTGCAGATTGCCGCTGGCATCAACATTGCCCTCTTGTACGAGAAGAGCTACACCGAAGCCGAGTCAGATGATGAACCAGAATCGGATGAGGAGGATGGTGCCAAAGGCCCACGGATGATCAAACGCTACACAGTCTACCGACAACAGCACAACCTCGAGCAAATCTTGGAGAAGATCTCGAAGGCCTCTTCAAAGCGTGTCTCGAAGAAAGATCGCAAGCAGTTGCATTTAGAGTTCAACGATATTCTCGCTACAGTAGAGAAGCCCACCAGAGGGCCTCGATACAGCACAGCACTCGACCAGGATGGCCGGGAATACGGATCGAGACTGAAAGTCACCATACACGGCGGAGGCAAGATGACCATTGATAAATGGTGGAAGCTGCAGCGACTCAATGCCCTCAAACGCCTGCTGCAGAGCGGCTTTATGGTGCATTACGAGTTCAATCAGGTTGTTTTCGACAGCCTGCCCGTTATCGTGGAGGACGATTAAACGATCTCTTTTCTTTCTGCGACAATATTGATTGATGAGGGTATATGAGAGACATGCTTATGAGTGACGATGCGCTATGAGATACACATGCATATAATTCATTATCGCTAACACTTCCTACCCTGTCAACGACACATCTGTCCCGCTATTTCTCACAATGCAGCTCAACAACTCCGCTGGCTCCAGAGCTACCCTGTTCTAGCTGCTCTAGGAGAAACTGTAACACCTCTGGTGGAGCTGCAGTGTGTCGAAACGAGTGCCTAGCTCCAACCCCGCCGCAGCACGTCGTAAGATTGAAAAGAGGGAGTCATCATCAGGACATACTCTTTCTCTTTCTCACCAGCTCACAGAATCTCGTTGCTTACGACTCACATTGCCAACAAGTCTAACCGGTACGACAATCGACGAAATGGAAGTTGCGTCAGCCGCAAGAATGCCTGAATGGGTTGCGAAATATGATCAAGGTACCGTACAGCTACACATCATCACAAAGATGCATGCGGGTGTTCAAATTGTCTTTGCCTATCACATTCTTCACCGGATGTGATATGGTGGAAATTTGATCTGAGATCATACCGTACGAACCTGAACAGGATAATTCCTGCGTCTGAGGGACATGCTTCTATTTTGACTCCCCTTTCCCTGCGAGGTCAGGGAATGTTTTGTATTGACTAAAGCAGCATATTCATCACTACCGACGTGAACGACGATCAAGATGTCTACTGACAAGATCACGTTCCTCACCAACTGGTAGATCTTAGGATCCCTCATCGTGAGGTGTAGGTGTGAAGAGACTAATGGATAGAAGGCACGCTACGCCATACCACGCCCCATTGTATCTCGCCCAAGCCAAGGGCTTCTTCAAGGATGAGAATATTAAAGTCGCCCTCTTGGAGCCAAATGATCCAAGCGTGCAAAAACCCTCTTCCTCTACTCAAGCAATGAACTCACGCATCTCCAGGACGTAACCGAAATCATCGGCTCCCGCAAAGTCGACCTAGGCTTCAAAGCCATGATCCACACCCTCGCAGCCAAAGCCCGTAACTTCCCCGTCCTCTCCATCGGCTCCCTCCTCAACGAACCCTTCACCGGCGTCGTCTACCTGAAATCCTCCGGCATCACTCCAGACTTCCACACCCTCAAGAACAAAAAAATCGGCTACGTGGGAGAATTCGGTAAAATCCAAATCGACGAACTCACTTCTCATTATGGAATGAAACCTTCGGATTATACTGCCGTCCGCTGTGGCATGAACGTCTCCAAGGCCATCATCAAAGGCGAGATTGATGCGGGTATTGGGTTGGAAAATGTCCAAATGGTTGAATTGGAAGAATGGCTTGCTGGGCAAGGTCGTTCGAAAGATGAAGTTCAAATGCTGAGGATTGATGAACTTGCTGAATTGGGTTGTTGTTGTTTCTGTTCGATTCTCTACATCGGAAACTCGGACTTCGTCGCCTCCAACCCAGAGAAGGTTCAATCATTCATGCGAGCAGTCAAACGCGCTACAGATTTTGTCTTGGAGAGTCCCGAACAAGCGTGGAAAGAATACGTGGATTTCAAACCTGTTATGGGAACGGAATTGAATCGGAAGATTTTTGAGAGGAGTTTTGCGTATTTTTCGGGGGATTTGAGGAATGTGGAGAGGGATTGGGAGAAGGTTACGAGGTATGGGAAGAGGTTGGGGGTTCTTGAGGAGGGGTTTGAGATGAATTATACGAATCGGTTTGTGGAGGGGTGGGAGGCTGAGAAGGAGCAAGAGGATCCTGTGGGGGATCAGAAGAGGATGGTGATGTTGCAGGAGGTGGTGAAGGTGGAGGGAGGTTTTAAGAGGTTGGATGTTGAGAGTGGGGTTGTGAAGGCTATTGCTGCTGGTGCTTGAGTTGGATAGAGACTGCGTTGTTCTTGATGCCGGACTGTGATGGCACGTGAAAGAGTCATGAGTGGTCATGCAGACGGGACTTGACTTCCTGATATGGCGAAGTGTTGAAGTCTGTCGCGACTTCATGGATCGGCTTGGGCACTTCCATTCATTTTATGTATCGCCTAAGCTATGTTGAAGTTCGCCAGTTCTTTGTGTGTAACGAGCGTGTGTCAGTGTTGAAGGCTGACTATCAAACAGTAATCCATTCCAAGTCCATTGGCTTCGTCCAATTGTGTACTAAACGCAAGACGCAACGATGCTCCTACTTCGCATCTCTCTTCTTCGCCAATTGCAAGATGTGGTCGTTGAAGAACCAGCGTCCTAGATCTTTCTCAGGAATGGCATGGGCACCTTCCACTTTGCCGACGCAGACGCCATCGCCGGCTCCGCACAGACAGTCGAACGAACGATCGAACTTCCATTCAGTGGAAGGGTAGAAGAAGGTCAAGCTATCACCTTTCTTCACAGCACGATCTCTCGCGACTCTGACCTCGCCGGCCAGTCCAACAGTCTTATTCAAATGAGCAATTTCCCCATTCATTTCTCCTTGCAGCGGAGCTTGAGGATAATTGCCATTCTCGTCAGGTGCGTAGGTATGCACTTCCAGAGACGGAGCGCAAGAGTGGTTCATGTACAGCAACGCACTCTGTGGGTCGGTATGAGTGGTTGCTGAAGTCTGGATCGTCTTCCAAGTAGCCGATGGTTGAGGTTGATGGCTGGTCAGGTAGGCAAAGTGAGCTCCCGCCGGCAAGTCCACCTTGGAAACGATGCAGAGTCCCGCTGGAGTGTCTTCGAATGCGACCAAGTCTTCGAGGCCATTGACGGAAAGGTCATAGGCGGACTGAGTGCTCAAACGGGAGTCCTTCTCGAATGGCTTCTTGGCGCCATTGGTAACACCATTGGCAGTGCCGTTGGCGGGGCTGATGACTGATCCTTGAGTCATCGTTAGGGCTTGTTGGGAGGAATGTTTCGACTCGTTTTTGATCGTCTCTGTCTGATGCGGCTTTTTTCTTTGTTGTACGCTGGTGCTGAAATCGATAGGCAACGTTGATTAGGTCAATCCGGTTAACGAATTGCCTTGAGTAGAAGGCTGAAGAACTCAGCTACGAATTCCATAGGCTGTTGGTGTGTGTCTCTGGATGATCAGTTGAATACGTCAGGTAATGTTGAAAGAGGTAAAAAGCAGGAAGGGAGAGAGCTGCTATTTCACGGAGATGCTGCTCAAGGCCGAGGCCTACAGGCTGAGCAACGGTAGTAGTGTGGGTCAAGATGCCGTGCATGGTTTAACGACGGGCTGCTAACTAGAGCTTGCTGAGGCCAGACGCGGTGCAAGTGTGCAGAAAGCATATGCCATTCCGATCGTCCGGATGTGGTCAGAAGCGTGCCAGCTTTTGGCAATCGCGCCTGGCCAGCGGGGGGGTGAGAGTCAGAAAGCAGGAAGTCTCCTTCTCTGCTCTTGTTCGCCGCTCTTGAGCTCACGAACAAGACCTTCGATGGCTTCGTTGGCTCATGATCAGCTAGCTGCCCGGTTTGCGCCGAGCTCAGCAGTTTCTGAAGAAAGCTTCATCGGAGCTTCAGGACTGCTGCGCGAGCAGCATCAGCACGTCTACGCCGGGGCGTTCCTGCTTGGGCTGATGCCGATACGCTGCCCACTCCATCAGCACTCTGATCTTGCATCTGCAGGTAGAGCATGCCCCATCGCGTAGATGATTGTGGTGTGGCTGCATGATGGACAAATTCGCCGTCGTCAGCAGGAGAGAAAGAAGAGCACGAATTGTCGGCCACGACTTCTGCACGCGACTGTTCTTGGACGCGACGCGACCGATCAAAGCTGCGGAAGGAACGAAGGAATTACATGCGTGTCCACCCACGCACATGTTACACCCGACCTGCCCAACAACATGCAATCCTCACATGTGCCCTGCGCGTTCTTTGAGCAATGTCTTCAGCCATCGACCTGACATGGCGAGCCGCCGTGGAAGCGAATCTCCAGGAAGCCCGGAAACGCCGAGGACGATTGGGTTTGAAGAAATCAAGAGGCGGGTGTCTGACTTGCAAGACGAGGCATATCAGATGCGACAAGGCGAATCCATGCCGTAACTGTACTTCAACAGGCCGCCAATGTGGCTACGCCGGAGCCGTAACGACTTCAAGACAACGCAGCGAGGACAGCACAAGTCTGATTCAGGGATGCCTTGCCAACAACTTGAATCCGAGCAACGATGAAATGCGGACATTCAGCTATTTCTTGAGCCATACTGCTCCGCGACTTGCTCAAAACCTGGACAAGGATTTCTGGTGCGGTCATGTACTCCAGATCGCTCATCAAGAGCCTCTTGTCATGGACTCATTGTTGGCTCTATCGACATTGTACGAGCACCCGCAGTTCATGAAAAGCTTCCACTTGACTGCGGATGCACACAACAGCACCAATGGCGTGCACCCGTCATTGTTACAGCGGCCCATCGAACGCGAGCACGTGAAAGCCCTGAAGCACTACAATCGAGCCATCTCTCAATTCCAAAAGAAAATGCACGATGGCAGCGCCACTCCGCTCCTGGCCATGCTTACCTGCACTCTCTTCATCTGCATTGAGATTATCAGGGACAACATATTTGGCGGCGTCAGCTTGTTCATCACGGGTGCGACACTCATGCGACAGTTCTCCAGCTGCCCCGAAGGCATGAGTTGCTCTCTGTACGATGCCATCAGGCAAATATTTGCTCGACTTGCTGTTTCTGGTGCTCTGATGGGCCACCCCGCTGAGCATGATGTGGAGGAATGGGCTGGTAAATCTCCTCACGATGCCGGAGCGTTCTCCAATATCGCGGAGGCACGCAACATGTTGTTCCGTCTGCTCGGCGAGAGTCATGCAACGCTGAGACTCGCCAATTGCCACCGTAGAGAGGCACTCTCCCGAGGCACTTCTGGCGGCATCCCGGCGTTTGCCAACAACACGCTTGATGACTACGACTTCGATGATCTGCCTCCGCCACCTCCGAGGCCTTATGAACTGCCTGAAAATGGTTATACTACAAATATGGGCACATGGTCTGCAGATCTGTACGAACCAAATGAAGATGATGGCAATATCCAGCGCGAAGACCAGCAGCATGATTATCGGGCGGTACTTGGAGGGGTCTCGGAAGATCTGTACGACCTTGCGTGGGAGCATGGCGACATAACCGCTCAACAAAGATCTACCATGAAACTGGGCGATCGAAATTTCCCGTGTGATGACCAAGCTATCCATGATAGACGACTGATATTGCTTTCGAGACTGAAACGCTGGCACAAGACTTTCAAACGTATTCACTCTGAAGAGGACGAGGTTGCAGCTTCGTTGTTGATGCACTACCAATTCGCTATTACATGGTTGCAAGCCTGTCCAATAGACGATGAAAGTGCCTTTGACAACTGGACGCAAAGTTTCAAGGAGATCCTGCGATTATCCGAAATCTTTCTCGCCAAGAGCGAACACTCAACATTCACGTTCGAGGTCGGCACTGTTCCTGCCTTGGCCTTCGTCGCTGGAAAATGCCGTGTCACATCCGTACGCCGCAAAGCCCTGTCTCTTTTGTCCCGAGCGCCATCGAAAGAATCTATGTGGTGCGCTCAGTCGGTTGGCGAAGTTCTGGCCCGACTGATAACGATTGAAGAAGAAGGGCTCGGTCTGCCTCCACCACTTGTCGGCTCGTCATCATGGGGTTATAGTGGTGATCTATACATTGATGACTCCGTCCTCCCGCCCGAGGAGCAGCGCGTGCACGTTTTTGGCATACGTGTGAACAAAACTGCCGGTCGGTATGATATTCGTATTACTCGTTATTTCGTCGATGTCGAGACCGGTGCTCGGGTCAAGGTACTGAGCGATCATCCGATATGAGTTGTCTGCTGCGCTCCTAGAAGGTTTGTCAGCCTGGGAGCATGCACTGCAACGGGCAAAGTGAAGGACATGCATCCTCGTCAACGGTATCTTCAATCAGATTGATCCGTGTAAGAGGCAGCTCGCATCTGGCCCTGATGCCGGAATCTCAGTGTCTGCTGAGCACGTATCTCAACTAAGATCACTTACCAGATCACGTGGCCCGTAGCCATATTGCCTGGCGAGCACTTCGGTGTTCCGCAGACGCACTTCTCGCATGTACTGCGCTTGGCTGGGCTCGTTGCCAGCGTTCTCGGTATCTCGAGTTGGGGGATGAGCGATGAAGAAGCGGGTCGACGCCCATCCGAGAACCACGGCAGCGGCAGCGGCGACAATGACGATGAGCACCGTGACCGTGGGATCCATCGCCATAGCTCGGTGTTGTGGTAGCCTTGAGTGGCTGGATTGTTTTGGTATCGCGGCGTGCTCAACGGCTAGGGTGGTGTCGGGAAAAAGACAACACGAACGAAAGGCAGCAGCAAGATGATCGATCTGAACGAGTGTCAAAGATGATCGAAACTTCACTGTCAAAAAGTAACCCGCCCACCTTCTTGCTTAAGTTCTCCAAACAACTGCTACCAAGCCGTACATGGTCTCCACAGCCGCACGGATTCGGTGGAACTCCGGGACAAGGGGAGTGGAGACGGTGGTCTGTGCGCTGTACACGTTTAGCCCTCATTCCTCACTTCTCAGCCTATCGAGATTCCCGACTGGACGAGACCGTGCTTGGAAGGAGTCGACGTTTCCTGTCGTCTACTTCGCTTCGCTTCGAGTAAGATCGAGTGTATTTATTGGCTTTTCGCGATTTGCACATATATCTTGACTGTCAATAAAGCACGAGTCGAAGAAGCCCAAATATCGGAGCGGGCAGACACCGAGTTCGAATGCAATACGAGAGACTCCGAGTGGAAGAGTTGGAAATTGGTATGTTTAGAGAACATCTCGCGAGACGGACCAGATGCATTCTCGCACACGGAGGGCACTTGTGCGTCCGAAATTTGGCTAGGGTCGACAAAGGAAGATATGCTGGCGGACTGTGAAATGGCCAATACAGTTTCACGGTCGGCTGTGTACGTACCGCCCTACCGTGCTGATAATATGCTCGAACCTGACTCCCAGATGAGCCGCCTACGGTTATCCGGCTTCATCACCCAGGGCGATGCTACATTATGGGGAAGATGATTCTCAAGCAAGCCAGACACATGAAGGAGAAGCCGAACTGGCGCAACCTGGAGACCGGAGACGCGGAGACCGTAAAGCTCATCCTGAAGTTATGGACGTCACTAGAGATCAAGAATACCGCTCCCATTCTATCGAAGCGCAGCGCCTCAGCTCCCGCTTTCGCGAAGCATTTTATTTAGGCGAAGATCAAGCTTAACGGAGGAGCTATAGACGAGGCTGACGGAATGACGGACAAGAGCGCAGCTCAGGAGATGGTCAACACAACCGCAAGCAAAAAGAAACTTGTACCCGGTGACCTGTCTTTCGTTAAGCTCCAACGCCTGGTGGACGAGACGAAGCCTGCTCATTGCGACAACTACCACATCCAGCATATCGACGATAACAATGTTGCTCGGCACATCTCGCGGGACAGCGACATGAGAAGCGCCGTAAGGCACAGCAGAATGGAAGATCCAAGCCGTCTCGGTCATGTTTTCTGGATAGTAGAAGGGGAGGTGCCACAGATGGTGCAGTCGCAAGAGTGGCTACCGGCTGTTCTTCGAGACTGAGAGGTCAGAGGTCGTTACAGCTGATGATGAAACGCAGTTTCAACAACCGCTTCCTTCCAGGCACGTAGGCCAAGGAGTGGGTACCGGCTGTTCTTCGAGACTGAAAGCGTAGAGGCTGGCACAGATGATGGAACGCGGTTTCCATATCTGCTTCTTTCGAGGTTGCTAGATCGACTTGAATGGCAGCGATTCAAGTTCGATGGTATGCAACGCCCCTTTATGGTGCTGATTCTGAGCATCTTCACCACGCTGCTCCGTCTCAAGATCTCATCAAACACTTTGCCCATCCGAAGGGAGGTCTGCGACGAGAATATGGCACTGTGCCCTTTCTCCGACGCACTTGTCAAGCTGCCTAAGTGCTTCAAAACTCCAGTAACCTCTTCGAGGATAGTACGGATATACATCTCGTAGGCAAAGCTAGGGACAGGCTTCAAGGTTATGGCAATGTGCTCTACCTCTGTAGTCCGCAAGACCATGTCCTTGCGCTTGCTCTCGACCAAGCTGAACACAGCCGCTTTGACGACGGTAGCTGTGCAAGTTGAAAATGGTGTCGGAGCGAAGATGTAGCGCAGGACATCCACAAAGCTGCGTGGCTGCCAGGACGTCTGCAGATCCGCAACGAAGCGGCTCTCGCCGATAGAACTGTTTGGATAGTCAGCACCCAAAGCACCAGTCGAGAATAGGCCTGAATACCGGAGCACGTAGATTCCGACTTCGAACGCAATGCGAGCGACCTCCAAGTGGAAGAGAAGCAGGTTGGGACTTTCAGAGAACATCTCCATTCCCGCAAGATCAAACGTATGGCAGTCGTCCTGTCTCCCCTTGCAGATGTGCTGCAGAGTCGCCTCAGCGATACGCGGGTTTTTGTCCAAGGCCGCGACTTTGTCGAAACCTCCCTGCTCCTGTTCAGAATATGGGTGAAGAGTCTCTTGCGCTCGGATGGACACTTACAGACGAGATGGTGTCGTCAATCATGTCTCCTAGAGCCTTGGAAGATCCATGGACTTTGACTGAGTGAACGGGCCAGGAAGTCGGGTTTCCGCTGTACGTGCTGGTGACGAGGACATCACAGCCCGCACCGGCATCAAAGTCGATGTCAGGCATCGGCGGCTCTGAAGACGAGCCGATGAATCCTAACCTGCTCGATCCTGTGTTGCGGGGCTCATTGGAGAGGGAGCCTGCTGTATGTGTACTAATGTTCGCACGTGCTGCCACATTGCTAAATGCAAAGATCTAGGGACCAGACGATCACGCCTCCCAACAGAAGGGTTCTGCCAACACCGAGCATGCCAGGTTCTCTTGGCTGTCCCAGTCTGACCGGCAGATGACAACCCGCGAAGACCTACATCGCTCGGATCCACAAGACAAGCTTGATTTCGTACTGGACGGGCTTCCAGATGCAACATCCAAACTTCTGTCTGATATCGCACAACAGACCGTGCCTCAGTGTTGTGAATTTCCACATACAACATTCCCTCATCTCGGAGATCCGTTCCAGGCATGGCCATTCAGAGATGGCGTTGATTGCTCAAAAGTGCGCATGGAATTCTTCAAGATGGTCCGGGAGGTCCGCTTCATCCTCGTTCGCACAGGACGGGGAGATATTCCTCTAGAAGAGTGGTTTCCACCATCCGGCTGCCCCCTCACCTCCAGCCTGTGCTTCGAATCAACATATCCGAGTACGAAGCGGAGTAACAGCCCAGCTCTTCAATTCATGTTCGCAGCTTACACAGGAGACCTGGATGAGAGTATATTCTTCTTCGATCGATGGCCAATCGTTACGCCCACAGCAGGACGCTTCGCAAAACACGCGGACGCCGTGAGGAGATGGGGCGAGCAGGTGGTGTCGCGCATCGACCAGTTCACGGCATGGTGCCGTTCGACTTGCGTCGCGCCGGTGAGCATAGTGGCAGGCAGCGAGCTGCAGAAGGACATGATCGCCAGCGCCGTGGAGTTCGTTGCCATTGCCGAGGTATCGTCAATCAGGACCTCTGAAGAGTTCCCGGTCAATCTCGCCATCCTCCAACACCTTGACCGATACCAACTCGGAGTTCCACTACCCCACGGACAAAAGTGGTCCTTCAACCTCACCCAACAAGCGGACGAGAAGATAGCCCTTGATTTCGTACTCTCGACGTCGCTCACGCCATCACAAAGAGAACCAGACGCTTCACAGTCGTTGACGCTACCGATGTAGTTATTCGGGCCAACAACTGGTTGCGCGCCGGACTGATGCTTCGATCCCCATCGTACGGCGACGCTCTGGACCGCCTGGGCGGTCTCGAATCTACAGAAGTCGCAAGGAGCGACACCGTGAGCAACGCGATCCGACGGGTGGCGCAAGAGCATCAAGACAGCGCATCGCAAGCTTCGACTGTGGCACTGACTCCCGACGAGAGCACCGCGAGCACTGCGAGCACCGGTAGCACACCCACCTCGAGCACTACAGGCAATGCCGGTACGACGGGCGACACTGGTTCGAGCACCGTGCAATGAAGGCCAGAGCTAAACGCGCCCTCCAAATATCAGAGAGACAACCAGTGCAAAGCACCGAGAGCAGTGCCAACACGAGAACCACGTTTCTGCGACCTCCCATTGAAGACGCATCTGGGAGGAGTCTACTGCCGGAAAGCAAAACGGAAACCAGGATTGAAGCTTCCTACTTCTCTGACTAGGGAACTCGAGTGCCCTTTCAGTTCCCGTGTCTCCGCCTTATGCAGTGCGGCTAAGGCGCTCTGTCTCGACAAGCGAGGCAGCTACGGAATTCGTTTCGCGAGAGAGACCGCAAAGTAAGGGTATTCTTTGGTTTCCGTTTTGCTGTCCGCAACTAGGGAGTGATCTTCACGTTTGCTGTCGCTTACTTCGCCTCGCCTCAAGTAAGGGCGAGAGTATTGATCGGCTGTTCGCGTCATTTCATACATCTGGGCTGTCGACTAATTGCAAGCAGAATGCTCCTCGGCTCAATTCAGATCGCTGGCGCCGCATGCGACGAAGCCTGTACAATTACTGCCCTTCCTTGCCAGAGCCAGCCTGTTCATGTACTGGATCCCTTCGGCTCTGTAGTAGTCCGGCTCCACATGCGATGTCACGTTCTGCTCGAAGACGAAGTTTCTCTGCTCCTCAAGGGTATAGACTGGCCAGTGCTCTGCTTTCACTGTCGAGCTTGTCAGTTGATAACCCCTCTCCGCTCATAACTGCACCACTTACCTCCTAGCTGCCTATTTGGATCCCCAAAGTTGACAAAGCTAATCCACGATCTAGTCATTTGCAACGCGAGTGCTAGATATTTCTCGCGCTCACTCCCGCCCAGTGGATTCGGGTTTCCATTCTGCGGGTATCCGAGGCCCTCTGTATTGTAGAAGACGAATGCGACTTCCTGGAAGTGCGGACTGCCCTGGATGTATGGGACGCCATTGGCTAGCACGTTGAAGCGGTACGAGTAAACATCTACGCCAGCTTTTGCCCAGCTTTGAGCTGTGAAGCGTCGCTTTGCGTGTTGTCGCATGTCGCCCACGATGGCATTGGACCGCTTGTACTGCAATCCAATGCTGGCGTCTGGCCGCCCGGAAATGGTGGCTGGAATTCCGATTTCTGGGATATCGGGATAGAGTATGGCAAAGTCCTGGACGGTGGCGTTGTCATATCCCATTCCGGCAATGTAGGCCAGGAACTCGGCAGTCGTGTTCACGCTCGAGCTGAAGCTGGCACCCTCGTCGGTATTGCATCCGATGAGAAGCGGGACGCGTGGGAATTGTCCTTGATCCAGCTGAGTATTGGGATCTCCTTCAATGAACTCTCCATCGATGACAACACCATAAGCAGCGCCGCTTGTGGTGGTCGAATTGATGACTGCATTGAGCTCTTCCGTCGGAACTTTTCGAAGGCAGTCCAGGACACTGGAATTTCCTTGACAGCCGACAGCAGCCGAAATGTTCGCGATAACTGTTTCCCAAGTTGCCACGCTCGGATACGGCACAAGAGCGCTTGAAAAGCCGGATTGCGCAATTGCCTGGGAGAAAAGGCCTTCATCTCTGCCGCCATATGCAGCCACCTGTGCTCCAACTGATGTCCCTCCAGCAGATTCTCCTTGAATGGTAACACGAGCTGGGTCGCCTCCAAAAGCTTCAATATTTTCCTGAACCCAGCGAAGAGCCAGTCGCTGATCGCGATACCCGAGCATCGCAAGACCATTCTCCTGGACCTCCTTGCCATACAAGAAGCCCCAAGCGCTGAGTCTGTAATTGATCGATACCGCAATGATTGGCATGTCAGTCTCAGCAGCCTGCTGAACAATGAAGGACTGGTTGTAGCGGCGATCTGCAGCGCCACCCATCGTGTGACCTCCGCCATGTATCCAGACAAGCACTGGCAGCTTCTTGCCATTATGGCTTCCACGAGACCGGACGACGTTCAGTGTCAAGCAGTCTTCGCTGACATAGTTGCCCTGCGACCAGGTATCGCGACCATAGCCGATGCACTCGTAGCCATATCCGGTTGCGTTCTTGGTATCGCTCCAAGATGTGTTCAGAGGCTGTGGTACTCTGAAGCGAAGATCTCCAACAGGCGGTTGCGCAAATGGCATTCCCAGAAAGTGTTCCGTGTTGTAGGTCGGATTGTACACTCCATAGTAGGATCCATTCTGCACCGAAACGGTAGGTGCTGTATCATGGCGATGTGAAGGTGAGGTTTGCACAGCAGAGAACAACAGCGCTCCTGCAACGAGCATCGAGCGCACACCTACCATCGTGGCGACTGTGATTGTTTTGTTCTGTATGCCTTACCCAAACGTGCAAAGGAAGTCAGGAACGAAGTCAGGCACGACTTCTTGTGCGGGCAAGGCCAACTACTTGTAGATCGCTCTTCCATCCCGGCTAAGTATCACTTTTGGGACTACCGCCCGTATGCACATTCTCGACTCACGCTCCAACGATGTTCTGCCGTGCGCCGTCTCCAGATTCATTCCCCTCGTTTGCGGGGTGCGTTCATGGAAGCCAAGCCGGGAAGTGGTCAAAATATCAACTGCATCCACAAGAGATCTGGCAGAAAGTTCAACTCTTGGAATACAATCGAATGTGACCTTGAATCGTCCTGACTTGGAAGTTTCATAAAAACTGCCGACTCATACTCAGACTACGGGCACGAGATCTCGACGAAGCAGTCTGGTGTCCACCTGGAAGTCCTCATGTCTTGCGATTACGTCAGAGCTAGCCGATTTCACATCCCATCTCGGTCACTTTTCCTCCTCCACACCGACGCCCATGCCGACTTCACAATGGCGCCGAAATCGAAGAGCGCGAAGAAAACCACAAGTACCGCCGCAGCCAGTCAACCTCCGAAAGAATCCACAAGGCCAGATTGGCCGCCATTAAAACCACTCTTACCCGCTGCAGATTTGACTGTCGAGACTCTTCTGGAGAACCAAATCCTAACAATTCCCCGGTTTTGGACGAGTACACTCTGCAAGAATTATGTTTCGTTTCTATCGACTCTGCCATTGACGACCACGCCGGGTAAACCCAAGAAAGGAGAGGCAGTGCGCGTTAATGGTCGCTTTCAGATCAATGATCCTGTCTTCGCTGAGCAGTTGTGGTCTGGCACGGCTTTGAAGGAGTTGGTGACGAATTACACCGCGGAAGGGGATCATGAAGGTAATGAACTCTGGAGTGGGGATGTGATCGGACTAAATCCAAATATCCGAATTTATCGGTATTCGAAAGGACAATTTTTTGATCAGCATTGTGAGTTGCAAGACACTTGTCTGCGAAATGCATCAAATCATGCTGATAATATCTAGACGATGAAAGCAATAACATCCCTTTCCCTTCTGCAGACTCTGATGCACCGCTACCAGCCAAGACGACTTGGACGTTACTGTTGTACTTGACCTCACCTGCGACTGGTTGCAAAGGCGGAGAGACTGTGTTCTATCCCGAGCCGGCGAGTAAACGTGAAGCAGCTCCTCCTCCGGTAGTTGCGAATCTCGAAGTCGGAATGGTATTGCTCCATCGACACGGTAACGACTGTCTGTTGCATGAAGGGAGGGAAGTGACCGAAGGTGAGAAATGGGTCATTCGAAGCGACCTGTGCGTCAAGAGATGAATGGGGTAGGCTGTCCACGGCCAAGCTGGAGATCAGTACGCGCCTCATGAAAGAAAATGACTCGTCAGTCGACATGATTGACACAGTTCACTGCGAATGAGAAAGCACAATGTCGCAGCATGTATCTCAGCCGTGGTTTGGGCTTCGGCGCAAGAGGAAGAGGAACATGCGTCTTTGATAATCTGCAGTGATTTCGGACACGGCATTTGCCCTGAGACGGCTGTTGAGCAATACGACGTACTCTATGGAACACTCGCAGAAGCCGCGGAGGAAGATCAGCACGACAGAAAAGATTAGAGTTACGCCATTCGTTGTACCGGCCAAAATGCTTGAGGCTTTTCAGCGACCGCGTTGTGCATATTGGTCGAACAGCAGTGGGAACGCAGTCACGTAGGCCCATAGAGCCGCGGACTTGGGCCTTTGCGAGCGTGTCCTAGGAGTTCTTGGTGGGCCGGAAGATGGCAGTTGTCGGAGTTAAAAGCTACGATCGGTGTTGAACAGACGTGGGTCTTTCATCAGGAGAAGGCTCCAGCTGAGGAGTCGCTCTGCTTATCAATCTGCTTGTGTGCGCGTGGAGACGTTTTCAACTGCCCGGATAGTGATGCGATACCACTTCAGCCAAGACGCTGGATTGCGTTTCCAGCAGCTTGGGGCATGCTTCGTCCATTCCTCCACTCATGTGGGCCGCTGAGTAGTTTTGCTTACGGAGCAAGACGAGAAGAGTAGGACAGGTCTAGTGTGGCAGTAAGAGCAGCGGTTTCCCACTTTTCGGGACCGTAGACGACATCAGCGTGTCCACAGAAATCTTTTTTTACTCGACACGAGGGCCTCGGAGATCGTTTTCCTGTGTTCGAGTGGATTCGAGGCGAATGGCACACGTAGTCATGACCTGTGGAAGTATCGCGAATGGCGAACAATGGCAGCATGAAACGTAGCATCACACAGCAAGGGCATTGCATGATGACTGCCGCTAACTTGGAGGATTCCCGCGTTTTCTGTAGGAAGAAGGTGCGGCCTGTGCGGCCGCGCATGTGGATGCATGTGGTGCTTGGCAGATAGATGCTCGAACAGGGATGCTGCTGACAAAATCGCCCATTTGAGTCATGTTTTTGGTGAGAGGATATCGTGCCAAGTCAGTCGAGAAGTTTGGTGAGCGCCGAAGTGTCTAATTAGTGGGGGACGGATCGCAGCCCGCGAGGCGTGTTGCAGAGTGGGAAAGCACATCGTCACACTGTGGCTTGCGAATAAAGTTTTTAAGATTTGGCGCTAAGAGTGCTCCGATGGCAGGCAGGATCGAGCAGAAACGGAGTTCCGAGACGGCGTTGGGCAGTTGTCATCGTGCAGTATGTACCTGAACTACTGGACTGCTGTCGTGTTTTCGCAGGCTGATTAATAAAGATCTGACCTGGGGAAAGAGACCGCGCTCACAGATGCGTTCACCGCATCGTCGGTATTGAATCGGGCCAGAAGAGTGATCCTTGTCTCACAGACACTTTGCTTCGTTTCCATGGCGAAGATTACACGTATGTATATGCGGCATGCCGTTGCAGGAATGCCGTCGTGATCAACAATGTGCTGAACACCGCATCTCAGCTCCGCGGCCGCGTTCATGTGGGAGCGCGTTTTACGATTGGGAAAGTTGGATTCCAATTTTTAAGCTTCTTGCCTTCGCCTCATGACGATAATTCGCCATGACGATGTCGTCTTTGGTAAGCCTAAACGCCGCTACGTCCGATGCCACAACCTCACTATGAGGGATGGAGGCTTCTCCAATCGCCGTCGGTATCTGGGCAACGCTTCTTTTTGTCCCGCCCACTCTCTCTTTCTTCTCGCAAACCGACCTTCGTTTCTCATCATTGCCCTTCTGCGCGAGCAGAGCAAGACTGGCCTAGGCACTTTTCGCACGCCTTGCGCTTGAGGACTGTCTTTGAAGGTGAAGGCCGCGAAACGACAGCCGCGTCTCGGCCGCGCGATTGGATCGTAAACGAGACTTCATCGTCAGAGACACCCCAGATATCGACAGGGTAGCTCTGCTCAGAGCTCGATAACGTTCGCACACGATGTGGTGAGTGTCGCCGCTCGATGCAATAGGAAATGCCGAGACGCGTCTGAGACACTTGCTAACTTGCGTTCAATTGCTTGTAGGGGCTCGAGTGTCGATGAGCGCAAGCTCAACAATTCATCACAATCTGCTAATCAATGGCATCGTGGCGACCAACATACAAGCGCTGGGCGGATGCACGAGCCTCTTCACCCGACCGAGGAAGTCGAAGAAAGTAGAGGGCAGGACGGCACGTGGGGAGAAAGTAAGCAATCCGCTCTCTTAACGGAATTGTTTTCGCTGACTTTATCGCGAAGCCGATGTGGGCGGCTGGACCACCGAGGGTGCTATGCAAGACTTTGAGGCTCTTAGAAGGAACCTGACGGCAGTGTCTCGCACCCGATCGAAGGACACGCATAAAGAAGGCAATGCATTGTCGCGCGTCAACACCAAGGCCAGCGCCCGGAGCAGAAAGTCCAACTTCAGTCGTCGTCCGGACTCTCTTCGTACATTATCGACTCAAGCCGACAATCGTGTGCCATCGCGCCAACACACCGCACAAGAGGCCCCGGAAGATGTCGAAGCCGGACCGAACCAGGACGAGGATGAAGAAGATGATGACTTTGAGCTCGAAAAATTCATGCGAGATGGCCATTTCGAGCGTCGAGAAGATGGCAAGCCACAGAAGAAGGTCGGCGTCATCTACAAGAATTTGACTGTGAAGGGTGTTGGCGCGACTTCGACATTTGTTCGGACGGTACCCGATGCAATCCTGGGAACCTTTGGACCAGATCTGTGGCACATCATCTGTCGCTTCGTCCCAGCGCTTGCTCGACGCACCGGTGAGACCCGAACACTGATCAACGATTTCAGCGGGTGTGTACGCGATGGTGAGATGATGCTTGTTCTTGGTCGTCCCGGAGCCGGATGCACAACCTTCCTGAAAGCGATCAGCAACAACAGGGAGACATACGCCGAAGTTTCAGGAGAGGTCTCGTACGGCGGTATAGCCGCGGACAAGCAGAAGAAAATGTATCGCGGTGAGGTGAATTACAACCCTGAAGACGATGTCCATTTTGCGTCCCTCAATGTGTGGCAGACCTTCACCTTCGCGCTTTACAACAAAACAAAGAAGAAGGCGAAGGAGGACATTCCGATGATTGCCAACGCACTGATGCGGATGTTTGGCATCAGCCACACCAAATACACACTTGTTGGAGATGAGTATACCAGAGGAGTAAGTGGCGGCGAACGAAAGCGAGTGTCTATCGCAGAGACTCTGGCATCCAAGAGCACAGTGACATGCTGGGACAACTCCACGAGGGGTTTAGATGCCTCGACCGCCTTGGATTATGCTCGCTCTCTTCGCATCATGACCGACGTCACCAACAGAACAACCTTGGCAACGCTCTACCAAGCCGGCGAGGGAATCTATGAATTGATGGACAAAGTTTTGGTGATCGATCAGGGCCGCGAAATCTTCATGGGGCTTGCCTCCGAAGCCAAGCAGTACTTCATTGACCTGGGATTCGAATGTCCCGATCGACAGACGACCGCCGACTTCCTCACGTCCGTTACCGATCCAGTCGAGCGCCGATTCCGCGAAGGATATGCCGATCGTGCTCCGAAGACTCCTGAAGAGCTTGAAAAGGCGTTCAGGTCTTCGCCAGCATACCAGCGCGCTCAGGAGGATGTGCGAGACTACGAGAACTACCTCAAGGAAACGGACTACGAGGACACTGAGCGATTCGAAAATGCTGTTCAGACCGGCAAGTCCAAGCATGTGCGCAAGAAGAGCCCATACACGGTGAGCTTCATCAGACAGGTGCAAGCCTGCGTGAAGCGCGAGTTCTGGCTTCTGTGGGGAGACATGACAACACTTTACACCAAACTCTTCATCATCGTTTCCAACGGCCTCATCGTTGGATCTCTTTTCTACGGACAGCCAGAAGATACCGAAGGCGCTTTCTCTCGCGGTGGCACCCTGTTCTTCTCGATTCTCTTCCTTGGTTGGCTGCAGCTCACTGAGCTGATGAAGGCCGTTTCTGGACGCGCTGTGGTCGCTCGGCACAAAGACTATGCATACTACCGGCCCAGCGCGGTCACCATGGCTCGTGTAGTCGCTGATCTGCCAGTGATTCTGGTCCAGGTCGTTGTGTTCGGAATTCTGATGTACTTCATGACGAACCTGACCATCGATGCTGGCAGATTCTTCATCTACATGCTCTTCGTTTACATCACGACGATAATGCTTACAGCGCTCTATCGTCTCTTCGCTTCAGTGTCTCCGGAAATCGACACGGCTGTTCGCTTCTCCGGAATCGCACTGAATCTGCTCGTCATCTATACTGGCTACGTGATACCGAAGACGCAGCTGCTCTCAGAATACATCTGGTTCGGATGGCTCTACCACATCAACCCGATATCATACTCCTTCGAAGCTGTGCTCACCAACGAATTTGCTGGCAGAACAATGGAATGTGCTCCAAGCCAACTCGTTCCTCAAGGCCCTGGCGTCGACCCTGCGTTCCAAGGCTGTCCTCTTGCTGGTGCGGCAGTCAATGCGCAACAAGTCGAGGGCTCGGCATACCTCGCGACGCAATACAACTACTCGCGCTCCAATCTCTGGCGCAACTTCGGGGTCGTAATCGCCTTCACGGTGCTCTACATAATCCTCACCCTCGTCGCCACGGAATTGTTCGACTTTTCCGGTGGCGGCGGTGGCGCGTTGACCTTCAAAAAGTCAAGGCGCGCAAAGAAGCAGGTCAAGCAAGCCGCTCCAGCAGATGAGGAGAAAGGTGGACACGCCGATGACAGCGACAGCTCAACCAAGAAGGAGAGTGGAATAGGAGAATCTGGTGACTCTGAGAAAGAAAGCGAAGCACTCGAGCAAATCACCAAATCTGAGAGCATCTTTACCTGGCGCGATGTGGAATACACTGTCCCGTATCTAGGGAGCGAGAAGAAGCTTCTCAACAAGGTCAACGGATACGCAAAGCCTGGTGTGATGGTCGCCTTGATGGGAGCAAGTGGAGCAGGCAAGACAACTCTACTGAACACCCTTGCGCAACGACAATCCATGGGTGTGGTCTCCGGCGAGATGTTCGTTGACGGTCGACCACTGGACGGTGCATTTCAGCGTAACACTGGCTTTTGTCTTCAAGGTGATCTTCACGACGGCACGGCTACCATTCGGGAAGCGCTGGAATTCTCTGCGATCTTGCGACAAGAAGCCAGCGTCCCACGAGCAGAGAAGATCGCCTATGTGGACAAGATCATCGATCTTCTTGAGCTGAATGACCTGCAAGATGCAATTATTAGCAGCTTGGGTGTTGAGCAGCGAAAGCGTCTTACCATCGGAGTCGAACTGGCTGCCAAGCCATCTCTTCTGCTGTTCTTGGACGAGCCAACTTCTGGCCTCGATTCGCAAAGTGCCTACTCTATCGTTCGCTTCTTGAAGAAACTGGCTCATGCCGGACAAGCGATCGTCTGTACCATCCACCAGCCATCGTCGGTGCTCATTCAGCAATTCGACATGATCCTCGCGCTCAATCCAGGTGGCAACACTTTCTACTTCGGACCTGTTGGCGAGAACGGAAAGGACGTCATCAAGTACTTCAGCGAGCGAGGTGTTGATTGTCCTCCCAACAAGAACGTCGCTGAATTCATCCTGGAAACCGCCGCTCGTCCAGCTCAAGGCAAGAATGGCAAGAAGATCAACTGGAACGAGGAATGGCGCAACAGTCAACAGGCGAAAGATGTTATCGAGGAAATCGAGGGTCTCAAGCTCACACGCAGCAAGACTCAGCCAGAGTCCAAGCGCAAGGAACAAGAGAAAGAATTCGCGGCTCCTGTTGCAGTCCAGTGTGCCGAGCTTCTGAAGCGCACTTTCAAGCAGTACTGGCGAGATCCCTCGTACCTCTATGGCAAGCTCTTTGTCTCGGTCGTCATCGGCATCTTCAATGGCTTCACTTTCTGGCAACTCGGAAACACGATCCAGGATATGCAGAACCGCATGTTCACAAGCTTTCTGATCATCGTCATCCCGCCTACGATCGTCAACGCTGTTGTGCCAAAGTTCTTCACGAATATGGCACTTTGGCAAGCTCGCGAGTACCCGTCCAGAATCTATGGCTGGTTCGCATTCTGCACAGCTCAAGTGGTCGCGGAGATTCCACCTGCAATCATCGGCGGCTTGGTCTACTGGGTTCTATGGTATTTCCCTACTGGATTGCCTACCGAGGCTCCGGTGTCGGGTTACGTCTTCTTAATGGTGAGTTTTGTCCCACGCTCGATGCTGATTCTAGCTAACTCTTGCAGACCATGCTCTTCTTCCTGTTCCAAGCCTCATGGGGACAGTGGATCTGTGCCTTCGCACCATCTTTCACTGTCATCTCGAACGTTCTGCCTTTCTTCTTCGTCGTCTTCTCGCTGTTCAACGGTGTGGTTCGACCTTACTCATCGCTGCCTGTCTTCTGGCGGTACTGGATGTACTGGTAAGTCTTACTCTCATCCCCCGAGTCTCCGAACTTACCACTGACTCTCAATTCAGGGTCAATCCATCCACATGGTGGATCGGAGGCGTCCTCGCCGCCACACTCAACGGCGCTCAAATCCAATGCGCCGAATCAGAAACCGCGGTATTCGACTCGCCTCCCGGCCAGACCTGCTCGCAATATGCTGGTGCCTTCGCGACATCCTCTGGTGGCTATCTCTTGAACCCAGACGCGACTTCTGGGTGCATGCTCTGTCCATACTCGACCGGAAACCAATATCTCTCAACGCTCAACATTGAAGCATCACAAAAGTGGAGAGACTTCGGAATCTTCTTGGTGTTCGTCTTCACTAACTGGTTCCTTGTCTACTTCTTCATCTGGTCAGTGCGCACCAAGGGCTGGTCATTCGGCATGAGCCAGCTCTTTGGTGGCCTTGGAAAATTGGTCAATGCGGCCAAGAAGCCGATCGCACAGAAACTCGGCGGGAAGAAGAAGAAGGACGAGAAAGCTGATCAGGAATGATTGCATTGATTCTTTAGCGTGGCGTTACCGAGAAGTGAGATGATAGAGACAGAGCAAGAGTTATAGAGACCAGACTACAGCTTGTGAGGATTCAACGAGATGTATATATATAATGTCATACGACAAAGTATTTTATTTTCGACTACTTCCGACTTTCCAGACTTTTCTTCATAGTCCCCTTGAGAAGTCACACGCAACTCTCTGCCTCGCAAGCCAAGCGGAAGTGGGTCATAGATGGTTTGGTGACACAGCAGACGGATGACTACTGACGCACGAGCCCGCGTTCATTGCTGCTCGCGCGCCGAACGTAACACAGAACAGCGGTCGCGGTTTGGCTGGCAGGTGGGAGATGGGCACCTCATGCGGGTGCTCGCATGACAACTCCGCTGGGACCTGGCGTTCTTGCTCACCGCAGAGCACTCCGGCGGCCGTAACTGCATATGCTCACCCAAGCCCAGCATAGCGACAGCTGTCGGTCTCAGATAGTAGCTTCTTGGCGTCCTGGCGTGCCTGATGTCTCAAAAGACATGCACGTAGTACGGGCTCTGGCCTCGCTGCCGTCATCGTCGTCGTGCCCATACGGAAGCACGGCAGGCGGAAATGAGAGACCAAACAGAACTCTCGTGCCAGCATCGTCTCATTCTTCCGTTGCTGCCACAGCGACAATCTGGAGGCGAGAGACTGGAGGATCCGAGCGATTGCGTACTCTCGAGGAGAAGGACATTTAAGAATCAGCGCCTTGCTCTGTGCTTCAGCTTGGTCGACGGCTGTCACCATTGACGATGTTACAGTGCTACTGCAAGCCCAAACATCGAGCTTCCGTTTCCGAGTATGTATGTCCATGTATGCGAGAAGCTGCAGTACCGTAGGATGACTGCCGCCGTCATTTCTCGGACATACTAGTGGCTGGCCGGCTCCGAAATAAGGGAGGGAGTTCGACTTTGCTTGCAGTGATTGGATGTAGCTTGCGGAAAGTGACAGTAACAGAACACATACGCCTCCCGACCGCCTGATCGATGGACCCGAGAGCTCGGCACGTCCTCCAGGCGTGGCGTTCTAATATGTTATCCTCCGCCCCGCAGGGCATGAGACAACAGTCGAAAGCTGTCAGCCACTCCAGGAGGACTCAGCACGCACGCACGCTTGGACCGAGACCACTGCACAGGTGCTTGACTGGAGCCAGACGCGAAGATGCCAGAGGGGGCTCGAGCACAATCGATATGGCTTTGCGAACCAGCCTCGAGCGACGGCCGCCATGTTTGCTCAAATCAAAAGCAACAAACGCCTTGATGAAAGAAGCACAAGGCAAGACCCTCCATTGCTACGCAATTAGCATTGTCGCCATATCGACTGAAAGAGGCAGAGCGGGAGCATTGGGCAATGTACGATCTCGACCAGCTTGCGTTGCGTCCAGAGTCTCTCGCGCCCGCCATCGGCACAAACGACGACGTGCATGAGCATTGCATAGACCAGTGGACAAGCACATCTGAGACCTATGCTTTGTCCCTCACCGCAAACTTGTCAAAGCCACGGCCATCGGACGGTTTGATCTGCCTAGGTTCGAGAAAGCGTAGATGGTGCGCTAACGATCGACCCCTTGTTACATTCGGCGCAACTGCAAACTGCACTGTTACCGCCAGACCTCGTTCTCGCACTGGTCGCTTGCTTGATTCTGCTTTGATCTCTCTCGCCGGGAGTCAGACATGGTGGGGCGCGGGCACTGAGATCATCGTAGGTCAATGCAGCCGATGCAGCCAGAAGGCTCGCGGTCAGGGATCTAGCATATCGACACAGATTGATGCACTTACCATTGAAAGCGCCTCGTCCTCGCCCTTGGGACCTGTTCTTCACCGCTTCGCTGGCCTTTGCATCAAGGTTGGTGCTCTTGTCTGCTGCTTGTTATCCTGCCACATTGCATTTGAGCATGCCGTCGTCCTCTTACTCGCACATGCGGTCACCTACTGTCGACTCATCATCTCGAGGAGGGCCTGTTGGCCATCACGACTTCCCTTCGCTCATCGGAGCCAACATCCCGAACGACACCACCGCCACCATGTTGACGATAGACTCGCTCCTCAACCCAGCAGGCGGCCATCGATACCACGAACAATACGGCAACACCGCTCCGCCAACGCCAGCGTACAGCTCGTGCACCTACTCCCAAGGAGGTACTCCTCGACCGGAGACACCGCTTACCCCATCGCCAAAACGCCAGAAGCTCGTCAAAGATGCCGCCATGTTCATTCGAAACCGACCCCAGGGAGAAATCAACTACCCAGCTTCGGAATGCAGCGAAGAATTCGAGTGCCTCGCTCCTCACCAGCGTCAGGAACTTGCCCAGCAGCACCTCAACTTCCATCTTTATCCAAGTGGTCGAGGCGAAGATGGTCGGATCGAGGACTACGCTCGACGCATACCATATTCGAGTGAGAAGAAGGAGTTCTTGACAAAGACTGGCCGAGATGCATTCGAAGGTAAAAGAAGGCAGAAGATCCTGCGAATACGGAGAATAGGCTGACTTTTGAGGCAGTCTTCCATTATACCTTCATCGTTCCCAACGACCCAAATCGCAAGGAGCATGTCGTCATGTGGGACTACCGGATCGGTCTTGTCAGAATCACTCCCTTCTTCAAGGCCTTACAACATACCAAGGTAGGCGATGCCATTCCCATCGGGTGGCAGAATCTGACATGAGTATAGACCACACCCGCAAAGGCGCTGTCTACCAACGCTGGCTTGAAAGAACTCGCGCACTCGATCACAGGAGGCGCATTGGTAGCTCAGGGGTACTGGATACCATATGCTTGTGCTCGAGCGGTCTGCCTCACCTTCTGCTACAACATTCGCTGGGCACTGACGCCAGTGTTCGGTCCTACGTTCATCAACGAGTGTCTCAGACCAGGAGAGCCAGGCTTCGGAAGCTTCAAGATCGATCCTGAGGTCGTTCGTTGCGCTGCCCGTGAGGCCGAAGGCTGGCGCCCAGACAATTACGGACAGAGGATCATGCCGGTACCTGTAACAAGCCATCACTATGGACAGCCTGCTCCACGAAGTCAACCAGAAGAATTCCGCCAGCCAATGCCGGCGCCGCAGCCACGAGGCGGCCACATACGCTTCCACACAGATTCTCCCTTTGGTCCCAACGCGCACAGGTCCACTGGGCCTTCCTATACCTATGCCGGCCCAGGCGATGAGTCTCCGGCACTGTCGCCAAAGTCCACGAGCTACGAATACCAAGACAGTCCAGGGTGGACCAGCATCAACAAGAGGCATAACGAAGTCTATCAGCAACCATATGCCGGGCCTGGGGAGCCGCTCTCAGACTCGCTGCTAATGGAGCCACGCTATGCCCCGCCAGCGCCATGGCGTGCCGCAGAACCTCTAGGCAGCATGCCGGAGCAAAGACCTGTGGAGCCTGCTCACACGCAAGCCAAGCAAGCCTTGAAGCGTCGACACAGCGATGTAGACGACTCATCAGACGACCTTCCAGATGAAGAACCCGAAGCGGTCCTCAGCACATCCAGCGAAAGTGACGATGCGGATCTCCCGCTGTCTCCGCCACCGACACGTCGAGGAAGGAGTTCTCGTGTTACCCGTAGCAGCAAGAAGTCGAAGCCAGCCACTGGGCCATCGGGTAAGAAATTCACGGAAGCTGACGAGCAAGCCGCACGCTGGCTGCTCAACCTGAGTACCCGGGATTCTCAGTTGGCGCGGGAGCCAAATCAATTCAGCATGCGCAACTTCGAGATGAGCGGTCGATAGTGTGTTTCACTGGTAGATGTCAGCGAAGGTGTACAATTATTACGAACGACACGACACGGTGAAGAGTGGCTTACATAGGCAGGCGGTCGGCTGTTTGTCAGTCTTCACAGCTTGAGATCTCTGAACATAAAACCCGAACAAGTCGCAATCGAGGAGCAAGATTTCGTCCTTGACCAGAATTGAATGCCTTCGTGATCTGTTCAAGACTCACCTTTTGGCCCAAGTCGTTGCTAATGAGCGCAAGGCTTGTGCAAATGATTGTTTTGGAACTATATCACATGTCTGTGTCAGCAATCATTTTAACATGCCACGAAGGACAGAGTCCGGCAGCATGCTCAACGATCAACAGTACAGGAAGGCTCACCAGGTTGAGGGTCTCCCGCTGCTCCGAATACCTCAAATCATGAAGCCCTTGGTCTCCCCGAGACAGGATGCGGCATTCATTTGGCAGAGTCGCCCGACTCCAATATGACGTCGTTGGCCATGCGTATAATTATCCCACCAGAGGTCGAGTCAACAGGACCGAAGATTCACAGTAAGGCCAGAATGGCATCGGGACGGCGCTAAAGGGGTAAAATGGCACCTGGTTTCAGCGAGACTGGGCGTGCCATCCTGATAAAGCCTTGGACTATGCCTCTTGTGAAGTCCGGTAGCACTCGCAGTGCCACTTACCTCTAGATGGGAAGTGAAGACGCGTATACCATCTGCTACGCGTCAGACTCCAGAGTACTCTCGTCTAGCCTGAACGTCGGCAATCGGACGTAGTCGTGGGCGCCCATGTCCGCCGCTGATGTCCAGTCGAAGGACAAAGCAGCATATCAATCCGTCGTCTGTGGCTCTGCAGGACCATTGTGGATCGTGGGACGTGGGGTAGCACCATCACGTCGGTTTGGCGCCCAGGGGGAGGGGCGGGCTGCAGGAGAACAAAGAAGGACGGAATCGAGGTGGCATGTCTGGCTGCGGTGATTGTGCGGTGTCCGACGAGCCGTGGTCGCGCGGCAGGAAAGGAGTCGCTGTATTCGATCATCAGGCAAGAGCTGGGCGCTACTGCAGCGTGGCCTCGGCGCTTCTTGCGCTGCGAAGGCCGACGTTCTTGCCTCGACAGTGCGGACACGCGACACGCGACTCACTGCGATGATTGACTCTCCTTCTTCGTTGCTGCTTGCGCAATCAAGTTCTGTTTCCTGTTCGCGTGCAGGATGGGCCAGCTGCCGAGACGCGAAATGAGAACGCCAATGTGGCTTACGGGCTGCGCCAGCCCTGCTGTTCGTCAGCCTATAGCGCCAAACTTTGACCTTTCTGGCCATCCTTCAGATGCTTATAGACAGGAGCGCGTCTCATCTCGCGTGGCCCATCTGCACTTCACCTCTCCTGCCAGGCTTGCCCGACGACGAGTTCTCTCTGACCACCAGACAACGAACACCAGAGCAGGATGGTCGGCCTCGGATCTGGAGACGAGGAGAAGCAGCAATACGACCTACCGCACGAGCCGTTCCGAGACCTCCGATCCAGCACAGAATCGAGTGCGAGTTCTTCCACCACATCAACCACTGCTGCACTCAAAGAGGGCCGGGACATTGAAGCACAGTCGGAGCAGACGGTAGCTGCAGAACATCATGTGCCGGCCCGCTCCAAGCTGCTGTTCCTCGTAGCATACTTTTTTCTCAACTTGTTCTTGACACTGTCAAACAAGTCTGTGCTGGGCACGGTGCGCAGGGATCCGCCCCAGTACTTGGACTCTCACGCTGACATGATCATAGGCTCGTTTTCCATGGCTTCTGACAGCCGTTCACTGTACGGCGACTTCCATAGGATGCTTCGCCATGCTGGGCTTCGGCCTTCTCAAGCTCTCAACGCTCGGCACGCGGGAAAACCTGACCCTCGTCGCCTTCTCCTTACTGTTTACCGTCAACATTGCGATATCGAACGTTTCTCTGGCAATGGTATCGGTGCCATTTCACCAGATTATGCGATCCACGACACCTGTCATGACCATTCTCATTTACCGGTTTGCATACGCCAGGACGTATTCTAGTCAGACTTATCTTACCATGATTCCGCTTATCTCCGGCGTGGCCCTTGCGACTGTTGGCGATTACTACTGCACGCTTGCTGGATTTACAATGACGCTCTTGGGCGTAGTCTTGGCGAGTTAGAATCTGATGAATGCTTCATGTTCCGGGCTAATAATTCCCAGGCGGCAATAAAGACAGTAGCTACCAACAGACTCATGACCGGATCTTTGAAGCTTTCTGCACTCGAGGTCCTCCTACGAATGTCACCCTTGGCGGCGATACAGTGCGTGGTATACGCCTATCTTACCGGCGAAGCAGACCAATTCCGGATAGCATACGCCGAAGGCCAATTCTCCAGTACCTTCGGCGCTGCACTGTTCCTCAACGCAATCACTGCGTTTTTCCTAAACATCGTTGGATTCCAGGCCAACAAAATGACGGGCGCCCTCACGATTACAGTGTGCGGGAATGTGAAGCAAGCGCTCACTATTCTGCTGGGAATTGTCCTGTTTCATGTCCAAGTCGGCGCTCTCAACGCATTCGGCATGCTCATCACGTTATGTGGAGCAGCTTGGTACAGCCAAGTTGAGTTGTCTTTGCGAGCGAAACGGTAGCACGCGTTGTGGAATCTCCATTGCATACTTAGCGATAGCGATCGTCTTCCAATGATACCCCAGAATTGTATATCATGAAATGTCCTGACCTTGCACCAATTTGACTTGTGCCGTGTTACCCGAATTGAGCAGCCACAGACGTTTTGTACGACTCGTACTTCTTCAACCGAAGCGACTGTAGGGGCAGAAGGGTGATGGGATCAGCGACAACAATTTAATGCAAAGACGCAACATGATCACAGGATTGATCTCTACGCACAAGACACAGACTTTGTGCACCGTGTCAGCGCGCTCAGCGTTGAGCAAGCGAAGGTTTTTGGCCGTCGTTGCCAGGACGTGGCTGCCACGCTTTTCGCCGTTGGCAAGTCATGTTGGCAGCCTTGGATCATGTGCCAAGGGCGGGAGAAAACTTTCTGCACCATTGGCCACTCCTATGCGAAACTATACCTCCTAGTCTATGCATGCACAATCTGTTTTGAGGTTCCAAGATCGAAATCGAAGGGCCTGTCGTCGTCGCCGACGTCCATGAACACGTGACAAGAATCTCACGCTAAGCCATTTCGGGCACATGTAAACTTTGATTCGCCTGCCAAAAATCTAGTACAAGATTCCGTGAAGTGGCTTTGAAAACCATTTGGATCCGAAATCAACATGGCACAGGATACTGCGGCAGAAAAGAAGCAGCCCAAATCTTTCGAAGCTCTGACACCCGAACTGTCGCAATGGATCCTCGACTTCACCACCGGCATGGGGTTTGCCCGAACTACTCCAGTACAAGCCATGGCGATTCCGCTCCTAATGGGCAACAAAGATCTGGTCGTCGAGGCAGTCACAGGAAGTGGCAAGACACTCAGTTTTCTCATCCCTCTTGTCGAGCGAATACTGAAAGCCGAAGAACCAAATAAGCGAGGTTACGTGCGATCAATAGTTGTCGCGCCTACCAAAGAACTCGCCAGCCAGATATACGACGTGCTCATCGGCCTCCTGGACTTTCACAAACCTTCCGCGGCCTATCTGAAGCAAGCAGCAAAACCCGAAGTGGACAGCGAAGATGAAGAAATGGAAGATGTTGAAGTCGAGCAGGTGCCACCGGGTCCTTATGCTGTACCGCAGTTGCTTGTCGGAGGCAGGACGAAGCTGGCAGAAGACCTTGCCACCTTTTCGCAACTGAATGCGAATATCCTCATTGGCACGCCGAAGCGAGTCTTGGAAGTTTTGCAATCTTCAAGGGTTATCATAAAGCGACATTGGTTCGACCTTCTGGTGCTGGATGAAGCAGATCGCTTACTCGACGCGAACTTCCAATCAGATTTGCAGCGAATACTCGAGATCGTGCCAAAAGAGCGACGAACAGGGCTTTTCAGTGCATCTGTCTCGGAAGCAGTAGATGAGCTCGTTCGAGTCGGCATGCGGTATCCCTTCAAGATCAGCGCGAAAGTGCGCAGCAAAAGCGGTGCACTAGACAAGCGAACACCTGAGAGTCTGAAGCTGTATCATCTTGTCACAAAGCAGTCGCTCCGCATACCTCATCTCAAGCACATTCTGGAGCGAAGTAAAGCAGAAAAGGCGATATTGTACGTTTCGACTCGAGCTGGCGTGGACTACTGGAATCATATTTTGCAACCACTTCTTGGAATGTCAGTATATCCCCTACATGGCGACCACAAGGCGGCAATACGGATGAAGAACCTTCAGCGCTTTCGCGACTCAGTGTCGCCAGCGATTCTGCTTACCACGGACGTCCTAGCTCGAGGGATCGACATCCCGGATATTGATCTGGTTGTTCAGCTCGACCCACCGAAGCAGCCCAAAGACTTTATACACCGCTGCGGTCGCTCTGGTCGAGCAGGAAAGCGCGGCATGGCAATCACGTTCTTGAGCGAGGGTGGTGAAGAAGACTATGTCAAATATCTCAGCCTACAGGGCACCCCACTCGAGCCCTACCCTAATCCACCCAACCTGTCCGATGCAGATGCGAAGGAGACTATTGATGCGATCCGCAGAGTATTGGTACAGAAACGAGAACTCCACGACCGCTCACAAAAGGCATTCGTTAGCTGGATTCAGGCATACAGCAAGACCTTGCCCACAGACATCTTCAGCGTGCGAAGACTAGACTGGATCGAAGCCGGAAAGGCATGGGGTCTCCTTCGCTGGCCAAAGATGCCAGAACTGAAACGACATTTTCCGGAAGCAGTCACAGACAGGTCACATGGCCTCGACCTGCCTGCAGATTTTGACCTCAACAACGTAGCATATGCCGACAAGGTGCACGAAGCGCAACGACAAGCAGACAATGAAGCTCGTGCTCGCGGCGAGAAACCCCAGCTATCATCACAACTTCGAGGAAAACTTGCTGCGGCGAAGCAGAGAAAAGAAAAAGCATGGACAAAGCAGAAGGGCGCCAAAGCCGTGCGGGAGGAGAGGAGGGAGAGAAAAGAAGTCAGAAGAAAGGCGGAGAGCCATTCGAAGATGAGTGAAGCCGATAAGGCGAAAGAGCGGGAGCTGGAAGCGCTGATCAGCAAAGTCAGAGCTCAGAATGCCCAAGCTAAGGAGGATTTCGAGGGGTTCGACGATTAGAGGCTGAGAATAGATGAGTGACCAGGAAGTGCGGTCGTGGACCTCACGCGTGTGCTTCGATAGATCGGACTGGTGCATGAACCTCAGCGTGCATCCGCCCTGCTTGCATCCGAGTCTGAAATGCGGGCGGCTCTTCTAGTGCTCTTGCTTACCCTGCCAGGATGATCATTGCGGATGTGGCCTGCCAAGCTTGGTGCGCTCCTACATGATTTCTTACACTCAGCCACGACGCATTTATGTTTGTTGTGCTCTGCGTGGGTCCTGTGATGCCCAAAGCGGTCTGCGGTAGTCTTGAATGTCTGCTTACTTCCGAGAGACAGGCGAAACTTGCAGGAAAAGGTGCCATCTGGCAGTCGCTTGTGCGATGATCTGCATTTCTTCGTAGATCTCATGTTGAGGAAGGTGTTAGGACAGCCCAATAACTCTGCATATGGACACGGAATGCGCATTTCGGGATGTGCATACAGATGCTCCACGGCATCCTCTGTGGTGTCGAAGCTTTCGTCACAGTTGGCATGGGCACTAATGGGGCATGGATATCGACCGTCCGCGGTTGCAAAGTTGTGCATCTCCCCCAAGTGAATCCTGAGATAGCACACGGAGTTGAACCACCTGCCACAGCCCTCGCGCAAGCATCGGACGCGCTGCTCTTCTCTGACAGGGTTGTGGTCTGTGGTGTCGCAGTCGTTTGGATCATTTGCGGCACCATCGTTCGTAATGCTAGTGCTTGCATTGCCTGTGACGCTCGAGAAGCTGGCGCGGGCATCGCTCGTGATGTCACTGCTGGCAATGCTCGCGCTGCTCCCATTGCCATTGTTCGTGGTCGCTTGAACGGGAGTCTGCTCGGTCACCTGAGCGATGAAGTCCTTCGCCTGTTGTATTATGACTCCTTTGGGTGCAGTCTTACGCACAACCGAACGGTGTTTGTCCCGACTCTCTGTGACAGTGGAGTCGTCTTGCATGTCCGGCTCATGCGCTTCGTCGGCAAGGCGACGGATCGCGTCTCCTATAGTGTTTGTAGCTGTTGGAGTCGTTAGGCAGCTCGAAGCATCGTCGTATGACGCGGATACAAGAGCCCGGCGCATGACTTTGCCATTCCAGCTCTTGCTGTGACTAATGACATGAACAGTATCGAGCAGGGTGAGTCCCCGAGTTCTATTCATCATAGCGAGGCCTACGTCGATTGCAAAGTCGAGGGCTCGCATTTCGTTGGGTGACTGTCCCGTATGAAACTCGGCTTTTTGGGCGTGGGGAATGGGGACTCCCAGTCGATATCCATAGTCGCGCTGGTGGATAGTGAAGTTGACTGGAAACGCTTCCTTCGAGTATGAAGCGACATCAGCCGCAACAATGACCTCCGTTGCATTTTCGAACATCTCCTTGATCTGGTACGCTCCTGCGGCAAGTTTCACTGGTGCTGTGCAGACAGATTGACACCATGCGGCAAACTCCACCATGCGTGCAGTCGCAGCATCACCCCGCCTTTGAACGGCGTCGTTGTAGGTCGGCCTGCGTTTCGCCGTGGTAGTGACTATGGATTACCTATCAGAGAAGAACATTGTGTTGTCCCGGTCGCATAGGTATGCAGCTCAGAACAGTGCTAAGAAAGGGCTGTCATTGCGTCTCGTACTTGGATAGCTCGACTCAAGGCAGAGTTTAGTAGTAAATGAACACTTAGATGGTGCCGTGAAATCTTTGGGCTGAATGTATCCGCGGCCTGAGCGAAAAAGTATTAGACGGATGTCGCGGACCATCTTCGAAAACTCCATTCTAACCTTGTTACAGTCTCAACCATCACACAACGGCTCCAATCCGAGCTGGATAGCGTCCTGTAATGGCGGATCCGGACTCGCCGCTGGCGCTACGTGTGGGAGGTCGCAGCTTTCACCAACGCTCTGTTGATGAATTGCAGACAGAAGATGGCTGGTGGTCTTGGGAGCCCCTCCAGTAAGTATGCAAGCTTTTCCTCTGGTGTGGAGCGGTGTACTCCGTCGAATATCACCATCTCGTGGTCGTAGCTTGAGAACCACTTAGGATAGCCATGAAAATCAGGCGATGATGGACTGGTATGGTGTTGAACTTCGCGACGCTGGTCACCTCAACGGCTTCACGTTAGTGACTAATGTACAGAGTGAGAGGGTGATATGTGCACGCTCGACGGAGCTGTCTTCAGGCCTCCCGCGAGGTCTCTCGCGTTGCGGACGAACTTGGCATTCATCATTTCCAGTACCAAGGTCCTTTCGTCATGCTTCCTATTGTTCAGAGTGCTGACATTCAGATTGTTCCACTGGTAAGAACCTGTTCGCTGATTCTCTGCAGATTTCGTGGCAGTCAGACATCTTCGTTGGCATCCTTCGGTGCATCTATATTCGCGGGTTTAGGAAAGTCTGCCGCTCACGCTGCTTGTTCAGGTTGATTGAGAGGAGACGTCGGGCCATCGTGATAAGAACGATGGAGGTGGAGCACATTCGTCAGGCTTCGACTGAAGTTCTGTGGTGAGATCAGTTGACGTTGTTGGTTGCTGGGATGCCAGCCGCCCTGTTTTGCTGCCTGCCGACGATAGCCCGATGTGAGGTGTAATCATCTCCAGCCCTCTGTCTCTGCCGCCCACTTGGAGACCGCCTTTCCCTGGCAGAGAGCTTGTGTGCCTGCGGCTTCTTTAGCTTTGCTTTGAGCTGCATGTGAGATGGAGTGCCTGAGTCGTGATTCGCGGGCACTCAGCGTGTAGAACTGAGCACGCTAGTTACGCAATCCTGGCAAGCTGGCACAGCTGGGGTAGGAGCGTCGATCACAGTGGTCCACGAGGCGGCCGCAGGCGCCATTGGTCGCGCGTGTTGAATGCCCTTCCCTTCGCTCTTGTTTCCAGCTCAATTGTCTCTTTCTCTTTCTCTTTCCCTCTACCACAACCTCGTGCAACCCATCCCACGCGACACGGCGCCTCACCACACATTGGTACACGAGCATCACGAATAACCAAGACCTTGCTGTCTCATCAGCCGCGACTACCTCACCTCACCGTCGCCCTACCATACCGATCAGCTGCATTCACTCCACATCTGCATTGGCTTGAGATCCTCAGCTCATTTCTCGATCCACAATCAAACCATCGACTTCCGCGACTACCCTCACGATCCGGCATCATAGGAGGCTCACCGGCTCTAGCAGACCTTGTGCACAGGTTACAGGCGCAGGATAAGCAACCGATTTCATTTGATACTGACCCACAGTCGTGTTTCTCGACCAAACATTGCAGTAGCACCCTGTCACCCGCTATCACGATGTCGAACAGTTTCTCCAACTCACCAACGGTTGTGCTGCCGCCTTCGGCACCCAGTTCATACTTCGCCAATAGCCACTATGTTCAGCAGCAAGATAGCAATGCCCACATGCTCAATGGCATTAGCCCCACGGGTCTGGCGAACGCGAACGCATTCAAATCAAATGCCACCACTCCAGGCTCGATCGCAGGTCGCAAGCGTTCTCGCGGCGACATCTTCTCGCAAGACGACGAAGAGGAAGAACATCTCGAAGACGGTTCGACTGTCACTCCTGGCAATGATGGTGGCCCTGTCAAACCTCGAGGCAAGCCAGTTTACGGCCCAGGAATGCAGATATTCTATCCTGAAGATGAGGGCTACGTCCAAGCTGCTGAGTCGCAATCGCATATCGAAAAAGAAGAGCTCGACGCCCGCCGCCCATTCGCTCTGGCGCACTCGAAGCGTCCCAGCGTGACGTCCCGCAAGTCACAGCGCATGGGCCCTAGTGCCGCTGGTCCAGACGACCTGGCTCAGCTGGTTCTCCCACCGACTATGAGAGAAGCGACCAATGAGCCACTGATCGATGAAGCCACTCGTCGTTTGGGTATCAGTTGGACGCGTATGGATACCAGTGAGGGCCGTCAAATCAACCAGAGAGCGTACTCGAAATGGATCAGCAACCATTACCCACAACTCAACGATGTCTCCATCTGGTTTGAGAACAGCTCGATCCCCGGATATCTCGTGGCAGCTCTGAACGCCTACAACGGACAGCACGAGTACTACATCTTCTCTGAAGACCTGACCGAGGCCCGTTTGGTGACCACCGACCCAAGTCAACTTATTCCGCGCCTCCAGATGTTGCCGGCTCTTCATCTTGCGGCCCCCGGAGGATGCATCAGAGCTGAAACAGATCCGATCACCGCCGACCAGAATGAAGTCACCAGCGCCATGGTTGACAGCTTGCAAGCCTACAGTCAACCAAACGGATGTGCAGCTCATGCGATGGAGCTGGACTGATCGTGCGTGGCTGGAGACGAGCTTCAACTTACTGCACCACTTGCCTTCGACCGATACAAAACGTGTGCTTCACTAAAATCATCCGATTTGGGCGGTCAAGTCCTTCAAAAGTCGACTCGCGCTCGAGCGCTGGAGTTGGGGTTATTTTGCTGAGATCTGCTTCGCGTTCGTTTTCCGTGAGGCTCTACTGGGGCTGAGCCTGCGGCATATGCTGTGTGTTACTATTTGCTGCTGTTACAAAGTGTACTATAACATCAATCAAATACGATTTTATGACCAAAATTACTCAATCAAGTACGCGTGCAATACTTCTCTGTCTTATGTTCAGTCTCTTGTGCGCGAGTGCCTACATGTAAACTTGACGCTGTGTCGATCGTCCGCCAGCAGGCCCGAGCTCTTTGACGCTCGCACCTCTACTTTAGCTGCACACAGCAGTGACCTCGTGCACCACCACTTCCACGAAACACTTCGAATACCGCAATCATGGCTGAAGGAATGTTCTACGTGAGTGTGGCCATATCCATCATCTCCGCCGGCGAGCTGTAACTGACGGTGGCGGCTTCTATACAGAATGCGACCAACGGCTACGTCGAGGGCATCGTGCGTGGCTACCGGAGCGCACTGCTCACCGGCCAGAACTACGGCAACTTGACACAATGCGAGAATATCGACGGTATGACATTGAAGAGGCTGCCAGTTGTGCAGACGGAACAGACACTGAGAGCGCGCCAGATGTCAAACTACAACTCGGACCTGCGTACGGCGACTACCTCGCCTCCCTCCCACCAAACCCATCCACATCCGCTCTCGCCGATAAAACGCTCGACAAGCTCGTCGCCGAGTTCCGCTACGTCCAGGCCCAGGCCACGGGGAGCCTCGCGAAGTTCATGGAGTACCTGACATATGCCTACATGATTGACAACGTGGCGCTTCTCATTACGGGCACTCTACACGAACGCGATACGAAGGAACTGCTGGAGCGCTGTCATCCTCTGGGCTGGTTTGAGACGATGCCAGTGCTGTGCGTGGCCACGAACATCGAAGAACTGTACAACTCAGTCTTGATCGAAACTCCGCTGGCGCCTTACTTCAAAGGTAGCATCAGCCACCAGGATCTCGATGAGCTGAACATCGAGATCATTCGAAACACACTGTACAAGAACTACCTCGAAGACTTCTACAGATTTGTGAACGAGGAGCCAGGGATTAGTGGTACTCCCACGGCGGGAGTAATGAGCGAAGTGCTGGAATTCGAGGCGGACAGGAGATCAATAAACATCACAATCAACTCCTTCGGGACAGAACTTTCGAAGCAGGACAGAAAGAAGCTATACCCTAACTTTGGCCGATTGCATCCAGAGGGCACTTTGATGCTGAGCAGAGCGGACGATGTGGAGGGCGTGCGGATAGCAGTCGATGGCGTCTCTGACTACCGAACCATGCTGGATCAGACGGGGATGGGCGGCAACTCTCTGGGCAACCAGTCTGGCGGTATTGGAGGCGATGAGGGGAAGAGTCTGGAGGATCTGTTCTACCAGAAGGAGATGGAGATCGCGAAGTTGGCCTTTACCTACCAATTCACGCATGCAGTCGTGTATGCTTGGGTCAAGCTGAGGGAGCAGGTGAGTTTATCTTCAGAACGAGTTCACATTAATGAAGAGCCTACTGACATTCTTGACAGGAAATCCGGAATATCACATGGATTTCGGAATGCATTGCGCAGAACCAGAAGGACAGGATTAACAACTTTATCAGTGTATTTTGAGCATAGCAGGAACAAGCTTTGGCGCTCGGGGTTCTGGTTCTGTATAGTGCTGAGGAGGTACATGAGCATAGAATGGTAGCAATCAACAGATGAAACCTGTATCAGTAAAGGCGCTGCCTGATCCGCTCATGATATTCCCCACAGAGACGTCCAGAGGGTGGTGCACTCGCAGAGATTCAGTCGTCCTGTTCACAGTCTCACATAGTATCCGCATGCATCTGAGTGAGTGCGTGACTGCCTGATTTGCTGATTTGAGTGCAGAAGTGAAGGCGTGCCAGCTGCTTTCACATGACTGGCGGCAGGGATCGGCCACTTCTCCGCCGATTGCAGCTCGACGCGCCACCACTTGCGACACTTCGAGGATACAGTACCGATAGCCGCATAAGATATTGAGCATGGCCAGCGTGAAGGAGGAGAAGCGCAAGGCTGAGGAAGGCATCAACGGCCACGATGCTAAGCGCATCAAACCGTCTGTGTCGCCTCCGCCGGCGTCGCACGAAGAGGAGCGCGACGAGGACGAGGACGACGGAACCTTCACGATCAATCACGCCGCGTACCCCGAGAAGCCCGCAGTCGTCGAGGAGCGCAATGGCGATATCTCGTTCTATGTCGTCAACAATGACGGCAAGCCCTCGTCGCACATCATCCTCACCGGCCTCAAATGCATCTTCCAGAAGCAGCTCCCCAAAATGCCCAAGGACTACATTGCGCGACTCGTCTACGATCGAACCCACCTGAGCATAGCAATCGTGAAGCGCCCTCCAGCCGGCTCGTTCGCAGAAGCAAGCGGCCTGCCCGGAGAAGTGGTGGGCGGCATCACATATCGGCCCTTCAAAGGCAGGCAGTTCGCCGAGATTGTCTTCTGCGCAATCAGCTCTGATCAGCAGGTGAAAGGATACGGCGCACATCTCATGAGCCATCTTAAAGACTACGTCAAGGCTACCAGCGATGTCATGCACTTCCTGACCTACGCCGACAACTATGCGATTGGTTATTTCAAGAAACAAGGATTTACAAAAGAGATCACATTGGACAAGCCCAAGTGGATGGGATATATCAAGGATTACGAGGGTGGTACCATAATGCAGTGTTCCATGCTGCCCAAAATCCGCTATCTCGAATCAGGGCGAATGCTGCTAAAACAGAAAGCTGCTGTTCATGCAAAGATCCGAGCAGTATCAAAGAGCTACGAGGTTCACCAACCCCCTAAGGCTTGGAGGAACATCAAACCCGGCCAGCCTCTACCTGAGATTGATCCACTATCCATTGACGCAATCAAAGCGACAGGTTGGTCACCCGACATGGACGCACTCGCACGCCAACCTCGGCGCAATCCTTCACACAGCCTTCTACTTGGCCTGCTCTCAGCCCTGCAAACAAGCAGCTCAGCATGGCCTTTCCTCCAGCCTGTCAACGGCGAGGAAGTTCACGATTACTACGAAGTCATCAAAGAACCCATGGACCTCAGCAGCATGGAACAAAAGCTGGACAAGGACCAATACGAAACCGTGGAAGACTTCGTCAAAGACGTCCTACTCATCGTGCGGAATTGCAAACGCTACAACGCCGAAACAACACCATATGCCAAAGCTGCCAATAAGCTGGAGAAGGAAATGTGGAAGAAGATTCGCGAAGTGCCGGAGTGGTCGTACCTGGAACCGGAAAGTTTTGAGAGCACGAATCGAAAGCCGGAGGATCAGTAGGAAGTTCCACCTCCAACGCGAGCTGCTCCACCGGATCCTCCTGATATAGGGCGGCGCAAGGTCCAGAAGGAGCGAGCCACGGGGCTTGACAGGAATGGGAAGCCCAGTGTACGTGGCCGGAGAGGGCGACCCCCTGGTCCTCGGTAAATACTCTGCTTCTGAGGCTATCAATATATTGCATGATAGACGACTTGATAACATTGAATGAAATACGACTGCCTTTGATTGAGGTAGTAGCAAAACAGCTTGACCAGAATTACATGGCGTCACATTCATTTCTTCACCACGCATGAGCGCAAAATCGTAGCTAATGAGCATACTCTCAACACAGCGGCGTTTCTAAAGCTTTGCAATCCCGAATATCAGACATGCATTCGCATAAGTCATCAATCATCAGCATATCATACACCATCGTTCTGATCAGCACATTCACACCATCGCCTCATCTCCTAATTTCTCATCCATAACCACCCCCTCATCTATAGCCTTCCCCTCTCCCCAACCCTCGTCTTCCACTGCACTCCCCTCCTCTCCCACCACCAAAGCCGGCCGATCAATCAACTCCACCTCATGCATCCTCCCTTCCGCATCCTTATACACAACTTTATCCCTCGTAGTCTCTTTCGGGATACTATGCTGAAACGTCACAGTCGAGTCTCCCACCCCAACATGCAACCCCGGCGACTCATTATTGATCTTGTCTTCGTCTTCCTTACGACGTGCAGCCCTGTGAGCACCGAAACTTTTGTTCGGGATTTCTAGTGTTGTGGTTTGCATTTGTTGTTGTTGATGTGTTAGACCTGAACGTCTCCGGTCTTCTTCGGTGAGGATTTCTTCTGCGGAGTTGTTGTTGTTGTGGGGGAGGATGGTGGATTTTTTGAGGCGGAGGGGAATGTAGGTGAGGAGATTGGAGAGAGGGGGGAGGCAGATGAGGATTATGCTGAGGTTGACTTGGAGGATTGTCCAGCTTGTTGGTTGAATGAGTGAGGATGTGAGCGTGGCTGGTACAGAAGAGCTTGTCGGTGTCGTTGGAGAGACGATTGTGCGACCTAAGGTACAGATAATGACAGCCAGCCCGGTAGTGTAGATGCAGATGAGTCTGAGGTTCTGGGCCTTGGACAGCTTTGCTGCGAGGAGAGGCGGGACCGGGAGGAAGAGGAGGGCGACGCTGTAGATCAGTTCTAAAGCGCTCGACGCTCGTTGCAGGGTTGCGATGTTGAGGCATTGACCTTGTTTTCCGTAGACAGAATTCCAGATCGAGGCGACCGGGGTGCATTGGAGGACTGTCGCCAATTCGGTGGCGACGAATGTCAAGCTGAGTAGGCCAATAAATGCCCAACACAGTGATCGATACGCGGTGCTGACAGCAGGCGAGGGAAGAATCCGGAGGTAGAGTAAGACCAAAGTGACTTTCGTGCCGAACAAAATGAAGTGTTCCAGTAATGTGAAGGCGTAGAACAGCTGTGAACGTTAACAACAATCGAAAAGCGATCATGTGTCTGGACAGTCCTCTCACCTTGGCGAACTCATTCAGCTGATCGATGCTGAACAGATAGCTCTCTGCACCGAGCCCATTGGCTATGGCAAGATGAATGCATATTGTTGAGCCAACAAGAGCAGCATAGCAGGAGAACACCATCCAGTCGTCGACACGGAATCTGCTTTTGCTCATCATACGTGAGACTGATCGGCCCAAGACGAAGGCTGTCGCGACCCCGAACGATGTCCATGACAAGATCTTGATCGCGACAGAATGGTTACTTTGCGAGGTATCGCAAGTTTTCGCGTTGAAAGCTTGCGATTCTACGCACGTTAGCAAGTTTCAAAGCTATGATCAGGATATGAAATACCCAGATGCTCAGCGATCGTGCAATTGCTTGCGACGCATACATCGAGCATGTCTTGCAGGCCATTGGAAACACAAAAGCATAGGTCTGTGTCTGAAGCACAGTTATACACTGGCAGTATAACGTCGTGGCATCTTTGCTGCAGACGTGTCAATTCATTTCCCACATGTGATGTACTTCCGATGCGATGCGTACCACGCAGGTCGACAATCCATCGTTCTGGCGAGTCTCGATCGCGCTCACATGCGTGATCCAGCTCATGCAGGAAAGAATTAGTGAGAGCAAAGATAACGAGCCTCTCATTTTGACGAGAAAGCAGCGTATAAACCGTGAGAGGAAGCTGAGCTGACCTTGGCAAGCGACGTCGACAAGTGAAGTACAACCAACAGCTGTGGCTGCCATCTATGATCGACAAGCAGATCCATAGCTGGCCATGTGCGAAAGCAGCGATGAATCCGCCGATACCCTATATTCGATGCTGTAGATAATATCTTCGGCATATATAGAAGTTGTAGAAGTCTCCAAGAACCAGAATTCGAATCCAATCGCCGCTCGGAGCGCGATCTGTAGGTGTATTTGACTCGAGTGGACTTGAAGTAAAGCGCCACAGGTGTAGTCTTGACAAGCTCATGCACATGCGCGTCGGCTGAGTCCAGTCGGCTGGGACTTCATCATGGCCTTGCTCAGTGTTTCCGTGTGTGTAGACTATGCTGGGATGCATTATCGACAAGTACACCGCGCCCGCGATTCTATTGAAAAGGACATGCGTATGCCGCAGCATAATTCGCGACTGCGAAGGCACTCTTTCTTCTGCATCAGTGCAGCGAGCTCAGCGGTCGTGCGGAGGTCTGTGTATATGTCGTATCCCTGCAAATATCGTGCATTGACATCATGCATCCCATATGTGGTATTGGCATGACTCGTACAGCTGCATAAGCATACGGCATTGTCTTCGCTTGTGAAATGATCAGAGGCCGAAAGCTCGCAACGATGGCGTCAAACTGCGCGCCAACGCTTTGCTCTGGAGATAGCGCTGAAAGCCTGTACTCCTAGTAAGCAGTCGAACACATATTTCCTCCCAGCACGCAGTGATCCAGCGTCCTCTTTTCAGAAAGTCGAGAAGATTTTGTTTAAAGCTGGCGTGAAAGCATGCTCAACCTGAGAGCCGGTTGAGCTATCATATGGCCCCAGCGTTGGTCATCATTGGGTTCAGGATTGATGATAGAAAACACAGTCTACTTACTCTGCGCTTTGGCATGAATTCAACCCGATGGTGCTGATCGAACCTACCGCCCGTCATGGCATGAGGGTTTTGCAGCCCAGCGTGAAATGGATTGTCGGCCAGGAGTCCGGGCAAGCCGGGCTCTACAGTGAAGCCTTTTTCGAGGACTCCTCCCGCTCCAGGTACAGTCTTGAAGCCAACACGCAGCCAATACTCGCCTGTCTCTGCTGTCGAGTACACAGTATTGAGACGGAGTGCTCCTCGTTGCTTGACCAGATCTTTCATCGCCTTGGTGACTAGAGTGCTCAGACCCGTGCGGCGATGGGTAGGATGTACGCAGACGCAACACAGCTCCCAATCTTCGACCACAGAGGATTTGTGATCTTCATTCCTTACGCGCTGCTCCGCGGGAACGTTGTGAGCACTGGCACCTTCATTACTACCGCTTGCGGCGTTCGCGGCGTCAATCCAGTTTGGACCACGGAAAGGGACCACTCCTGCGCACGCGACAGGATTGTTTTCCAAAAGGGCGACCGCAAGGGCACCCTCAGATCCAAGTCGCCAGCCAGTCTCTCTGCTGCAATATCCGGGTCCAATGGCAGACGTGTCCATGTGGGCGGAAATGCAGAATGATCCTTATTCTGAAAGGCCGCGTTGATGGTGAGGTGCAACGCCGCCCACCATGTCTGCTCCGACAGGGCGTTTCCTGGTACGAGGACGATACGGGGGTCTGCCATAACCGGCGTGGCAGACGAAAGAGGTCCTTGGAGCGTCGTTTCTGCTTACGAGTCTAGGCAACGGCTGTGGGCTTCGCCAGAACTTAGCTCTTTTGGCTGGCTAGGAGAGGAAAGGCGTTTCATTTTGGAAGTGCACAAGCCGTACTCGGATAGGCGAAGATTCGTGAGGATTCCGGCGTGAAGGCGTAGGCCGCGCACGTTGGCTCCACCTCATGTCCGAGCAGCCAACAATGGTATAGGCTTTGACAGATGCAGGTGCAGAGCTGCCAAACAGGTGTTGCCCAACATCGCGGGACCGGAGGAGCGACGCGCTGTCTTCGGCGGGCGGCGGCTGTGCGAACTCTGCGTCAAAAATAGCCTGTATCGAATGACACGTTCGACGCTGATGACCTGATGATTTCTGTTGCCCGGCTAGATGAGGCGACGAGGAGACGTGGTGGCGATGGGTCAGCGCGGAGGAGGTGATGTGATTGACGGTTGTACAAGAAGACGCGTACAGACGGTGTCGCGCTCGAGGCGAGGTGTCAGGCGTGTGAAGCACAGGACTCGCGGATCGACACAGGCACTAGACCCCGACTAGCGCCAGCCGTGCCTGCCGACTACTGACTGCTGTGACGTACCTTCTTCGCCTGCGTCCGGCCTTCCGCTGCGCTGCGTGGTGGATGAGGTGAGCAGGCAATCAGCACAAAGGTCACGACCTGCTGTGCCGCCTGCGCTGGAAGATTGCCTGCTGAAAACGTTGGACTGGACGATTGCGCCGTGGTTCGGTAGCTTCGAGACAAGCACACAAACACGGCTGGCCAAGAGATCGACAGGTGCTGCGCAGCTGCTTTTCCCTCAGATCAGCACACCCGGGCCCTCGGACTGCCTCTACTTCTACCCTCCTCCTCACCGTACCTGGACCTGTGAATGCCGACGCAAGGACTGCGCTTGTTGCAGCGCAGAGCGGCACCTGTGCCATGTGGCAGCGAGTCAAAACCGGCTCCAAAGCATCTTTCGACAGAGCGTATGCTGCGCTAGATAAACTCGGCCCTCCAATAAATAAGCTGAGCAACAGACTGGGATCAGAGGCATTCTGGCCGACGACGTTAGATAAGGAGAGCGACAAGGCTGCGCGGATATTGAAGAGCTTCTGCAGTGAGTTGAGACATAAATGCGTGGCTTCCGCAGGCTAACGGTACGCAGAGGATGGCTTCTACGCAGAAGAGGATGTGGAGGCGGGTGATGGGCCGAAACAGAAGCAGAAAGTGTTGCAAAAGATACCCGAACATGTGATTCGCAATGCCAAAGGACTCGCCATCTTCACTACCATGAGGACGGGTTTGTGGATCAGCGGCGCAGGTGGCTCAGGCATATTGATCGCGAGGAAGGAAGATGGTACCTGGAGCCCACCGTCTGGCATCATGCTTCACACCGCGGGGCTGGGCTTCCTCGTTGGCGTCGACATATACGACTGCGTCGTGGTGATCAACTCGCAACGAGCGCTCGATGCCTTCACCAAAGTACGGTGCACACTAGGAGGCGAGATTTCCGCAGTCGCGGGCCCGTTCGGCGCTGGTGGGACTCTGGAAACTTCTGTTCACAAGCACCAAGCTCCGGTGTACACATATCTCAAAAGTCGCGGCTTTTACGCTGGAGTACAGATCGATGGCACAATTGTCATTGAACGAATGGACGAGAACGAACGCTTCTACGGACAAAAGCTTCCAGTAGCTGAAATTCTCGCTGGGAAAGTCCGCCATGCTCCTTACGAAATCAGGAGACTACTGGAGACCATCAAGGCTGCGCAAGGCGATACTGACATCGACGACAGTTTGATACCGACAGAAGCGGCGCCAGGCGACTACGAGATTGATGATGGGACTTCATTTGGTGTTCCAAAGATGGACGATCCGGACCCGTATGGCGTGCTGGCACTGGAGAAAGAAGGCATGACTCTCAAGGAGGCTGGTACGCACAAGAGAGCTTCTTGGGAGCAGTTTTCTTTCAACCCGGCCCCGACATCTCCCATATATCCGATATACACTCGGCAAAGCCAAGACTTGAGCGCACGCTCAACGAGCCGACGTAGTAGCTGGCGGTCGAGTGCGTTTAGCGCGGAACCGAAGACACCGAGCTCTCTGAGGAATAGTTTGGATCGGAGGCGCTCGCTTGTCGTAATGGCAGACACATCGACACAGACAGAACCCGCCGTTGACGTTCCTCCGTCACCAAGCAGGAGAAGCATAGGCGGCCACAGTCAGCATAGTAGCAAAGGCAGCATTTCGAACCTGAACACGTCGACTATGCAAGACGTCCCAGAGCATGAAGTTCTCACAACACCACACGCACAAGACGCGCCTGTCAACATCAGCACTGCGAATGGCTACACCACTCCTCCTCATACACCACCCGCGACGTCGGAAGCTCCTCACGATGTCTCTGACCACGAAGACGATCATTATGACGATGTACAGATCATTGAGCAACCGGTCGTGCACTCCGTTCAATCCGTGCAGCCTGTCACATCGCAGACCTTGTCCAAGGCGCGCATCGTCAATGTTCCCAAACGTTTACCGCCTAAGCTGCCTCCACGGAACCCAGGACGCAATGTCGCGGTCGATCAGTCCCCATTGTCTCGCACTCCTTCGCCGGAAAAGTTTCCAGCCACTGCTGCCGTGCAAAGCCTGCCCGCACGTACAGACGGAACCGTGGCTGATATTGATGTGGGGAGTCCTCAAGAGAAAAGCGCGGAGGAGTTGGTGCGCAACGCGGATCCCGTCAGCCCCATCTCTGAGGTGGGGGCGGAGATTATGACAGCCACAAAGCTTGAGGCAGTGAGTCTGCGTGGTGTCCAGAAGGAGCTGGACAAGGATCACGCCGTCTCGCCTATCACCACCGAGCAAGATGAGAAGCGTGGAACCACAGTACCGGAGGCGAAAGAGAAGATGCCAGGAGGCTTCGACTGAGAAGTTCCATTTCTTGCAATTATGGATAACGAATGATGAAAGGTCTTGGGTATGGATATAGCGGCAGCGAGGGCGTTACTTAAGGGGCATGTGTGCTCGTCTAATACCCCAGTCTCATGCATGGGATGCGGATGTCCGGCAGGATTGATTCCTGGTCATTATTGAGATCGTGTATAGGTTATTGTCAAGTCGTATTCCTGGTTGAGGTTGTGGGGACCATCTACCTGTTTCACAGCATGGCTCAGAGGCGCTAATCGTGCATGATCACATCCTCTCATCGCCCTGCTCGAGCAGATGTGTGTGGGGCACACAGGGCCCGATGAAGGTCTTGCAGTGCGCATTGGGCTGGTCCGATGGCTCAATGAGAACAATATAGGTAATGGTCGATACGTCGATACGAGTGGACGTGGAACTGCACCGGCCATTGCCAAGCACGGTGAAGGCGCTAGGCCACTTTTCGACGACACCTTTCACGAGCGTCGCTGCTCACTGCTCACACCACCGCAAAGGAAGTTCGTGATTTTTCTGCCCGAGCATACACTTTCATGACTGTCAAAAGAAAAGCATACACCCGCGTGCATAATCTTCCGGTCTCCCGCACGGATAAACATCGCAGCTCGAAACTCTGCTCGATAGGGCTCAGAACTTTGCTTCAAGCCTCGGTCACGCCACCCAGATCCATGGACTTGTAAGTGCGAGAGGGTTTGAGGCTGGCACCGAGGATACGGTTTTCCGCAGCAGCTTCGTCGGGGAGAGCAAAGCGGGGCGGCGATGATGTATTGCCCTGCTCAGCGATATCATACACACTGACGCTTGATGTTCTCCCATAACTTCATGCAGTGCAACCTTTCTTCAGAATCGCGTAGAATGTCCATTGGAAACCCCACCAAGGCACAGCCACGTCTTGCTCAGAGTCCGCTCGGGGATGGCGGAGCTACGACGCGCGCGCGCGGTAGGGCCGAAAGTTCCGTCGTCCAGCGGTAGACTGCACTGCAATAATGCGCAGCACTCCACGCTGGATGCATCTCAGAAAGCCGCGGTGGGCGTCGCTTCAGCTGCTCCATTCGGCGCGAGTGAGACCTGGCGTATCCACGGCACTTCAGCATGGCGGCCGATCTGAATGCCGGGAGCACAAGAGTCTGAATCAGGAAGCAGACGCCATCCTTCACGCTTGACGTGTCGATAAATACTGCAGCAGGAAGTTGCTGACAATTGGCCTGCAGCAGACGGACTGCGCTACCACCACCAAGGCCGATGTCCCGCCTTTCGAACTTTGCCGCGTTGCCTGCAGCTGGCACACCTCATGATGCTGTCTATCCTCTGCGGCTCTTCTGACAAGCGCCAGTCGCCGCTACTGCTGTCTCCCACCAAGGCCAGCGCATGAACTTTATGCACGCGCTCACAATGGAACCGCGGCCGGCGTCTGGTTGTTCCTCTTGAACGGCCAGGACATCCGTACGTGCAGCACAGAGGCGCTCTCGCGTACCGTTTAGGACACATACACCTTGCCGCCCTCGACAAACTTGGGCGGATCCGGGGCTTGCATTGGCCCACAACAGTAGCGATCTGCCCCATCGCAAGCCAAGCACGGCGAGCTCTGGTTAGCCGTGAGCGTCTGGCGAAGCTATGGACGCATGTGCGGTGATGCTATTGTACACCGTCACTTTGCTGCAAACGTCATCCACGCTGGACCACTCAACGACGGCGGTTCGCTTACAGCCACATTTCACACTCGCCCCTGCGGCACATGATACTGCGCGCCGTCGTCAATTCCAACCACATGCAGGCCGAGCGAGAACGTGTGACTAATGCAGAACCTGCAGTCCGATGCAGATGGAAGGCTGTGGCCTGACAAGCGGCAGCGTTCCAACTGCGGAGCATGCCTGAGGGCATATGGGTTAAGCGAGTCGCATATCTGTTCGCTCATCTAGCTTGCGCCTATAGTGCGAGCAATAGATCTGGGCCAGAGCCGGTGGCTGTCGTCTGGCAGCATGATCCCAGCACGACGCACTCCCGCGGCTGTACTGTAAACTGCAGTTCAGATGATGCTTAGCACATGTGGGCGATGCTGCAAGGCGTTCGGAAGCTCGGTGCCCGTAGAGGCAAATTTGGCGCTATCCATGCCCTTCCTTGAACTTTACGCTTCAGCCTTGGATCGACAGTCCACGATGAATAGACGCAGTGATCGCATGCGCTATGCCTCAAGTGCGTGCTGGCGTCCGTGGTGGTCTTGTAAGTTCGGAAACGCTTGGTCTTTCCGAGACGCCCGTGCTCGAGCAAGCAGCTTCTTTGTCGATCACTCGTCTTTCGTAACCCTCCAATGCCTTCAGCTTTTGGTGACACAGAAAGAGCTAGAACAGAAAGTTCGAGCCATGGCATGCGCTCAATGCAGCGTCTTGTACCTCCATACCCACATCGAAAAGCTTCGAGAGGGCTCCATGCTCGCAGACCCACCCGTCGATGATATCAGCCTGTGGCCGCTGCACGTACCTGCTACTCGGAGTGGATGAGAACCCCAAGTACATTAGGGGCCCGCCGACAGGTCATTGCTCGATTTTCTCACTCGCCACATGCGATTGTTGTCCATGCACAATGAGGTGGTCCGCGATCACATTCAGGCAAGAATCCAAACTAAACCTGTGATACAGCTGGTTGTTTGAAGCTTCTCTTTCACTTGAGGCTCGTGACTTCCAGCCCGCGGTTTTGCCGCAACTTTCACAGTCAAAGCTCGAACTTCACAGACCGAGCCTCGTTTCTTAACTACCTACCTACACATATCCAATTGACCTATTATAGACAATGAGTCTGTTGGGGAGGGCGCGGCCCAAGGTGTTGACGGCGACGACACTTCTTCGTCAACCTCGAACGATCGTCACCCAAGCCAACGTCGCCAGCAAGAGCTACGAACACATCCTTCCACCACCCGAGATCTTCGCGAAAAAGACAACACCGTCGGTCGAGTCGCCACTCGCGAGAAAGCACGGCCATGCCTACTGGCAACACATCGAAGCGTGGAAGGACGTCTCGCAAGAAGAGTTCCTCAGCTACCGCTGGCAGGTAAGTCACCGCCGCGCTGCCTGGGCGTATTGTGTGCGATGTGCTGATGAATGATGACTTCAGACAAGCCACACGATCGACAGGAAGGACAAGCTGCTCAGATTCCTCGAAGCAGTCCTGCCGGAACGCATACCACAATCAGCCGGCGTCAACTCGGTCTGGTCACAGATCAAGACTCGCCATGACTTCCTCGCAGATGTGGAAGGAGGCATGAAAGCGGCGCCCATGTCCGTTCGCCTGACACCACACATGCTGAGCGTCGCCGACTGGCACAACCCACTCGAAGATCCTATTCGCCGTCAGTTCATACCACTACAGTCGACCATCAAGGAAGACCACCCGGCCCTGGAGCTCGATTCGCTGCACGAGACGGATGACTCTCCTGTGCCTGGTCTTGTCCATCGATATCCTGACAAGGTCCTATTTCTTGGTAATCATCTTAAGCTTCCTCTACCATCAGCGCTGACCTAGTGTAAAGCGACCTCAGTCTGCCCTGTCTATTGCCGATTCTGCACTCGATCCTACGCTGTCGGCAACAACACCGAGTCAGTCATCAAAGCATCTCAGAAGCCGACTCGAAAGCGTTGGGAAGCCATGTTCGAGTACATCGAGTCAACACCGGCAGTTCAAGACGTAGTCGTATCTGGAGGCGACTCCTACTACCTACAACCAGAGCAACTCCAACTGGTCGGAAAGCGCCTGCTGCAGATCCCCCACGTACAACGCATCCGCTTCGCCACCAAAGGACTCGCAGTCTGTCCGATGAGAATCATTGATCGCAGCGATGGCTGGACCGACGCGTTCATCAACATCAGCAACCTGGGTCGATCGATCGGAAAGCAGGTCGCCATGCATAACCACTTCAACCACCCTCGCGAGATCACCTGGGCCACCGAACGCGCAGCTCGATACCTCTTCGAGAGAGGCGTTACGGTCCGCAACCAATCCGTCCTCCTCAAAGGCGTCAATGACGACCTCCGTACCATGTCGACATTGATTCGCAAGCTTGCCGACCTCAACATCCAACCCTACTACGTCTATCAATCAGACATGGTTCGCGGAGTCGAGGATCTTCGCACACCACTCTCAACGATTCTCAATCTTGAGAAGCACATTCGAGGCACGATTGCCGGGTTCATGATGCCTTCTTTCGTCGTCGACTTACCTGGTGGAGGTGGCAAGAGACTTGCCAACTCCTTCGACACTTACGACGAGGCAGCTGGGGTGAGCTACTGGCGTGCACCTGGCATCGCAGGAGACGAGGTCTTCACGTACCACGACCCAGCGGAGTGAACAGAACAGCTCAAGCTGAGCTGGAACTTCGACAGTGCATGGTTAAGTAAAAGGGTTGATTGAAAGAGTTTCTTTTCATACGTTGCTTCTATTCTGCGTCAAAGCGACCAGTGAGCGTTGGACAGTGGTGATACCCGTTTTTTGCGAGTGCGCAGGGGCATTGCGGGATAACATCATGAGCTTCTTTCGGTTCTTCTGGTGGGTCTTGCATCACAAGGTTGATAGCGTTCCGGGAGGCAATTTCCATACTTTTCAACAATGAAAGCGTGGTTTTCATGCTCCGCGGCCCCTCTTGCTACGCCAAACCTCGTCCAAAGCATGTAGAACATGCAGCTACTCTTGCTTCCTGGAAACGATGTACAGCTCCTCGTAGCCTCCTACGGTCGACCGGCTCAAGAAGACGGACGCTGGCAAGCGCACGGAAGCAATACTCGAGTCATCGTTCGGCTTCGGGGAGCGAGCCCCTTGCTGTTCCTGTCTTTAATCAGCACTGCACTCAATCGCAAGCGCACGACATCAATAGCTTACCTTGCTAAGGAGATCGCGAGGCGTGATTTCCACGTGCGTAGCACCAGAAGGAACCGCCTTCTTGCTCAGCTGGAGAGATCCGGATTCTGCGGTCACAGTTAGTACAGTGACAACTCGTTGACTCGAACAATCAATCGCACCTTTCTTCAGAGCAGCATCGAGCTCGCTGTGTTGCATCGTGTCTAGTCCCTTGGAGACGATCGGCTCGCCGCGTGGCTGGTGGTGATAGACTAGGAGTTTGGCCTCAGACATGGTGCAGGATTCTATTGTCGTGTGTTCGTGTGTGGCGGAATTTGCGGTAGCGCGTGATCGAAAGGGAATGATGAGGAGGATGTACTCAATGCTGTCGCTGCGCTGAGATAGTCGAGGTTGGGACAAAGAGATTGTTACTCGATGTTCTTGCGCCGGAAGTGGCAGTTGATACAGAGGTGACGCACTTGCTTTCATTGTTCACTTGCACATGCATCTCATCCGACACGTGCAACTTGGTGAACAGCGTAGGTGAATGCTTCCCGAATGCTGAGCACATCTGATGTTGGCCCTTGGGGTAGACGAATTCGATGCAATTCCACGAAGGCCTTTGATAATATATCTGGCTATCGTCTAGACCTATCGTGATATCGGTCACGACTGCGTGACCTTCTCCGTTCATCGCGAGGCCGGTCCCGTCTTCCTTCGTGCCTCTCATGTCGTTTGGGACTGCGACTTCGAGATCTTCGTCTTGTGCTATCACGGTCGCCATCTCGCCTGGATTTGTCGTGCTTGTCGAATACATAATCGTAATGTCGACCGCTGCCGCCCTCTCTCCCACCGTCACGATACTGCTTGCGCTTCTGCAAGCTGTCAATGCCGCCAAATCCACCACGAGATCTGGCCGTCTTGGAGTTTGTGTTGCTTCGCCACTCATCCGCGATCTTAGAAACACTCTGCGAAAAGTCCACGTGAATGCGGTGATCGTCAATGAGTACTCCTTGCATTTTGAAGTACGCCCGCTCGCAGTCTTCCTTGTTCGCAAACTCGATGAAGGCGTACTGCAAACTGTCCCCCGTCTTCTTATCGCGGATGACCTCGCACGACAGGATCTTTCCGAGGCGAGAGAAGATGAGCTCGAGGTCTTCGTCGCGTGTGACTGGATTGAGCTTGCACACGAACAGAATTTGCTCTGGAGGAGTGACATCCGCAAAGGGAAGATCTCCTATCAGTTCCAGAGTCAGAGCTTGTGCGCGCGCTTCGCGTTCTCTCCGTAGCTTTTCCATCTGTTCCGGATCTGTGTCGTCCTTCAGAACTTCATCGTGCGCGATCCTCACAGTCGCTCGCTGTTCAGCTGATGGCAGAGGGCTCTCCGGTGGCTCAACGAGGCCTGGGGGATCATCGTAAGGATCGTCGAGAACTACGGTATGGAGTATCCTGATGTCCTGCAGAGGCCGCCCTGTCGAGTCCAGGAATGCGGTATTGATCTTTTCAAGCGCATCGAAGCCTTCCACAACCTCGCCAAAGACTGCTGCTTTGCCATCCAACTCCTCCAGCCCATCCGCCAGTGTGATGATGAATTGACTCCCTGCGAGTCGCTCACCCGGGTTCAGCTTCGAAGGCGTGGTAGCCATGCTCAGCGTGCCCCGCTCCTTGTGCTTCCTCTTTTTGGAGAACTCGGGCTTGAAGGTGGCGCGTTCGGGCCTGGAGGCACGCTTCGTGGTGCCATCGGGAAGCGCCCATATCGCCGATCCGCCGTCACTCTCTTTTGACTCTGGGCCGATGGGGTCACCGCTCTGGAAGGAGAAGTTCGGCTGGACATTGTAGATTGGTGAGTAGTTGTAATACTTGATTTTGCAGAGTTTTAGGAAGCTGCGCAGAAGTGTCTTAGCAATTTGATCAGCGCGGGCGAGGATATGCGGCATTTCTGCAGACTTACTTCTCACAGCATGTGGGCGCATCGTCGACGAACAGGTCGACGGTGATGTCGCCGGCGCTCGTCTCGAAGATGACGGCCATGGCGCCTGAGGACGTGCACTGGCGGCAGGGGAGAGATGGAGCGGTGGTGGCAGTGGAAGTCGTGATGCGCGCGAGCCGCGCGAAGCAGCTGCCGTGGTGGTGGAGCGCTCCTGCCCCGGTCTTCACGGCTGGTCTTGGCAACAATCGATTGGTTCCTCCAGCAGAACCTCACCTCCCGTCTGCATCACTCACCCATCGGTAACGCTCTCGGGATGCACTTCAAATACCCATGCTGCGCCTGTCTGTCCTGCACTTGTCAACGCGGGCGCGACAGCCTGCGCGTGTGACTGTTTCCGCTCCAGCCCACTCGCCACCCAGCCCACCTTGGCCGACAACATGTTCAGTCCAGCGCCGCCTCCTCTCCTTGATCACCGCTGCTCCCCCATCCTTCTGCAGGTACCCGGCCGCCGTTCCATCATTCTTCACAAGCAGACATTGCCAAGGCAAAGCGGGCTTCATCTGAGATGCCCTCCCGGGCTTGCGCAACGAACACGAGCACAGCGACATGGCCATCCTCTGTGAAGTTCGCGAGCAGCATGCACGGCCGCTTGCTGGCGGTCATTGAGGATATATTCTCACATCGATCTCGAACCGGTGAGCTTGCGTAGGCATCGCTCGCCTTCGCCCCATCAATGCGCCTCCCCGTCCGGCTCTGGCCACACAGGTTACACCGTGGACGAAAGAAGGTCTGCTGCGCTTGCCGCGGAGCGGGAGAGGGCGTATCCCGGTGCCGCTTCATGTCACAAAAGTCACCCTGCTCGTGCGATGCTAGGTAACATTTCTCGGCTTCATGCATTCTGGTTGCGCCATTCATCGAGAGAAGTCGGCTACGACAAGGGCCCTTGCATCACGGAGATGACCGCAGACTGTGACATACCGGGCAGTTGACATCTATTGCACAAGAGACGAGCCAACCGATTACTCCCATGGCGGCTGATCGCCCGCCCGCCATCTCGCCCGTGTGGGGGTGCAGCAGCAGTAGTCCAGACCACCGGAGGCACGTCCTGTGCTTTGTCATGTTGTGCGCGCTGTGCGTGGGCATGTTTGATTAGCAAACAACATGGTCAAGGCTGGAGCGACACGTTTGACCACACTCCTCAGGTGCTATGCACACGTGCCAGGTGAACTCATTTCAATCGAGCTGTAGTTACCAGCGCTTCCTGCATGGGATGGCAGATCATCAGCTGCAACACGGACGACGCCGCCTAACTCTTTCAGGCCGAAGGCTGCAAGATTGACGTCTCAGAGCCAGTCTGGCTGACATTCTAGTATATGTTGGCTTAGTTGTGGACCCAGATTGTCGAACTTCGTCAACCAGCTCACAGCTCTCCGCTTGCCACTCCGTGTAACATGAAGATGCTCCGACTCCCAACAACTTCAGCCATAACATATACATCTCAACCGATGTAGTCATTGTAATAAAAATGCATTTGCTGCCGGGGTATCTTCTAGACCACTGGTGGCGATCGCCCGGTTATGCAGGCAACCGCACAGCTGGAACCAGCCGTGGACTCTGTAACAAAACATCACCGTACGATCACGAAGGAATGACGAGGAGTTGCACGGCTACAAAAGTAATGGCCGGTGCGCCTTCGACAGCGATCTGTAAGCCCAGTCGCTCTGTCCCTGATCAAGGACGCTGCTAACCTGTTGCCTTCGCTGGCCTTGGTTGGACGTCCTCCCATGTCACTTTGTCTAACGCAAACAACATCCGACTCCGCTTCCTATTGCGACAGTCTGGGCTGTTTGCTGTCCATCCCTGCGCAGCGCAGCTACGACTAACTCATCATCCTCTGCAGCTGCGGCCAGCGCTCGAGAGCCGACTGCCTCCTCGCATTCATCTTTGGCCTCTCCATCGATGCCGACACACTTCTGACCGGTTTCGGTGATGGTTTGAACTCACATGTGCTCTTCTCTGCTCTTCGTCACCAGCTCAACCGCCAGGAGTTGAGAGTGGCGCGCACAAGATGATGATGACGCAGTCCTACTACGCAGGAGAATTCGACTCTCTTGGCCGTCCACCTTACAGAGCTCCGGTCACTCCCGGCCACTATGGGCGACCTGGCGCTTACGATCATGGCTACTACGAACCGCAGCACGAGCTACGTTCTGATTATCTCGGTCGCTCAAGCGCGGGTACGTTGATAAACGAGCATGGTCCGGAGAGCGCGCTTCCTGGCAATTCGCGAAGGCGAATTCAAGTCGCAGTGAGTGACTCCGCCCACATGTGAAGCGAGTCAAGTTGACAATTCTGCAGTGTTCCAGATGCCGCCGACGCAAGATCAAATGTACCGGTGATCCTGGCGATGGTACTGGCTGTTCAGCTTGTCGATCAGCCCAGGCTGACAAGGCTTCCTGCACGTTCAACAGAGTAAGGTGCTCATAGAGTGACGGTATATTTTCATGCAAGCTGACATTTCCCAGGTGGGCTCCAGGGAAGTGCCATTGCCTCAATTTGAGGTTATTCCGGCCAGTAGCACCAGTATCCCGAATGTGACCCCGACGACGACTTCCTATCCCGTTGAAGCGACTTCGAACCTCTATAATGGTAGCAACACAACACAGGTTGGCCTTCAGCGCCCTTCTCTGCCAATGCTACATACACGCACTGCGTACCCTGACTACGACTCCTACAATACATCACCTGTAGAGGACTACACCTACGCTTCGTCCGCACTTCCTAGACACGAGTCAATTGCGAGCAGCTACAGCGCCGAAAGCTTTCGTCCGTATACAACAGGCTCACTGTCAGCACCTTCAGTCAGTGCCAATATCTACTACGAACCTGCGGCAGCATACAGCTTCGGCAATCTGCATACTGCACCAGGCTACCCAGCCAATACTCCGATGGCTCGGCTACCAAGTGTCACGGCCGAAACTCCATTGAACATGAGCTCATTGCATTCCTCACTGCCAACACAGACCGTACAGGAGCGACGACTCCCCGTCCCCTACGCACCACAGCAGGCTACATATTCATCAACAGAAGTGCCTCAGATACGACCGTTGACTTCCTTCACAGAGCCGCCGCGCCGAGCTCACGTCGGAGGTATTTACAGTCGCAATAGTATGTCATGGTCAATGGCAAGCCCTGGGGCGTCTCGCAACACTTCTGTCAGTGGTGGTTCCACCTCGGCATTGCACGGTCTTCCCGGCATGTCGTCAACCGTTGCAGACTCTGCCCAAAATACAGCACCGATCCTCGGGTATCAATTCAGTGCTCCATCAACCAGCCCTGAACCATCTCCAACAAATGGGCGTGCCATTTCAGAGAGTTTTTCCGGCCCTGCTGCAAGTTCTGGAAGTGGCAGTGCATCGATGCTGCCACCCGCCAATGTTCGATACAGCACTGGAAACTCAGTGAGCTCCCTGTCGACTTCGAGCGACGCGGACGATTCGCGACGCCCGTTGACCTCACAAGGGGCTCCAGCCAGTCTGTACAGTTTCAGCGGAGGAGTCGAAGCTTCCGGCCGCTCTACTCCTAGTCAGCACACCAAGCAGGTCGCGAACGAAGCCGCCTCCGCCACCTCATACCAGCAAGGCTATCCACAGCTTCGTCACCCACAACCTCAACACGCCGCTAGTGTGGACCAATTGCGCCGTCGCTCGTCAAATGATCAGCAGCAGCATGCGACTACCGCACATCGCATGTCGGTCTCAAACCTTAACGCGCGCTACTGAGCATGTGGCAGAGGCTTATGCAAAGCGCTGGACTTTGCTCCGATAACAACCCACATCGACTTCATTGCGCATTGCGCATGCTCTCCATCCTAAGCTGCCTCCTGCAACTGCATTGCCGTCTTGCCATCTGTTCAGGCCGACCTCACAGTGCAATTGCCACTTGCAGCCTACGATCGAGATCATCATCTTCGATACGAACGTCAAGACGAGCCAACGAGTCTTGGCTGTAGCGGACTGCTTCACCTACACGCATTACATTTCCGCGGCATCAAATCTTTTCACGAGCTGGCAAAAGTAGAATCGAACGCGCTCCCGGCGGCTTACTGATTCATCCGTCGGTGTTCCAGTAAGCAACACCTGCCACAATTTTCGGTCGCAACTTTTACATCGGCATTTTGAAAGAGGGGGACACAAGCATCAAGGGCAAATGTAGGAATAGAGGTCTCACCACAACCCGCAAGGGTAGCGACACTTATGAAATTGTGCTTTGGAACATCAGCGAGCGACATCGGCGTACTGCATTGGAAGAACATTGTTTGAACTGCATTCACGACACGGTAGTTTAGTATTTTCGGCTTTTCTGTATTGAAGCATGACCCAGTGAAGGGCCTCTGTAACGATAGACAATGCGATGCAGAGAGGCGTCACGCAAAATCGTGGGGAAGAGCCCACGAGGGACGTTGAACTCTTGATCTTGCGCACGTATGAACGGGAGAGGAGTGACGACGCTTAGATAGACATTCTAATGATGAGTTTTCATGTGAGGACAATGAAAATACACGTGTGCCGCATACTATTCGCAACGACGTTTCTTCGTCTGCTCTTCGACACGATGTCACGACCTGCGTCTCACACTATTCGGCTCCGATTTTAACTGCCGCTCGCGACCAGCATATCTCTCCTCACCGATATGTACGCTGATCACATCGACTACACCTGCCAGGAAACGGCATCGCGTAAGATGATTGCTTGCTTACTGCGTACTGTACCTGATGTCGTGCCACTGCACGGCAACTGACGCATCACACGACGACAGCAATCATCACCGGAACAAAGGAAAATTCTCTCTTCGCGCTGGAAAATGAAAAGCGGTGCGGCTTCCTGCAGATGTCGGCTCCTTTGCGATACGTCGTGTAGCATTGCACCTTCTCGTCCAGATGATTGACAAATTTCTGCAAGTAAAATCCTTCGCGAACTAGGATGTATTGAGTGTTTCGCAGCGTCGAGAGCGATGCAGGTGCAGAAGTTGCTTATCTCCTCTGGTTCCGAGTGCGGTGCTTGCAGTTTTATCCTTGCGCGCGCATGGGGATTTGGTGGGAAGCGCGGGCGGTTAAACAAGCGCGGCTGTTGTTTAAAGCGGTTGCGTGGGATGGGCGGGATGGAGAGGAGTGGGTGTTAGAGCGGGTGGTGACCAGATTGATGGGTATGGAATGTGATGAGTCGTGAGAGAGTAGATGAGAGGAGTGTGTGGAGATCGGAGTCGTGAGAGCACCTCGGGCGAAGAAGTTCATCAAGTAACGAGGATTGAGGAATATGCTTGCATTGAGATTGAAAGAGCAAATGTGGCTTGTATGGAGTGCGCGCGACTTCACAGTTCTTGAGTTTGGTCATGTTATTTGGAGTCTTGTTAGTCCATTCTGATATGACTACGCCGACCTAAGATCAAGAGCAAGCTGAGTATCGTTGCAATCAAGCGCGGGTCTAGCATACGTGCACGCATGTGTGCATGCCAAGACAAGAGACAACATACCGACTAGGCAGCTCGAGGTTGACGCGAAGCTTCACTCGTCGAGCAGAATGATTCTTGGTTGCCTTGTGGTGTGATGGCTCGAAGAGAGCACCGCGGAATGTCGTCGATTGCAAAGTCGCGAGTTCTTCAATCGCTTCCACGAGATGATTGTGCCTTTGGGCAGCATTTGGAGCGCCGGATCAAGATCTGGAGTACCTTGCGTGATCCAGACCATCATCGTGTAATGCTAGAGAATCAGTACTTGAGCATTGTAAACATAAACCGACCTGGCAAGCGGGCAAAATGGGGATTGGCTTTGAACTCGATCCTCTTTCAGCTCGTTGTCTGCCAATGGCGGGTCGGCAGTTTTGTGCGCGCTTGAGTTGACAGCATGAGCAGTCAGACCAAGTGACACTGCTCTCGTCATCATCGAATTGATCGAGGAGACCTAGCCTTGTTTGTTGATGGCAAGTGAAAGGTGAAAGGGAGGAGGTCGGCATTGGCGAAGTGTTGGCGCCAGCCGACGCGCTTGTGCTCGCGACTTTCTTCCGCGTTTCGCTGGCGGACGATCAACACATCACTCCAACCACAACAACCACAACCGCTGGCCAGTATGTCGGGCTTTGGACCGCCTAGTACGCCAGGACGGTCAGTTCGCACTTATCAGTCAACGACTCCGGCCGGACCGCCTCCGACATGGCTCGAGAACACTGGGAAATCCACCACTCCCGCTGGCGAGCCACCACGAAGCTCGCGGTTTGGAAGGAGCTCCTACAACCCGACCAAGAGCCCCAATAGATATGCGCGCAAAAAGCCCGATTTTGCCGTGCCTGATGACGACGACGAATACAGCGATGAAGATGCCATGGGCGAGGACGACGATGAGTACAACTTCCACCAGTCCGCGTGGTCGGGCAGAGGCGAGAGACCAGCAGCACCGACACCACCGCGAGGTCTCAAGCGCGATGCCTATGGAGCGGTGCGCGAGAACAGCGGCATTGCGGAGGTCGCACGCAACAGGACGAACAACAGCAGACCCGCTCAGCTGAATGAACCGGAGGTAGTGATTCTTCAGAGTGAGCGCATCGTGTCAGGTCTGGATGTCAAAGCCCGGCGCAGAGACGTGGAGGGGGATGTTGCGCTGGTAGAGGCAGCGGCAGAATTGTCAAAGACGTGGAAACAGCACAGCGACGTCAAGACCAAGACGGGAGCCATTGGTCCTCAGTCGAAGGAGGGCTTCACTAAAGCCAACTATCTTGCCAGTCTACTCTTGCAATTGCATCACCCTCACACAAACAGTCCAAAGCAGCAACCTGGACGATTACGAAACGGCTCGCTGCCGCCGCCTTCGCATAGCACTTCGGTTCCACGAGCGCTCCTAGATTGGCTCGAGACGTGGCATCGGCCATTCCCAGACGACTACGATGCGATCCACCTCAACGAGCCCTCTCCGTCTGCCCACGAATCATTCTGGGACGTGGTCTTTGCCAATCTCCTACGCGGGCACACTGGTCGTGTTATCAGACTGTTGAAGGATGCGGGTTGGGAGCACGCGGATAGCGCACTCGATGATGGATCGAGCGAGCCTGGGTATCATGGGAGACAGCTGGACAACATCGTCGCTGTCATGGAGGATTGTATCCGTGTACTGGACGAGTGCCCTGGCTCGAGGTACAACAATTGGGATGTGAAGAGCATGGAATGGGCTGTCTTCAGACAGCGTGTAAGGTCTTCCTTGGACGATCTTGAAGAGTTTGCCGAAGGCGAGGATCTGGGCGACTCTTTGAATGGGCAGAATCTGTTTCAACGAAGTCTGGCGTCTAGCTTGAACATGTCCACCGCGAGTCGCAAAGCGTCTAGCAAGGTGCCTTGGACCATCTACGAAAACCTCAGGTTGCTCTATGGTCTCGTTTTGGGCCAGCCGGATCAGATTCTGATGACAGCACAAGAATGGCTCGAGGGAGCACTGTACTTGACCATCTGGTGGGATGGCTCAGACGAGTCCGACTTGGACGCAAGTGTGAACCAGAACCAAATAAAGCGAGCACAACATCGGGCACGTGAGGTAGATGTCGCACCATTAGCGGCCTACCGTAGGAGACTAGCAGATGCATATCTGAGAGTGCAAGATCAGGTGGTCGAAGACGATCATGGACGACAGGTGCCGGATGCAGTCTTCCAGCCAGACACCACTGACGATGTACAACTTGGCTTGGCTTGCATTATGGAGGAGCAAGTCGACAGTGTTATCAAAATGCTGCGAATTTTCAGCATGCCTGTTGCTGTAGCGGTGGCGGAGATTGCTGCTCTGGGTGGCTGGCTACCTCTTGCTCGTCCCAGCAGTAGAGGTGGCGCGTTGGGTCAAGGAGGGCTCTCTAAGGAAGACCTACTTGTATTATCGTACGGAGCCCCTGATAAAGGCAAGGACGAAATAGACAGAGATGGTCTGCTTGCCGAGTACGCTGACTTGCTTTCTGGCAAGAGCAAGGTAAGTCGTTTCTTGCAATCCAGGCATGCGTATACTGATTTGTGGATAGGTTGGCGAGAAGGAAGGCTGGGAACTTGCAGTTTCACTGCTCAATCGCCTCGATTCAATCTCAACCGCTAACACCAGAATTGGCGAGCTTTTGGATCGCTTACAACTCACCAATGAAGACACAGTCGACAAAGTGCTTGACGTCTGTGACGAACTTGGGCAGACGGAACAACGTCGAAACATTGCCGAACGCTACGCAGACAATCTGGCTGAGAACACACAGTCCTACGGGCCTGCATTGATCTATTATGCACGAGCGCACGCGAAGGATAAGCTCAAGGACACAATTTCACTACTGACTTCGCTCTCTTTGCTGCATTCTACAGCTATGCCTACCTCGAAGAACATGGATGCCAAGTTGAGCTCTCTGCTCAGCAAAAACCGTACTGCCCTAACAGACCTAGGGCATTCCGACATGGAAGCTGCAGAACTATTGGCTTCCCATCTCAGTGGATACGCCACTCTTCGCAAGTTCTACGATCTGCGTGACCAAGACATCCTTGCCGCCTCGGACCGACCATTGCACAGTCTCGAGCGCCGACGCCAAGCCGCTGCTTCACTCTTCGCTGTCCTTAGAAGTGCAGCCGACTGCATACCAGGAGGACTTTTCGACCCGGAGGCGGAGACAGTGATCCCTGTCGAAGGACTTCTTGCATTGTTTGGCGAGGCATTACCCTTCTTGGGCCAGGACAAACGCATCTTCACGCAACAGCAAATCTTCTCGCTGCTTGCGATTCTTGAGGATTTCGTGGCTGCACCGGGACGTATACGAGAGAACTCAGAATCATTATTGTCGGCCAGTTTGGGAGCGTATCGAGATGAGGTGAATACTGGAACGGGACCATTTGGAAAGAAGGGCAAAGCAAAGCGAAACGGCAAGGAAGATTTGAGCAAGAGTGTCGGTTCCAGCTGGGAGCTACTGGCTGAGAGCGTTGCCCTCGACCCAAAGAAAGGTGAGAAGATCACGCGCGCTTGGGATTGGAGGCAAGGGATTGTACAAGGTGGTATCGAAGGCAAGGAAGAGGAAGTCGTTAAGCTGGTTCGGGAGGCTTTAGTGAGAGAAGTTGCATCTGGTTGGGGAGGTCAGATCAACTGGCAGTAATCGTCTCGCAGAAGGACACGAAGGTGCTGGACGAATATATGCCGGTTGATGCCGACTCAAAGCAACTTCCCAGTGTTTTCCTTCATTCGTCGCAAAATCATTTATCCAGCCACTGAAAGATCCTATCGGCATTTTTCAAGATCTCACTTCTTGATCGCAGTCAACAAAATCGCCGTCTCACACAGGTCTCTGCCCTCATCATACTCCTCCTGCATCACACGCTTAAAGCTATCTCGACACGCCTTCAACTTCTCGCCCTCAAACCCCTCCATCAAAAGATTCACAATCGGATTCCCACCCTCGAAAATATACTCATCGACCTCGTCTGCATTCTTCCATCCCCAAGGCGCCTTTTCGATCTTCGATTCCTGTACTTTCCAACCCGCTGCTTCGACACCCCGGATCACATCATCAATATCGCTCCAATCCTTGTGTACGATCCGCGGGGCAACGTAATTTTCATCACCAAGTGCAAGACGCACCGCTTTTTGCCAAATTGCGCCCCAGGTTGCTCCTGCCCAGGCACCGAGGGCGAGGATACCATTGGGTGCTGTGACGCGATACATTTCTGCTATGGCGAGATGAGGCTGTTCCACGCTTCCAATCATGAAAGTTGAGAAGGTGTGGGTGAAGGTGGAATTTGCAAGGCTTATTGTTCCCGGCAGTCCTTGTGTGCTTTCTTCTTTTTTGGTTGTCGAGGTCAGAGATACAGAAGTCAGGTCTTGGCTGTCTGCTACAGCTGTTTCGATGTCGGACCAGTTGTGCTCTGAGGCGGCGGTTTGCAGGGATCGAATCATGCCAGGACTGATATCTGTGGCGAAGATTTTGAGATTGGGGTTGTGGGCTTTGAGTTGGGTCGTTAGAATGCCTGTTCCGGCGCCATTGTCGAAGATGTACGACGTGGTGGGATCGAGAGCTTTCAACTTATGGGTCATTTTGACTAGCTCTGTGCAAGGTGGTGTTGTGATTCTTTCGACGATCTTGTAACTTCCTTTGTTGACGTGTGAGCTCCATGAAGAAGGCAGACTGTGGGTCTTGGGTTGTTGGCTGGACATGGTGTATTGAATTCGGCTGATGTATGGAAGCTGGAATATGACGAAGTTATTAAACAGGAGAGGTATTTCTCGATCTTATAGAAGCGTTTTGTACTTGGTCTCCGGAATCAGCAAATGCAGGTGGGGCGGCATATGCAAGTGTGAAGAGCATAGTTGGTAGCTCCCCTTGGTTCTCGCAGCCACCCGCATAGCTTCTTCCGATGTGTCGCAACCACTTGTGAGAGATCTGCCATTCGATCTGTGCGAGTAGTGGTCATGCGTATCGTGGCCTCGATCCGAGCATGTCCTGTCGGAAGTAGTCGAGAGCATGCGCTCAAGCTACGCTATGCTGATCCCTCCTTTGTGCGATGCAGTAATGGAATCCCTAGCTCTGACAGCATCTACGCTAATCGAGTTCTTTGCCGTGTAGCCTAACGCATTTCATGAAGAGTCTGCAGGTTATACGTCGCTCTAGCACTCATCTTGTCAGACGGCTTCTGCAGCTCGGCCTTCTCCGTAATCAGCGAGCTCGAGTTGACCACTGCGATACCTGCATCGACACTGACGACATCCCCATGTCCCTGTGTTGCGAATTCCAGCAGCTGCAAAGTCTCATCCGCTGCATTGAAAACGTTGCTAATCTTGCCGGGTACAACATGTACCACACGTCCATTTGCAAAGGTCAATGAACTACGAAAGTCGGTTTCCACGCGAGGTTTGGCTAAGACCTGTCCTTTCCAGCCCTCATAGACGAAGCGGTGTGCAAAGTCTGGCCAAAATCTACACATTTCCGCTTCAGCAGCTGCCTTCAGCTCGTTTATGGCCGAGGTTGATTCGACGTTCTCCACGTCCGCCTGCGCCTTCTGCGGACTTTCATGTGTGCCCAATATCGTGTAACAACCATGTGTGAGGATATAGCGATTGAATATTTCATCCTCGCCATCCTTGTTATCTCCGATGTGAGGCATCAGACACGGGTACCAACCGTCCATCACGATGAATGATATAGGGCGACTGCCGGGTGACTTGTCCCTGTATTCGAACGCAACGCATGCTTGATAGACGATGCTCAGTCCCAGAGTGCGCTTGATCGTCTCGTGTTCAGGGAACGCCTGATAGCCGGTGGCATCGATAGCAAAGTCCGCGCTTCTCGTCATGAAAATGTTGCAGTCTCGACACTGCCACGTCACAAGCGCGTGTCCCTTTCGTTCGTCTATGCGTTGTATGTCTGCATTGATAATGAGCTCAACACTGAACTGAGCCAGCTTCGCGCTCAGAGTTGATCGCAGCTTTTCTCCGATGGCGATGCTGGGCTCGCTGAGCTCATATGCTGCCGAAATATCGCGAAACCTCGGCATTTGATTGGGATTCAACTGCCGAGCTTCGGGTGTCTCTAAGCAAACTTGTTCGAAGTCTTCCAACGACACTTTCGATTGGTGCCCTTTGGCGTCCTCCAGGCCATACGCATATATCGACTCCGCGTGCCAGACAACAAGCTCCGGGTACTCATCGAGGAAACGCTGAAAAGTCCGCCGGCACTCCCGGCGAGTTGCTGGTGATCGTGGATAATGCGGCCCGCGATGTAATCGAATGCCAAAAGTCCCTGAGCAGCGGGAGAGTATGCGAGATTCTTTCTCAATAAGTGTGACTCCGTACCCGGTTCTTGCCAATTCAATGGCTATGTGGCACCCATACCAGCCTGCTCCTACCACGATGACTCTTGCGTTCATGATCTTGGGAATAGCTGAAACTGCACCAGGAGTCTGAGCAGAATACCACACGCGATATTATCTTGCTCTTGCCTTTCTTGTTAACAATGATAGGTCTTCGCCAAGTGCCATACCATCTTGCAGTGTAGAATTGCCCGATTTGGTCAATGCATTGGTACGCACTTCTGCCTTCATGTCGTGTCATGCCAAGGAGTGATTACGATACGGACTTGCTCGGAAGTGTGCTCTGCTTTGTATCGAAGCCACTATTAAGCTGTGGTCGTAGATAGTGTGGCCGCACAACAGCGCTGACGAAAACGATACCAAAGACGGAGGTTGCATACCAACGTCAATGGCGCTTCCGAGGACCTCTGGCATCGCAAAGATGTAAATGCGCTCTCCTGGAGCAAAATTGTCTGAACCGGCCATTTCAGCAGTCGTTGATTCATGGCGTATCAGTTACTCATTACTGTCCTGGTCACTCTCGCGGCAATAGCTGTCATCCGGTTCGAGAACAGCGGAAAGGCCTCGCCCCGGCGGAGACAGTATACCGGAAAGACTGCCCAGCATAGTCACTTTTCAGGTAACTCCTTCGGCGTGCCGTTTGTTAATGCGACATACGATTATGTGTACTTCACACCTTTGGCCTGGAATCCCGATAGTATGCTGATACATCATTTGAAGCGTCATTGGAGGTGGTACTGCCGGCCTAGCTGTTGCATGGAAGCTCGCGACAGGCTCGTCGGCATCGGTCGCTGTTGTTGAAGCTGGCAGTTTCTATCAGCTTGACAATGGAAACGGCAGCGTCATTCCAGCACTAACTCCACATCAGCACATTGGTTGGGATCCGGATGATGTAGCGCCATTGATCGATTGGGACTACGTGACGGAGCCACAAGCTGTGAGCAAGATTCTGATCCCCGGGCTTGTTGGAGGCGTGTGTTGATACAACCCACAGGGCCTTAGCGATCGTCGACTCTACTATGCACGCGGCAAGACGATGGGAGGGAGTAGTGCGAGGGCGCATGGCGCGTTCATGAGGTGACTGGCGGAAGTCATGCCCGAACTTGTGATATACTTGCTGACACCTGCCGTTTTGCTAGGGGCACAAAAGGCAGCTACAACGAATGGGCCGCCAGGGTGGGAGACGCCACATATGAGTACCAGAACCTGCTTCCGTTCTTCCAACAGAGCTCCAATCTCACGGCTCCGGACACTCGAAAGCGTTGGCCGACGAATGGCACAGTGCAATACGATGTCGAGGCATATGCCACCGATCGTCCTGGACCGTTGCAGATATCTTGGCCAAATTGGGCGGTGCCGCTCGGCTCGTGGGCAGCGTTGGCGTTCGAAGGTATCGGTCTGCCCAGGTCTGAAGCTGGGTTCAGCTCGGGCGCCCTGCAAGGCTCAGGTTGGGTGCCGGGTACCATTGATCCAGTGACTGCACATCGCAGCTCTTCTCAAACCAGCTTCTGGGAGGCTGCCGCAGATAGAACCTCGATCAAAGCCTATACGCGCACACTTGCACAGCGGATATTGTTTGATTCGCGAAAGAGGGCAACTGCTGTCGTCGTTATAACGGAAGGCCGGAGCTATCATCTGTCAGCTCGCAAGGAGATCATTCTATCAGCAGGAGCGTTCAACTCTCCTCAGCTCCTCATGTGAGAGCAGACAGCTTCTATCTTAAGGCTTCGGTTCACTGACCATCTGCCAGGCTCTCAGGCATTGGACCAGAGCAGGAGTTGCGATCGCACAACATTCCGATCGTGCAACACGTGCCGGGTGTGGGTAAGAACCTGCACGACAAGACTTACGTAGGCGTAGCCCACCGCGTGAACGTGGAAACATCCTCAGCCATGATCAATTCGCCCGTATATGCTGCCGCAGCTGTCAGCGACTATCTGAACAACCAAACCGGCCCGCTGACCAACGGACCTGCTTTTGTGGCCTTCGAGAGGTTCTCCGACGATGTGCTCACGCCCTCTGCGCGCCAAAAACTTGCGCATGAGCTCAGCGATGACTGGCCACACGTTGAATATCTTGTTGAGAATGGCTTTTCGGGAGACAATCGCAACTATGCGACAGCAGATCCCAAAGATGGCTTCAACTACGCCACGATCAGTGCTGCCCTGCAAGGATCTCTTTCTCGAGGCGAGGTTCGTCTTCGAAGTTCAAATCCTTCAGATCCGCCGAGCATCAATCCCGACTACCTGCGCGATCCGGTGGATGTTGAATTAGCTGTCGCGTCTTTCAAGCGCGTGCGCGAGATATGGAAGCAGATGGTGAACGTTTCTTTGGGTGAAGAGTACTACCCTGGAGAGCAAGCCGTTTCTGATGATGGAGAAATCTTGGAATATATTCGCACGAACAGCATCCAGATGTGGCACGCCAGTGGGACCTGTCAAATGGGATCACGCGAAGACGCCATGGCTGTCGTGGATTCGCAGGCTAGAGTCATCGGAGTTGAGGGTCTCAGAGTGGTCGATGCGAGCATCTTTCCATTTCTGCCACCTGGGCATCCGCTGGCCACCGTGTATGCTCTGGCTCTGAAAATTGGAACGAGCATACTTGGCCAGAATGCGTGAGCAAGGGAAGGGCTCGGTGTCGCCTTTTCATGGTTATGCCTGTAGTTTGCGTACAGCGAGAAGTGGTAGTCACCCAGACTGAATGATAGAAATGTCTGAGCGCGAAGGAGTGAAGTCGGCGAGTCGTGGTTGTTGGTTGTCAATCACAAGCATCAGCTAGAACTAGCGTGCCAGGCTGAAGTCCGCCAAACTGACCTATCATATTGCTGCAACACTCCGTCCACCTCCTTCACCTCCGCTCTCTGTGTTCCTCTTGACACAGCATCGTCCAGATGGCATCGCTGGCGAGGTCGACTGCGGGCAGGGCGCTCCATCTCCGCATCACTCCACGCCCATCCAACCTGGGCGAGTCGCGCGAGATCCTGCGCCTGATCTCGCAGTTTGGAGAGGTCGAGTATTTCCGGAACCTGAAATACGATGCCTTGCCCATGCCCAATGCGACTCTCGTCATCTTCAAGAGCGAAGACGCCGCTTCTCACTGTATCAAAAAGTGCCCCATTCGCTTCCGCATGGGAAGAGCGCCCGTGAAAGAGCAAGTGGAAGACTTTGAGCCCGAGTCTCCCGCTCGCCCACAGCCAGCACAGTCGGCCACTGATGCCACAGCACGCAAAGTCCTGCCACCGCGATCAGGCGGAGCATGGGGCCTCGGACAGACGAGAGCCATGTCGACGCGCACCAGCTACACGCCTATGGCCACTCTTCCCAACCCACCAGCGCGCCCCGTGCAGATTCCCTTCCAACCACCACCGCTGCCTCTGCTCGAATTTCGCATCTTCGAAATCCAGGCGAACCCGGCACGCGCCCATTTCCGCGATCAGATCGACATGGGACACTATCACGGTTACTTCAAGCTCGACAGCAAGAGTGTGCCACAGACCGACTTAGCACGGACGGTGCCATTGCCGGGTCTGAGTTGCATCAATTGGAAAAAGGAGGATAAGCCGTGGAGGGTCATGGAACGCCAAAGATCGCAGGAACGTACTGGACCATCGCGGCGCAAAAGTTTGAAGGAGTTGTACGATGAGTCGGCAGAGGGTAAAGCCGCGTTTAGAGACGAAGCACTGCCCGGATGAAGTTTGAAGGCAGCAATCATGATCGGCCCAGTCGCACCTTTGTCCAGAACTTATCCAGTATGCCAGCATACCTCGCGCAGGATGCAGCACGCTCCATTAGTACTGGCTTGAAGGAGTGTTAGGCCAGGAAGGTATCTTTGGCCTGACCTCACTTGCATGGCCAGCCAAATGAGGCCGCAGAGAAGTCTGAAATCTTCGTACCGTGAAGCCGCTCGTGCCACGTATGAACGGCAGGCACAACTCACTTACTAAGATCATTGCGGTAATGACCATTCGTCTGACGGAGGACGCGGAAGGCATCAGTTGAGCGAAGGAGCACCAGCAAGAACCATTCGTGGTGGTGTTGAGCCTGAATCTGAGGACATGCGGCCCAGAATATGAGGACAGGCCACCAACTCTATGAATCACATCGTTCGCTCTCCTTCAGAGTTGCACTCAGCACTAGTGCACGCCACGCAATCCTTCTAGCTCTTTGGGTGCACAACCCATACCTCACACGAAGATGCCCTCCCTCGTTGTCACAAAGCCATACTCTGAGAAACGCCTGTACCGCGAGAAGCAGCGCAAGCTAGCAGAACTCCGAATATCATTGCGTGGCTGCGTATGCACCGATTGCGAGCCCAAGCTGCCAGCGTGCGCAAATTCTCTGCCGGTTTTCAGCATCTTCGCGGGTCTATCGTACAGAGGGCATGACGCCTTTCATCTTGCGACCTGGGCAGCCTCGTCGTTCGCCACGGTCACCCTACAGCAGACGCAGCAGCAAGCACTGTCTCGATGGCACAACCTGAGGAGAAGCTATCAGCACTCATTCCAATGTATGCCCCGACGGATTTTACAAGAAGCCGCAGAGATCTTCAATGAGCTCTTCTTCCTGGGACAGCTGCCAGCATCTCGCCTACAATTGGTGCAAACTGGCACAATCAACAATGGTGGGTCTATAGGCAAGTCATGGCCATCCTATGCTCCTAATCAACCGGAACTCATCTCGTTCGACGCTTCGCACCACTTCTTGTGGTCAGCACAAGCGATGTACTTCCAAGTATTACTGCACGAAATGATACACTGCTTCCTTTCGAGATACACTTGCTATCCGTGGCACGTCAAGCATCGTAACTGCGCCATCAGCAACTGCGGACTTTCTCATCATTCTGGGATCGGCCCCGGAGGACACGGCCGCGCCTGGCAATTTCTCGCCAAAGCTATCGAAGGTCGCATGCCTGAGGTGCTTCAACTGCCAGGAAATCTGGGACGGAACTGTGGCTTTCTCACTGATCAGCGAAGGCATGGCTACCACATGCCCTGCCAGAGCGAACTGCAGCGGCTCTATCAATGGGAATACGGACACCCAAATTTTTGGAAGTACGTTAGGAGGACCAGAGACGACAACATCATGGAGCATCGCATACTAATGGCTGGCTTGGTACCACTAAGACACCGTGGGCGTAGAAGGGCCTCGGACTCGGTGTATGTTCTCAGAAGCAGCCGCCGACCGGCGGAAACGTCGCTGTAGCGGCATTACGCACGGGAACTAGGTCAGTTTTAGATGCCGCTGTAAACGGACTTTAGGCATGACTGCAGCACTACTGCAAGTCCAAAGCCGCAGGACGGAATCAGAGCGACTATTCAAGGGCACCTTTGAGCCAGCCGAACGGAATATAACTCAATGCTACATGCAGTGATTGGCATACCTGCATATCTCTACCAATTCTGTGAACTTACAATGCGCATACTGCCTCACTTTCCATGTTTCGAAACCTTCAGGTGATTGGCGCCTACTGCACGACTTCATTAGTGAGAGATCAGAGCCACGAGCACGACTGTTCCGAGTTCTTGCACTCCACATGCGTGCGCTTTTACGCATGAATCTGGAGGAGGGAACATTGCCGTTTCCTTTTGGAAACCGGCTGTAAAGCCGTGGATCTGCGAGCAGTCAAATCTGGTCGAGATCACATAATAAATCTGAGCAAAGCGCGAAGCACAACAAGCACTGTGATCGCTTCTGAGTGAAAGGCAAGCTTCCTCTTTCATCAGTCATCCCAAGACATCTTGGAGGTTGCTCCACCGGTTGACTGGGTAGAGTTCAGGTACAATCTGTTTGGCTTGCGGACCCTTGCCGCATCTCCTGTGCATGAGTCGAACCACATCTGCTCATGGAAGGCACCCCTGAGCCCATTACTCGCAGCACAGCTTGACTCCGCTTGACTGGAAATGCTGCAGTACGCAATCCACATCACGTCTCGTGTCGTGGTAGTATTCACATGTGAGCATGACGCCGCAGATCCGCTGATGGCAAAACGATTGCCACAAACAATGCTCGCTGAACGTATCGAGGCATTGCGGAGCTGACTCCTAGGAATATCTCCCCTGGTCCTTGAAGCTGCCACAGAAACATCCATCGAAGGTCGGATCTCGTTCAACGGGTTTCCAGCACCGCGGCAATAGCCACCAGTTCATCGCAACGGCTGCAATCACTCCTACTGTGCACGGCTCGAGGAAGCATTATTCAACCCAATGCGGGCCATGAGACTTACCTATAAGACTGCACCGGCAGGATCAATTGTGATTCGCCTGACTTCTGCATCCGACTGCACTGGCGGCGTGCTTCAACCCAGCGAACCTAAAAACTGTACTTGAGAGACACCGCGCATGACACATGAGACTGAACAGGCACATAAACACATTATGGTTTATTGAAAACGCAAGAACTTACATGGCACCTAAGGGGCACTTCTTGTCGCACTCATCCTCCAAGCTGTTGCATCTCGCACAAAGTGGTTCGATTCTTGGGAGTCTTGGTCAAGTACAATCCGCACATCCGCACTGCTGCACTGCGAGTCGACGATGGGCGTGATATTTCGATCAGTGCGGCGAGAAGCCGACAGCGATGGCAATCCAGGGCATGGCGGTCTTGACACCCATGGCGAAATCGCAATTGGCGTAATTGTGCCTGTGGTCTTTCTTCTTGGCGGCCTCATCTACTTCATCTGGACGACTGAGCGACGAAGGCGAAATAGAAACGGCCAAGAGCCAGACAAAACTCATCCCTCCATGTTGCAGGACTTTCTGCGTCGCAAGAATGCTTTCCGAGGATCACGCTTGTTTGGCGAAGCAGAGACGAGTCAGAAGGAACACGCTTCATCAGAGAAAGATCACAAAGATAGGCACGAATTGGGGGATACGAGCTTCCACCACGAGCTCGAAGATGCAACAAGCCCAATCTACGAGGTCGAGAAGCCAGCAGCTATACATCCAGCCCGAAGGGATAGCGCCATGAACAGCCCAGTCGAGCTCGACTCTCCCAGCCCATTACCTTTGACCCAAGCCACCCTGGAACAAGCGTCAAAACAGCCAACCCACACCTCAACAACTGAGCTCTCACCACGCGAAACAAACGAAGTCCGACAATCCACAATCTCCAGCACCTTCCGCCACTCATTAGGCGGCACCGGCAATACAACCCGCTACTCCGCCGTCTCCCCACCCTCAAGCTGGCGAGCCTCCCTCCAACCCACATCCTTCCTCGGAAACTTCAGCAACAAACGCGACCGCCGCGTCAGCAAAGCCGCCTCATCACGCTACTCACAACAAGAAGAAGGCTTCACCATGATGGAACCACATTCCAGACGACAATCTGCCATCAATGAGACCGAGAGCCCCGCAAGCACCATCAATAGTGCAAGATTCAGCGCCGTGGATCCGCAAGGACACAAGAAACGTGTGAGCGATGATTCGGATACTATTAGTCCTCCTGCTTCGAATCAATTGTCTAGGACTCCGAGCGCGCAAAGAGCTTCGGTTGCTTTGTCGCCCATCTCGTCTAATGATGATGCGCATCAGTTGTCTTGAGTGACGAAGAACTTTTCCTTTTCTTCTAGCTGGCACCACGAGGACGAAGTGTAAGAATATAAGACGGCACAGTGGAATAGGATGAGGAGGAAGGCAATGGACGAAGGGGGTTCCGCGTTTTGCGAGTGCAAAAGTGCCAGTGGCGTTTGAGCTTCTTACGAAAGGATGCTGCAAATGTACAAAAAGCAGGAATAATTCCAATGATCACAAATACTGTCATGGCTTACAACAAATGCTCCCACCTTCATGTCCTGTTCCGGGTGCTCCGCCAACACTAAGCCAAAGTGTACACGCAGTAGCGGACCAACTAAATATGAGAAATCCGAATCATGAGAAATCTGATTTCCATCAAACTTTTTTAATGGAAGCAAAATGGGGGAGAAAGGCGAATGTAACAGGCACATCATGCCTCATGAATGGTATACATCTACCTCGAGTATCTCGTTGCGCGGAATGAACCTCGAAGTCCGCCACCCACACACACACATTACGACAACTCTGTCGTGAGAACGCCATGGAACGCACGCCGCATGGCTGGTTGCTGTGCCTTCTCAAAACCTCCTCCTCAGCCCATATAAACAAGTCTCCCAACGCCATTGCAAATGCTATACTTACGCAATTGTCTATCAGACAAATCCTCGCCATGCATTCCAAAGCAGTACATCTGTCAATGCCAGTCTCCATTTTGTTGCGGTCCAACGCTTTTTGCTCGTGCCATGAAACCGCGGTGTATCGTACAGGTAATCAATCAATCAATCGGGAATTCGTTGTAGAAAGCACGTGCCGTGAACCTCGTCGCGGTCGGCTTTGCCTTGTGTCGACAGTGGTCTTACCAAATGTCTACTTTGGTGTGCCATCTGTCAAGATCTTGGCGATCTTTGCAGCGTCATCCTGGTCGGGAGTGCTGAACATCCACTGGCCTGGTCCAGGTGGGTTGGTGTGTAGGTGGTCGACAAACATGGAAGCGACGATCATGGTTGCCTTCTTAGGGTGTACCTTGAATGTAGCTTCTTTGTTGGCGAAGTGGTTGAGGACCGTTCTGCCAGCACCAGTGCGCGAGAGCATACGGATCTTGCCGGTGCTCTTGTCCTTGAGTATGAAGAATCTGCCTCGCGTCTTCGGCTTCCATATCTGCTTGCCGCTTTCTTCATCCTTCTCCATCTTGGAAGTGCGAACATCTTCGACTTCGAGTAACACGTCGTTAGCCTCACGCTCCGCTGGCTGAAGGTCATTGATCTCGTCTGATGCCTGTGGCTGGTTGGGCTCGTCGCTGGGCTCTCCATCGTCTGCTGCTGCCTTGTCGCCGTTCGTGGTAGTAGCAGCTTCGCCATCAGTGGTAGCTCCCGGAGTAGTGGCACGCGACGCGTCGAGCGATGTGGCAGGGGCGGACAACTTGCTGCTGGCATCATTGGCAGTGGACGAGCCAAACAGATTGCCAAATTTCGGTGGAGCAGCGGCTGGCGTGGTAGTGGCGCCGATGTTGAATTTCAGTGGCGACTCAGGCTTCCAGGTCTTGTCGCCAGTGCCTTGAGCCTTCTCTGCTGCCTCAGCTGTCGCAGGCTTGGGCGTTGCAGCTCCGATCGAGAAGGATGGTGCTTTCTTGGCGGCCTCCTCAAACTTGCGTCGCTTCTCTTCCTGTTCAGCCTTGTCACGCTGCGCCCATTGCTCTTCTGTCTCCTCATCGCTGTCAAAGTCGTTGTCTTTGCGCTTCTGACGGTCTGCCTCTTCTTGCTTCTTTGCCAATGCGCCGAAAGAGGAGAGGAAGCTACTGCCAGCACTGCCAGCGGGCATGGTGGGCTTGAAACCCCCGGTGGTAGCAGGAGTCGAAGCTGATGCGTTGCCGAAAGTTGGCTTGAAGCCACCAGTTGCTGGAGTGGCACTGGGAGTCGCCCCAGATGCGGAGAACAATGATTTCGTAGCCGGAGTGAAGCCAGAAGACGACGTAGACTTCGCAGCATCAGATGCGGCAGGCTTGTCAAGAGTCGACGCGAAAAGCTTGGCTGTATTGCTTGCGGTGTCTGGAAGCTTTGGATATAAAGGAGTCTCGTTTGGCTTGCTTCGCTTCTCTGTTGCAGGCACTCGCTCGTCGATATCTTCTTCAAAGAGGCGCTTCTTTGAAGGTGCTGTGGCTGGGACCTGGGTGATCGAGGATGAAGCTGGAGCGGCCTTTGGTGTCTGTGCAAACAGAGCTGAATGTGATGGTGCTGCGTTTGAGGCCGTGGTCGTAGACTTGGCAGGACCAGTAGCAAATGCACCGCTCTTGGGCGCAAAAGAGGGCGGGACCGTTGGCGTGGGATTGAGCTCGGCGTCTAAAGGAGCTGGTCGACCAGCGATCTGCGCGGCCATCTGCAATGCATATCTGTAGATGGGACTCCAGTCGACGTCTGGCCGCTGATTTCTCAGGTGAGCGAGCACGCCCTCATTGAGAGCCTTCATGCTCGCCTGTTGCGAGTCTGACAATTTCGAAGGCGCAGTGTTGGTACTCGAGCTCGTAGATGCAGAGTTGGCAGGTGGCGCTGTTGTGCGTGCAACAGGTGCTGTAGCTGGTGGAGCCTTGAAGAGCGCTGTTGGTACTGAAGGCGCCGTCGCTGGTGTCGAAGGCGCTGCGGTCGATGGCGCGAAAATGTTCTTTGGCGGCGCGGCTTTGGGGGTTTCATCCTCGGCGGGCGTCAACGGCTTCTGGAAGAGCGAAGGAGTGGCGGCTGGTGTGGATGTCGCAGCTGGTGTCGCAGCAGGGAAGAGTGACTTCACAGTGGACGTCGATGCCGGCGTTGCGCTGAATAGTGGAGCCTTTGGCGTCTCTTCGGGCGCCGGCTTGTTGATGCGGTCGAAGAGTGAGCGAGGGGGTTGTGTTGCGGGCGTGCTTGACACCGCCGGTGTGGCAGCAGGTGTCGAACTGGGGAACAACGACTTTTGAGGGGTAGCGCCAATCGTGCTCGTGTTCGCATCTTTCTGACCAGCGGTGCTGCCAAAAAGAGAGGGTGTCTGCGAGGATGCCGCAAAGATGTTTGACGCGGGCTTTGGAGTCTGCTGCGACTGACCTAGGTTGCCAAAGATGTTCATCGGTGCTGCTTGCTTCTCGGCGTCTTTCTCTGGGCTTGCGGTCTGATTCTCATCGTCGTCGTCTTCGCCACGATAGACCTGCGATGGGTCTGCAGAGGAGAAGTTGATCTTCAAGCTGCTCGTGTCCTTCTTTGGGAGGTTGTCAAATATGCTCGCGCCGCTCTTGTTAGGTTCAGTCGTGGCAGGCTTTGAGCCAAACAGCCCAGTGTTTGATGCAGCTGCATTGCTCGATGGGTCGGAGCCAAAAAGTCCAGTGCCTGGCGCAGTCGTGCTGCTCGATGGGTTGGCGCCAAAAAGTCCAGTGCCTGGTGCAGTGCTGCCTGCTGTGGTCGAACCAAAAAGTCCTGTGGACGGCGCTGCGGCCTGCGAAGAGGGTGGCTGACCAAACATATTGGTGGTCGCCGCGGTCTTCGGCGTCTGCTCCGGAGCTTGTGTAGCTGGAAATAGCGATTTGCTGCTTTCCGCCGATTTTTGTTGCCCAAAACCATTAAAGCCGTTGAAAGGATTTGTAGGCTGAGCATTGGTGTCTGATGCTTTCTGCCCGAACAAGTCGCTGGCCGGCTTGTCGTTCTGCTCTGGTGCTTTTTGTCCAAAGAGACCGCCAAATGCTGGTGTACTTGCTCTGCTGCTGCCGTTCTCTTGTGTTTGCTGTCCGAAGCCATTGAAGCTACCGGGCGCAGGCGTACCATTCTCTTGAGGCTTCTGGCCGAAGCCGGGGAATGTATTTGATGACTGGTTGTTGTTCTCCTGCTGCTTGCCGAAAGCGTTAAAGGCGTTGACATTCATGCCTGCACCGCCTTGATTGCTCGGCTGCGACGCGTTGCTAAAACCACCAAAGCTCGTTGCAGGAGTCGTCGTGCCGTTCTGCTGAGATGGCTGACTCTGAGTCTGCCCAAATCCACCGAAGCTCGGCGTGCTGTTTTGCTGCGATGGTTGGTTGAAGAGCGATGTCGAGGCGTTGAACCCGTTCTGCTGTGGTTGTGTTTGCGGTGTCGGAGCCCCAAAACCGCCGAATGTGGGCGCTGATGATTGCGAGAAGAGGTTGTTCGCACCGTTTTGTTGCGGTGGATTCGCGGAAGCCGGCGTGGACTGGCCAAACTGGTATGCGGTGCCGTTCGACTGTTGGGGCTGGCTTGCAGTGAAATTGAAGCTTGTCGATGTGAACGGGTTCGCTGTCGGCGCATTGAATGGGTTGACCTGTGGCTGCACTGCCGGAGAGTCGCTACGACCACGCTCCGAGCCCGCGCGAGCTTTTGGCTTCAACAGCCTATAGAGGTCAGTATCAAGATACACCGGACAATACTGCTCAACATCGAATTCTGCGCCTCGGGGACCGTTCGGACCAAAGACTTGGAGAAGTGAGAATGCCTTGGCGAGGTCATCTCCGTCCTTCAACCATTCTCTCTCCGCTCGCGTGGGAGGCGGGGCGGTGCCATGGACAACACCATTCATCCAGAAGGGAACGACTCCGTTCCTCATGTTGAGGAGGTAGGTAAACTGCAGACCAGCTGCAGACGGGATGGCTTTGTGGTGTTTTGTAAGGCGGAGAAAGGAATCGTACAGTCGTGAGTGGAAATCGCTCGAATGGCGGAGGTGGGCGAGGATATCTCCATCTCAACGATAGCATCCTGAAAATGCTATTGTGATGAAGGCTAACCCACCTCCAGCCACTCTCGCGCATTGTCACTGACAATAGTTTCCAAAAATCTCGCGCACCACAGAGCCAACCCATATCCAACCCATGCAGCGACAATACTTCGCGCGAAACCAGAGAAACAATAGCAACAATAGGAAAAAACTCACTTTCTTCTCGCCAGCTGCGCCGCAGTGGCCTGTGTGGGCTTGTCGGCCCCTTCCATGTCTGCTCCTGATGCTCCGCCGTAGCGTTCTTCGTCGCCGCCCCAGTTCCCAGCGCCCCGCTTGCTCATAGTATGCGCGCGTCCGCGGCGCGACTCGACGGGTGTGGGACTTGCGCGATGCGAGGTGATGAGGTTTATGCGGGTTCGATGCAGTTATGCGCAATCTTCTCGAGTATCGTCACCGTGTCGTGTTCGGAGTCGTGGTATGTACAATCGCGGTCGCACTGAAGTCGATGTGAAGAGGAGGGTGTGCCATGCGCGGGTGAAAGATGTTGAACGCGCTCGGAGAGGTGTGGCGGACGCGTTGTTGTGCGGCGGTGCAGTGCTCAAATGTTGGAAGTGAAGTTGAAGAGTCGCCCGCAAAGTCCGTTCCTCGCCAAACACAGAAAGGAAGGAAGTTCAAATCAGCCGGGCGCACGGCCGTTCACTTCAGACGCCCGTACACGTGATTGGCTCGAAAAATGCCGAGGACAAGCTCTATGCAATGCCAACACACGCGTCTCTCAGGTAAGATGGCGAGCAGAAGGAACGTCTTGGTGACAATGCAAGTTGCACGCGTCAGTAGTGATGCGCCCAGTCGAAGCACAGGCGCGAAAGATCTGCTAGTCGTGAAGGTCGCGTTGAAGGTCGCGTGCGATCCGCATCCGCGTTTCAGCATGTGAAACGGTCGTGCATTGAGCGGCCAACAGGTGCTGCTGGGGTCGTGAACAAATTCAAGCCGCTTTGTAATGAGAAGGCAGCTTGCGAGCAGAGTGGGCGCTGTAGATGGCAAAGGTACATCTGTGGGCTGAGTCGTGCTACTGAGACAAGATGGAGACAAGGTGAGCTCACGGCGGCATGGAAAGCAGCTTACGGAAACATAATGTCTCTTTCGAAATACATGTCGCAGCATGTCGCGCGGACTGCTTTGCGAGATAGGTGTATCATTTACGTGTCCCAAAAACGCCATCCCATTATTTCAGCATCTAGAGCTTCGCCTTGTTCTGAGCCTTCTTGAGAATAGGCTCCATCTTGGTGGCCTTCATGACCGCTCCCTTGACCTTCAGCTTGCCGCTCATGAACAGCTTTTGTGCGTTGGCCTTGCCTGAGACGAGCTTGCCAAAGTTCTCGTCGGAGAGATTGAGTGTGACTGCAGCCCATGTCAGTGTCCGTCCAGATCTTCAGAGCGAGGGATCCAATTGTGCTCACCATCAGCCTTCTTCCCGCTTGGAGCAAGTCCTTCGCCAACGTTTCCGCTCTCCTTCAAGTCAAGATGCCATGCCTTCTCTTTTCCTTGTGCGTTCTTCAGGTTGAAAGCGAAGATGGCGTTGCCTTGCTTGACTGCGTCCTTCTTCTCCTTTGGGTCGGAAAGGGCGGCTGCGATGGCATCGAATGCCTTGGAGGAGGGGAATGCATCTGTCAAGCCCTTCAGTATATGCGGCCTGCAGTTGGATCCCTGGAAGGAGCTGCAACATACCGTCCTTGAGACCCATTTTGTTAGTTGTTGTGGTAGAGAAGTTACTGTTAGGCGGATGCTGGAGCTGCTTTAGTAGCAAACAATGAACAGTCTTTGACGAAAATGGACAGGAGAAATGCTGAAATCTATGGGAATGATGCGGACACCGACGCTTATTTCAAGCATATGAACCTCCCGCACATGACTTCACTCGTACAGAGATGCCGCGGCTCGATCGCAAACCTTGTCCTGAGTGTCTGGGGAAGTCCCGGAAGTTCGCATGTGAAGGCGACTCCTCGCGCTTCACTAGTCGCACCGCCCCAGACTTTCTCGTTCTCGGTTCACGGCGACTGCCCTACAGTGTTCGTCGTGTCTTCTGGCAGAGCGGCAGCATAGCGAAGAAATGTTTCGGACTTTGCGAGAAGCAAGACGATGATCTGTGTAGAAGGAAGAGAAGACTCTTGTGGAGCTCCGAGAATCGGAGCAAGACCTTCAAAAGAACATGCCTGCAAGGTGCTGCGCCAGATGAGGTCAAACGGAGATAAGTAACGAAAAGTAGGCCAATGCAATAGTGACGAATTGTCACAGAGACACGCAACAGAACAAGTATAAAACAACCAAACCACGCATTCTGAAACTGCAAAGATATACCCACCAACCCGGAACCAAATCTGCAACACAACCGTACCAACATGGCCGCACACCAGACATTGCTGGCAGGTCACGCCACCAACGAAGACAAGAAACCCACAGGCATCTCAGGCGCTGCGCGTCTGCGACAAATGCTATCCGATCCGAGCAAAACAGTCGTGGCACCCGGGGTCTACGATGGGATCACCGCTCGCCTTGCTCTCTCAGCCGGCTTCGAATGTCTCTACATGACTGGCGCGGGGACATCAATGTCACGGCTCGGAATGGCGGACTTGGGCATGGCTACATTCCACGACATGCACCAAAATGCGGCCATGATTGCGTCCATTGACCCGACAGTTCCAGTAATTGCTGATGCGGACACTGGTTATGGAGGTCCCATCAATATCGCAAGGACAGTGCAGAGTTATGCGAGATCTGGCGTTGCGGGGCTGCATATTGAAGATCAGGTGCAAGAAAAGCGATGCGGGCATCTGAGCGGAAAGCTCCTTGTGAGCCGGGAGGTGTACTATAATCGCCTTAGAGCAGCATGCAAGGCGAGGGATGAGTCCCGTGATGACATTGTGATTATTGCACGAACGGATGCGCGAGCTGGTAAGGACACAGAAGGGAATGGAGGTTTTGAGGAAGCAATTGAGCGTTTGACCGAGGCGGTCAAGATTGGTGTTGATGGACTTTTCTTTGAGGCTATACAAGACCTGGACGAAGCCAAGCAGGTCATTGAGCGTCTGCCTAAGGTTCCAGTGCTGCTAAATATGGTACAAGGTGGTAGGACGCCGCAGGTCAGCAATGACGAAGCGAACAAGATGGGCTTCCGAATCGTCATCTGGCCGTGCTTGGGCATGGAAGCTGTCGTGCCGGCGATGAGAAAAGCACTTCACTCGCTAAAAGAGACTGGGCAGCCGCCGGTGGATCAGAAGATGGGACCTGCTGCGCTCTTTGAAACGTGCGGACTCAAGGAGTTGATGGCTTTTGACGAGAGTGTAGGTGGCAAAGCCTACGCGTAGGATAGGTGAATTTAGCAGATTCCCTCCACGCCTTATCCTCCTCTACCTATTGCCCATTCCTCCCTTCCCTTAAACCTGCAGTGGGGTTGTCCCACCTCCGTTTTGGTCATTACTCCGGGTCGATGGCTTCTCACAAGGCTGGCGAATGCTCCAGGAGATCAGTCGCCACCGCCTTGAAAGAAAGACGTGCCAAATAGAACCTCGATCCTTCGGCAGAAATATTTGGCGCTTGAACGCTTCATTGCCGTGCAGCTGCAGTAGTGTCCGGCGGGGCAGAGTGTGCTGGTGTACATTCCAGCTTAAATAGTGCGCTCGGTGAGTAAGATGCGCCAATCTGCTGAGATGGTGTTGTGGTGATGCACTTGAGTGCTCCGACGTGTAAAACGCCTCATGCGCCGTCGATGTAACCGCCGATTAAGCGATTGTGATGCAATTTCCCTTTCCGATGTCGTCGAATCGACGTTCCACGCTATGCTGAATGCTGCGAACTCCGGTGCAGCTAGAGATAGATGTTGTTACAATGCAATGCGATGATGCTCACGCCCGTCCTTTGCCCTTTTTGGACTTCGGGGGCGCCGATGATGTGATTTTGGATGTTTGCATGAGCTCGCCGATGTATCTATGACCGGGTCAGTATACTTGGGATATCTGTGGGCGTCACTGCGCAGCACGTACGATTGCAGGAATTTGTTTCCTCCTTCGAGCTTTTCATGTTCGCTCTTGACCGCCTCCACACGATCCACGATGGCCTGCAAACTCATTTGCAGCAGCTTGGCCTGCTCGATAAGATCTTTGCGCGCTTCCTCGCTCAGCTTGTCGACCTCTTCGCTATTCCGCCGTGGCGACATGGTGCGCACATCGTTCTCGTCGAAGTCGGGCTCGACGACTGTGGTTGCAGACTCCCGTGATACGATCATGGTGCCACTACTTTTACGACTCCCGATCTTGGGTCGGCCTATTCGGGCAGCGGATATGGTGTCGTCCTCGCTGACGGCGGCGCTCGACTCGGGCGACGACATGGGCGAAGACACGCGGTCGGTGTTCAGCGACGGCTCGCCGATGGAGGGCAGGGCTGATGTCATAGCCAAATCCTGGCTGCGGTGTTGCTGGCAGCTCAGATGAGGTCCAATAGCGACATACACACTCGGGCGCGTGGCGGCAGGTGGTGAGCTTTCGCAGACGGTGTGCGTGTGCGTCGAAGTGAAGTGCGTGTGTGAGCTGCGAGCACGCAGGAGGCTTGCAGCAGGGTCCGCTATAGTAATTAAGGCGCACCCTCGTCAAGCGGCAAGAGGACGGGTGGGCTAGAGAAGTTGCGCCGAAACCAACACAGCGTGCTAGGCAGGATGGACACCTCCACTATGGAGCTACGGCTAGGGGAGCCTTGTGCACGACAAAAGTGATGACATATGTCCTGAACGCAAATCGGTTCAAGCTTATTGCAGGCGGGTCGGCGGATGGATCGTGCTTGCAGGCGCTGGTGATGAGGGACAGCCCACCGCCGTGCAGGATGCGAGGCGATGCGCTGCTTGATATTGCCGCCGCCCTCCTCCAGCGTCTCTCCCGCACCGCACTGCGAGGCTGCCACCCTGCGAGGACTCTCCTCCCATACTGCATCGTGCCCGCCATCGCCGCCGGCGTCTGTTGCGCCCCCGGCGCGCAGCCTCGGCGCGCGAGTCACGAGCGCCGTTTCACCTGGTCTGCTGCTACGTCATGCTCCAGGATTCCTCCACTGGCACATTTCCCATTCGTGAGGATCTTCATGAGGACTTCTGGCATTTTATGGCATGGGCCGATGATTCAGTCAGACTCGCTGCCGGCCGCTATTGATGAGTGACTAGCAACGTGCCTCCCACCGGCATGCACCACCATGATACTGCGCCGTTGCCTTGGGTTCGGCGCTTTGCCATTCGCTGCCAGTCGCCAGCACAGTCGACACACCCTCCGCGTGTGTGTGCAGCAAATCACGCGTGCCCGTCTTCTCGCGCCTGCTCGCGAGATGGACGAAAGTATGGGCACACACACCACAGACCCTGCATTTGCTGGGGTGGGACTGACTGCCTCTTCCCACTCGGCGCCGCGTGCTGGTATATGATCAGCTCTCCGATCGCCGCCCATCTTGCCCGAAGCGCTTCTCCCAGACCATATTTCCTGCCCGCCCGGGCGCTGATGACTGCAGATCTGGGACACAACGGCTCTGCAAAAGCTCGTCCTTCCACCCTGTTCCAGCGCCCGCTTCCATCTCCGACGGCCACGAAAATTCGCGGCACAACGTCCGGAGGCTGTCCATGCTGCGAGCTAAGCACAGCGCCTCTCCTTAGACGTCGGAATGTGAGACAAGCTTTGGCAGCACGTTGTTTTGCATCATCATTGCCCCCCAACTCACCGCATGGCACACTACCGCTCTATGAGCACTGTCCGCAAATCGCTGTCTGAACGAGAGAACCCAGCTGTCGGTTTCGCTGCACGGCTAGTTCGGCGCGAGGCCGCCCTTCTGCTAGATCATCACAACTGCGTCCTCGCACTGGTGGGAAGACCATAGCCGACCTCTGCAACTCCCTGGAGAGCTACCGACTGCGCTGATTCCAGCGTGATCTGCTTCACATGGGATGCATTCACCGCTCCTGCCTCCTGCCTGGTCGTGATATGAGCATGTCCGCCGTGGCGCCCAGCCTTGCGTGGTCCGCGATACCCGACAGCTATCAGTCGTCCTTATTACTTCCTACCTAAATTCGCGACTCGCTCCGCTACCTGTCATGTTTCAACGCCCTTCCCTCCACGCGATCCATCTCTCCCAGGGCTATGGCACTGACTGGAGCCATTAATCTCTGGAAGCCTATTCCTTTCCACGATCTACCTCAAGGTGCTGTGGACTTGTCATTGGCCGACATTATGCACGAACCCATGGCAGCGTTGCGGCTTATGCTCATACGATAGCAACGAGTAAACGTACGTGCGATACAGTTTATTGATCGAACTTTCAGATTAGCCTGATCGTGCCCGCTTTCAGATGTCCACCTAGTCGGTACACAGAGCTTTGAAAGAGAAAAAACTTCATCGCACGTACCCGGTCAGCCAACCTAGCATTTATCTGGCCGCATTACCGATTGAGGCAAGATGATTGCAGAATGTAGCGGTCATTCGATTGTGCTGAAGGGGTGGCTTTCACCAATCGTCCATGTCACTCCACCGGCAAGAGCAACTTTCTGTGCTACCCTGGTATGTCCCTATAAATGGTCATGCTCATTGGCTGCGAAACGCGTCCAACTACTGGGACTCCACGACGCCCATGCAGGAACCGTGAAGTAACTGAGTTCCTTCTCGCAAGGACTACCTCGTCGTGAGCCGTCGTACCACAGCTCCCCAAAAGTGGCTCACAAATGCCGACAAGACTCAGTGCGAGCAGGTCGCCTCGACAACAAGCTTGCCGAGCAGCGCTTGTTAGAGTCACAAAACCGAAGCAGCGGTGCCGAAGATCAAGCACAGAGCGAGGAAGTACACGATGATCTGGCAGCAAAAACCGTCTTGAGCATGACCACTTCATCATCATTCCTTTGCAGGCATTCCTTTCTCCGCTGCCGACGCTTGCCGACGGTATCGGCCTCTAGTCAAGGTTCAGCGGTATAAGAAAAAGTGACTACTCCAGATCATTCACAACCAGTCGCTGACGAGCATTTTGACGTAGCAATGATAGTGCCATTCGCCAACCGTGCATTCACAGCACTGTACGGAGTCAGAGCGCTGTTATACAACAGCGACGAGCGTACTGTCGGAACACCGGTATCCTTCCTCATCGCTCATGGCATACCATATAATTCGCGGCACGTCAGAGCGATGATCAATTACGATGATGACGACGCAACATCTCTTTTCGTAAGATGCGCCTCAGATCAAGCTAGTGACACTAGGCTACAGTATAGCATTAACCTCTGCATGGAGCGGCTCGACTGTGCCGAGTGTTACTGCGCTATACACTGTGCAATTGCTCGAACAGGAGATCTCGCCTCAAACTTGGCAGGCCTCTTTCTGGAACATCCAGATGTCTTCCAGAAGCACTTTTCTCGCAATCAAGCTTCTCATCTGCGGCCACCTTGTGTTGTCCACGGGCCATCGGACGATCTGGCTTCGTTGCACCGCCGTAACAAGCTGTTCCTAATAGATCGCCAGCTCGAACCTGTCGTTGTTCCGCATCTCATCTGGTATGCGATTACCAGATCAAGCATGATTGACATGAAATAATCATCGGATCGGTGGCCGTGTTCCCATATTTGCTTCTCTAATCGAGGTGCTCCGTGTTCAGAGGCAATGAATCATCACGCTCCTTGGTTAGCCATGTAGCACCGGCTTCAATAGTGGAGAGCTCTACAGCATTTGCTACTGCCAAGTCGTAAAACACAGATTCGAGCCTGGAATATCCTATCATGAGCCTAACACTGGCAGTGCGTCTTACTCTAACAATGGCTGTGCCAACTCTGTTGCGCAATGGCAAGGACTACTTGCCTAGGGCATATGCAGTTGATCGAGGTCGGCTTTACATGAGTTCGAGAGTATGAACGAGAAGTCTACGCAGGGAGCAAAGAGCGTCCATCGAAAAATATCGTCGTTGCATTCATTTATCATATCTATATGGTAAGACCGGCCAGGTGGTATTGCACGATGAAGACGCGAGCCGCGAAGAACAAATGCCACAAGTCTTGCACGCCTGCTGGCTTGCCACTTCTATGCCAAAGCCCCCATCGGGTCCCAAAGTGGAAGTACTTTTGGCTCCTGCTTCAGAACGTCCCTAACACTCTTGTCCAACACACTAGGGTCGACAACAGCCTGATACACAAATTCATCGAGCCACTTGTCCGACATGACAAAATATCCATCCGTACCAGCAGTCTCCGACCAGCTGTTCTCCACTCGCCAGCGGACAGGTTCGTTGTTCTCGTCTAGATGTACAGCAGTAAGCACCATGGCGTGTGTCATGGCGCTCTCGCCAGTGAGTAGTCGCTCGGCCTTGGACAGACCAAGTTTGACATTGAAGCCGAGTTCGTAGTCGACCAGATCAGTATCCATGATACCTGCGCGAGAATCAGATTGCTTGCCCACGTCAGAGCCGAAGAAGATGGGCAAGCCTTTCTTCAACATAGCCACGCAGGCCTTCTTGAGGGTATTGATGTCGACGTTGACGTATGTGATGGGTCTTCCATCCCAAACGTTGCCCAAATGATCGACTGTGAGAAGACGGTTGTATTCGTTTCGTGGATCGTTGACCAGAGAGATAAATCTCTTGACATGAGTGGTATCAGCGAACTCCTGGGGCGTCAGAGTTACTGTTTTGAAATTGTTGTTGGCATCGTAAAATTCCCAGGTAAACCTCTCATCCGTCGCAGGAGGAGGTCCAAGGCAAAGGGTGAGGATGCGAACAACGTCCTGCATCATCTTCTCTTTGGCTTCTGCAATTTTAGCTGAAGACGCCGAACGAGCCTTCAACGCGCGCAGGCGCAGACCATCTTCTCGCAGCTTTGTGGTCAACGTTCGGTCCATGATGGAACTGTTCTGGGCATTCCAAGAATCCGGGTAAAGAGTCTGAGGCACGATGCCGTACTTGCTGACCAGATTGACGATCATATCCCTAACATCGAGCAAACGTCAGCACGAGTCTCGCCAAATCTCTGGAAATGTCTTGCAATTGCATACCATTGTCCACCATCGCCTACAGGACTCGCATTCAAAGCACCAATGAGCCGACTGTCGACATCCTCATCAACTGTGTCCAAGATCGACTCCAAGAAGTAATTCGCCTTCTCCACTTTATCATGGAAGAAGAGATATGCCTGCGACAGCTCAAAGCTCTTAATATTGTATTTTTGCTGAATCGCAACTCGGAAAACATTCGTGGCAGCAAAGATCCAGCATCGTCCACTACTCCGTTGATTCGTCACCTAAACCGATCAGCACACACATCTACATCCACACAGCACCAAGTCCTTCTCCTACCGGCGAGCCCTCATGCGGGATTTTAACATTGAAATACTGTGTATCCCTGATCAAAGTCGAGGGCTTCTCCAAGATCGATGCTGGGTTATTCGCCGATAGAGCCGAAAGTCCGAGTCTGTTCTTGGGATCTTTGAGCACTTTGAGGACATAGTCGCGGGTCGCAGCTGCGTCTACATGTTCCGAGTTGCCATGAGAGGGGAAGATGATTCTTTCTACGGAGCTGCTGTGGGCGTGATCGATCTTCAGAGCATCGAACTTCTCGTCAAAGCTCTCTATGAGAGCTTCGCGTGGGACGCGTCGCTCACGATGAGGTGCAGTGCGGGCTTGAGGCACGACGGGGATGGATTCTGCGCTGCCCATGATGATTGTGAGGGACAAGATATCTCAGATAAGATGATGAATACTGGGTTGAATACTGGGTGCTAGATACGTAGGAGTAAGTGTAGGATGGCAGCTGACCGATACTATGAGATCCAGCATCTACAACCCGTGGCCATTAAGGTGGGGGCCTGCTTGATAACGCGATTGCCTCGTGCTCAGGCGTAGCGTGAACTTTAACAGCTTTGGGGAGGCACGGCGCGAGATGCCGGAACGCCCCCCGGTTGCCGAACGCTCTCTTCAGCTTGCTTCCAACTTGCATAGCTCATCTGATATTCTTGTTGTATAGCAATACGCAAGACGAAAAGGACGGAGATTGACGTGGAGAGGTTGATTGTACTGTTCGTCGATCGTACATTGTGTCCAAGACTTCGTACCATCAGGCCATCAGTATACATATCGGAATCCCTGTCCTCGACGTTCTCCCTCGGCAAGATTTACAGCTCCCTCGCTCTCAATCCGCTCAAGCTTCTTGTTCTCTTTGATATGCACCAGTCTCAAGATGAAAGCGAGCAGCGCCACAATCAAGCAAATTATGGCCGTAGAGGCGCCACCTGGAATATACCGTGGACCATCGCTTGCAGGGTACATGTATGCACCATATATTGTTGCAGCATTGCCCATGGTGTTACAAATCGCAATGGCCGCGGATCTTTTGACTGTTGGGCGGATGAATGAGTTGGCCACCCATGCCACGATGATGGTGAAGGCTGGCACGGCTCCAAGCGGCATCTGCAATTGTGATTAGTCCTCTTCACTGGAAACTATGCAGCATCAGAGCTTACCAAAAACATTGCGAAGAATCGGGCACCAGTGTTCAGAGTGCCAGTCACGATGGCATTTCCAACGCATGAGACTAAGAGCAGACAGATGATGTGGATATGTCGATCTCCAGTGCGAGCTGCTGTCCACGTCGTGATGACAGAGGCAAGAAAGGCCACGAACCAGACCGGTGCCTAGATGCTGTCAGTCACCTCAAAAGCAGCTGACGCGGTTTTCACATACCGTAATGAGCAGTGTCGCTATATTTCCAAAACCAAGAGTTTGGATGATCGAAGGGAAAAAGTATTGGAACGTCATGCTCTGTTCAAGGGGTCAGCAATCAGACTGGAAGCGAGTAGATCTCCACTGACCAGTGTTGACATGTGCTGGAGCAAGAGGAAGATGTATAGCCGGTAATCCAAGCAGGCCAGCTTCAGTCCAGTCCAGAGCGAGGTCGATTCGTTATCGTCGTCTTCACTGGCGTCGAGAGCCATGCGCCACTGGGAGAACGCCTTCTCTTCGGGTGTCAACCATTTTGTTGTTGCTGGAAAGTCGGGCAAGATGAATATACAGATGATGGCAAAAAACACAGTAATTGCACCCGAGATAATGAAGAGCCTGTAGGCCAAATTAGTCATGGCTCCCGTCTGCAAGACCTGATCACTCTTACCAACGCCATCCAGCGATGCCCAAGGCGCCTTCCATGTTGCCCAGCACTCCAGCTCCGATAAGGCCTCCAAACATGTTCGCGAGTGAAACTCCACTATAGAACCACGCGACTCTCGCAGTCAATTCTGCTCTGTTATACCAACAGCTCATCAAGAAAATTGCTCCAGGGAAGAATGGCGCCTCAGCTGAGAAGGTTTAGTACCTGAAATCTTGGACAAGTAGAACACTTACCTATTCCGAGGAAGATTCTAATAACAAGAAGTCCTGTAAAATTCTGCACCACTGCCGCTAGAGCACATATGATGCCCCAGACGGCCATGACAATGCCTAGGTACCACGAGGGCCGGACACGCGTGATGAGCAGATTACTGGGCAGTTGCATCGTCAAGTAGCCAACGAAGAGAATTGATGTTGCCTGTGAGCCGGTAAGAGATCAGTGAACACGCCTGGCCATCCGTCGCTGAATTTACCCACCAGGTTGAAGTCCGTCCCAGTCATGTTGAGATCTTCCTCTAGTGTCCCGAGGCGAGCTTGAGCGAGCGCAGATCTGTCGAGAAAATTGTTCAAATACATGATGACCAGCAGAGGCAACAGACGAATGTCGATTTTCCACACCAGCGCTTTTTCGAAAGATTTGCGCCATTCTGCATCTTTTGTTGCGAATTCTGTATAGAATGACTGCAGCTCAGCATTGTCGGTGGGCGGTACGGCTAGTGCTGTGGTCGCTGGATCCGGCTTCTCAGTGACAGTGCCATTGTATGATGGCACTGGACTTGTAGCCGGCTTTTCTGATATCTCTGCTTGCTCGTGGCGTGTGGTCATCTTTTCGAGAGTTGCGCGTATCCAAAAGAAAGGAGAGACGCGAACGGTCTTGGACGGTCGAAGTCTGATGTGATAGACCTACATTATATACGGCAAGGGCTAACAGAGGATGCATGTCGACATCGCGGGGTCCCCAGGTTTCTAGTGACGCGGTGAATGGAAACGGTGGATCTATTGCCGATTTCTTTGACGCACTGTTGCACAGATTGTCTGCTAGATGCAAAGGTAGGCTCAACCAAGTCGCGAAAAAGTTCATCCTGCCTGTGAAGTGGTCGGCCAAGGCTCATGGCACGCCACGAGTCTTGACCTCCTGAGCGGCCGCGGACAGAAGGAGCACATGATATGGGCAGCCGCAAGGCTCTTACGGGTGCAGGACCATTGTTGCCAGAGGGGAAAAGGCTCATAGTATCCCCACGGGCGGTTCTGCTTCGTCGGCGAGCACAGCTTCGAGCTTCACGGTTTTCCACGCTGGGGAGTGGTCCGTCGTGCTTCGTGGAAGATCTTGAAGCAGTTTGCGACTGCTCGAGTCTCTGCAGGTTTCTGGATGGGCATGCCACAAAAGGCATACCGCGCTGTTATTCCCCTCAGGAACGGTGGCGCGGCGCATGCTGGGCGTTGTGCTGCCTATGTATGGCCAAGGCAGTAATGCTCTGAGCCAATTCATCAGTAACCGACGGCGTTTGCTGTGTCTTCCGAATGTCATCTGCGTGAAAGTACAGAGTGTCCATGATGGCAGTGGAGGAAACTGGAAAACTGTGCAATTCTCGAGACGAATATGTAGGAAAGGATGAGCCGGACAACTGAAGCAAGCACGTTCCACGCGCCAAGACATGTCAGACAAGGATTTGTTCCTGTCCACTGTTCGCGGCAATTGCCACCGAACACCGAAGCTCTTCACTCGTTTATTGCCGCACTGCACTTCGCCTCATCAGACTGCTCGGCTGGCCAGTATTCCTATTACCGCGGTGGCACAGTCGTTGGCACATTCAAGCATCGCCGCACGCGTCACTGCACCTTGCACGAAAAATGTGCTGGTACTGGCACCCCCTGGTATGGCTCGGATCGGGCAGTGTGCTGATTGTGCGCCTCTTCACTGGTTGTTTGAAAGAAGAAGTTACAATATCCATTTGATCCAGCCGTGACTTCCGTGGTAATCCAATCCTCGTCAGCCTTTCTTTCATACATTCTTCACATCGGATTGGTCCTTTCGAAATGCGTTGCTGCAGCCGGCCCAAGAGCATGGCCCGCACCGACTTCACTTGGCTGTGGGGCGAGCCTGTTGACCTTCCGCAATAGATCTCTCAGGCCCGCTCCCTGCCGCGATGTGGCAGGGTAGCACATGCTTGCGTGCATGGACTGCACCCAGTGGAAGAGGAGACAGTACATATGAAAAGGAAGAGCACCAGTATGATATGCGCTCTGTGAACAGTTCCATTGCGTCCGTCTTTAGCCCAACATGTCGTTGCTGCTAAAACGCACAGCTCTTGTGCTGTTTGCACTTCTGTCGCCGACCACGGCTCAGTTTCCAGCAAAGCCAATTGGCGTGAAAGTCTTGGAGTCGCGTTTCGGCGAGGGCATTACCATCAGCTACAAAGAGGTACAATCACATGACGAGTGTAAAGCAGTGAGAGCAGCACTGATACTCCTGTTTCTTAGAATGACATCTGTGAGACCACGCCGGGCGTGCGATCTTACTCGGGACATGTACATCTGCCTCCAGGAACTGCAGCACTCGGCCAAGGACAGGACTATCCCATCAATACCTTTTTCTGGTTCTTCGAAGCACGAAATGATCCAATCAATGCCCCACTCTCCATATGGCTCAACGGTGGCCCAGGTAGCTCTAGCATGTTCGGCCTGTTCGCTGAGAACGGACCATGCTTTGTCAACGCCGACTCAAATTCTACCCGATTGGCAGAGTGGAGTTGGAACAACGAAGTAAACATGTTGTACCTCGACCAGCCAGTCCAAGTTGGCTTCTCCTACGACACTCTGCAGAATGTGACGAGGAACTTGATCAACAACACTGTGACATTACTCAACGAGACAGACCCTGTACCGCCGCAAAACACCACCCTTCTTACGGGCACTTTTCCCAGTCGTATCTGGGAGAACACAGCGTTTGGATCTCAGAATGGTGCTATTTCTGCATGGCACTTCGCACAAGCCTGGTTTCAAGAATTCCCGGGTTACCAACCTAATGACACTCGGGTCAGTCTGGCCGCTCAATCGTACGGTGGTAGATATGGGCCGGCAATGATGGCGTTCTTCGAAGAGCAGAATCAGCGCATAGAGAATGGCACCTGGGAAGGCACCGAGGGCGAGCAATTCATTATCCATCTCGACACACTCATGATGATATCTGGCTGCATCGACCGCTATGTTCAATGGCCATACTATCCGGAGATGGCGTTTCGAGGCAATGGCTACGGTATCGAAGCCGTGAATGAGACGATCTACAACAACATGACTGCATCAGTACCCGAATGTTTGCAGAAAATCCAAGACTGTCGCGACATCGCTGCGATCTCTGACCCCGGGAATCTTGGTATCAACACTACCGTAAACGAGATTTGCGAGGAGGCCGAAACGTGGTGCACACGATATGTGCGCGATCCCTACCTCGATTATTCTGGACTCAACTACTACGACATCTCTACTGTGACTCCAGCGCCGTTCCCAGCGCCTTTCCATGAGGGTTTCTTGAATCGTGAATGGGTTCAAGCTGAGCTCGGAGTGCCACTCAACTGGACTGGCAGTAGCCCACAAGCCTCTCGTGCTTATCGAAGCATTGGTGACTATCCTCGTGACTCATGGCTCGATGATCTCGGCTTTCTACTCGACAATGGAATCAAAGTGTCGATTGTTCACGGAGATCTTGATTTCGCCTGTCCTTGGAACAGCGGAGATGCCGTTGCGAAAGCGATCAACTGGACTGGTTCAGCGGGATATGCTGAAGCACAGTACGCCGACATCCAGACCAACGGTTCTTACGTCGGCGGGCTTGTCCGACAATATGGCAATCTGTCCTTCGTTCGCACGTACCAGGCTGGCCACGAAATCCCAGCATACCAACCAGAAACCGCGTACAAAGTCTTTACGCGGGCATTGTTTAATCTCGATCTGGCGACGGGTCTGGAGTCGACGGCGGGAAATTATACAAGCACAGGACGCAATGATCCATATGTTCAGTTGGAGCCTACGGGTCAGAAATTGACATACTGTTACACATACGCGCCTTCCGACACATGCCAGCCAGAGCAGATCGAAACGCTCGTGAATGGTACGGCTGAGATCTGTAACTGGATTGTGGTCGATGCGAACTCGACACTGTTGTTTCCTGAAGTGATTGCGAAGTGTCGAGCTGAGTGGGACCAGCAAGGAGACCAAGGTACCAATGCAAACCAGACTGCCTCGAGCGGACCAGCGATCTACACTGGCATAGCATCAACGCTGTCAGGAAATCAGCTCGCCTGGTTGAGCTCTGCTCTGGCACTACTTTTCCTGATGCTCGGCTAACCACCACACCTGACACACATCAAAGGCTCACAAAAATTACGACGGCACGGAAGCAAATACAGACACCACAGATCGATTTCCATCACATCAATAGATAAACTCATACCATCATCTCTCCGCACAAATCACTCACTCAAATCCCTCTCCCCCAAAACAAAACAGCACCAAATCCTCTCCTCCCCATCCTCTCCACCAGCCATGGGCACAATTCTCAAAACCTGCCTCATCCTCCCACCTTTCTCCCAAAAAACCTCAATCTTAAAACTCTCCTTCTCGCGCGCCCGTTTCGCCACAGAAGTGACAATACCCCTCTGAAACATCCTCGCGGCCTGCGACTCTCCAATTTTCTCTCCCGCTTGCGAGCCTCGAGGGTCGGTATACCAGTCTTCGAAGATCCTACGAGAGCAGTGGGGGATTTTGATGGTGTGTGGCATGATTCCATCTGCATGGTATGATGTTGGGCGGAGGATGAGGAGGTCGTGGTGTTGGTCTGCGAGGCGAGAAAGATGGATGAGGAGGTCGTGGGTGCAAGGGGAGGCAGTCTCGGATGAGAGGTTGTGGAGGACGGAGACTGCAGTCTCGATCATGGAGGCGATTTGATCGCGGGCTTGGAGATCGTCTGCTATGGCCAGCCAGTCGATCAATGAAGAGTTGGAGCTGAGGATGCTGGAGCGAACGTCGGGTGTGATGCTGGAAGGACGTTTTGTTACTGTGGTCGTGGCAGTGGGAGAAGCACAGATGCCGATGTCTTCCACGAGGATTGAGGTTCCCTCTGCGAGTTCTGAAAGTGCTGCTTTGGCGATGCGTTCTGTCACGTCGATTTCGGCGGAGAGGATGGAGGCTTGTTTCCCGGATTTGCGGTCGACGATCTGGTTGACGCATGTTAAGAATACTCGCACATTTGCGTTGGCCGAAGAAGCCGGTGCGACGCGGAGCGAGCATTCGACTTCGCTGCTGTCTGGTGCTGTGAGGAAGGTGCGGCTCCCCAATGCGCTTTTATGAACAATAGATGCAAATTTCGCAGGAGTGCCATAGATCTTGGGATCGCAGATCAGGATTCCTCCTGAAGTCCTAGGCGCATGAGTGATTTCACGCTTTGCCTGCTCAAGATGAGGGTCTTCGAGTGAATATCGAGGTGGCTGGGCTCCATCGTTCAGAGGGGGTGAATCTGTATTCTGTCGAGAATATAAGCTGGAAGCGGAAGTAAGCGTTGGCAAAGACACATCGCTGAACGATGATACAATGCTGTCACTGTCAGGAACTCCCTCCAAATCGAACCAGTCCTTTGACAAGTGTTTGCGTACGAGCTTCGACTGAGCAAGCGCTACGACAAGCTTGTCAAGCTGTTCGGGTGTGATCTGGATAGCCGCCTGTCGAGGACTTTGTTCCTGCTCCAGTGTATCCTCTGGCTTGTCTTTGACATCCCCATGCTTCGCCTCTGCCTCATCGAGAGATTGTCCAACGAATATGGCGCTCGGAGGCCGTGTAAGCGAAGCCGCAACAGTAGCTCTCGGAGTAGGCAAATCATCTTCACTCTCTCCACCAAACTCCAACGGCAACGTCGGACTATTCAACGGACTCGACAAGAAAATCCTCGTAGAATTCACATCCGTTGGCGTGAAATAAATCTCTCTGCTTCCTGATGACCCTGTCTTCTTCCTGCGAGGCTGATCCGTAACTGACGAGGTACTGAGATTCCGCTTGTGAGACTCAGTATCAATCTGCAATTCAGCACCTTCGTTGCGACCAGCCTGAGGATTCTGAGGAACCTGCGGAACCTGTGGAAGAGCCCGATGCGAATACTCCAGCACTCCAACTTTATGCCTAACCGTATCCGAGCGAATAATACCAGTCTTGATCGCAGCCGTGATCCTCTCATCTATGTTCCCAGGAGAATCCGGTGAATAAGTCACAGGTTGTAGAATTTCGACAGTAGTCTGCTCCATTTCAATGGGAAGAATAGGCCGGAGATGGTCCGGAAAGTCGATAGAAGAAACGCTACCGCGAGAAGCATGTGGTGACTGAGTGAAGATGTCCGTGTCTGCAGGCTCTTTTGGCGAGACCTCGTCCTTCTCACTGCCCAGATTCGTGCTTGGTGTGAACCGCACTGTCTTGCGCATGGCTGAACTGCGTTTGAGCTGGGTCTTTGTCTCGTTTGCATCTCTGATTTGCTTCTGTTGCTGCTGCTGCTGCTGCTGCTGCTGCTGATGCTGTAATTTCGTCTGGATGCTGAGTGGTTTTCGACGTAGGGTCGGCGCACCTTCGTGCAGCTGGCCTCCAGTCACGGCAAAGTCTCTACTCTTCGACATTCTGTCTCCTCGTCACAGGGAGCAGCTCCTCGAACAATGTCTTACTTGTGTACTTGTGTCTCTGACGCCTGACCTGCAGTGCTATAGCAAAAACAGCAATGGTCTCAGACCTGGAGTAAGCAAAGCGAGCTGTTCATATGCAAAAATGGAATAACAGATGCAAATCTAACTGAAAGTGAGGCTTGTGCAGGCATACCTCAACTCTTGTGATAGCCAACTCGAGTCCGTTGTCCATAACTTCAATGTTAGTGGCGCGGGACATGATGCGCCCATGTCAAAGAAAAAATCCAGGAACTAAGAAGGAGAATAGAAACAGAGACAAAGGTGAGACTAGTGACTGCACAAAGAATGATACAACCCCTCGGGCCCGATGCTGATTCTCATGAGTGTTTTCATCATACCGTATGTGTCGGCTGTATTTCATACTCAAGATGATCTCTTTCCCAGACCATGCTCCAAAGCGCCATCGCTGCATGCTAAAGAACGCTGTGAACTAGCGAATAGTCGCGTTGTGGTGACTGTGTGTGCCTAATCCAGGCTCGGTGAGGGCGAGACTGCTTCGAGCGCTTCCAACAGAATTTCGTCCATCTCGCGATCGAATTCATCGATTTCCTCCTCAGCAGGCTGGCGAGGATGGCCGTGTGTGCGCATTTCCATGTTGATAACATGCTCAGATTGACCTGGTACAAAGCACCGGGACTCGCCACTGAGGAAGGTACCTTGATGAACATGCACGGGCTCCATCTGCCCGAATGTGATACTTTCTCTTCCGAAGCTGTCGTCACATAGACCTGCCCGAGCGTGGCCGCATTTGCTGCAGAATAATCCGCTGTCACGGCTCTATTGTGTAAGAAGATATTCGACTGCGCCTTGAACGCTGCCGCCGCTTCTCCGTAGGGCTGCAACATTCCTGTCGAAGTCGTAAAAACCCATGTCGTTCAGCGATCGCAGTTGGTTCTCGTACCGCTCCTCTGGAGGCCTTGTATCCGCAGGAGCTTGTGGCTCTTGACCTGCACCTCCGAAATTGCCAAATCCACCTAGGCCGCCGAAAGGATTGAAGCCTGCTTCTCCGGCACCACCAGCCCCACCGACACCACCGCCGGCTCCACCGCCAAAGGCCTGCATCATTTGCTGCATTGCTTCAGGATTCTGCATGAGCTGTTGCGTCATTTGTGCCAGCGGATTGCTCCCACCCTGACCGCCGCCAAATCCCGCAAAAGGGTTTGGCGGGTTTGCCGCATTTGAGTTGGGTGCGGCGCCGCCTGCAGCAGCACCAGGAAACAGTGCAGCAAATGGATTGGCCGGCGCGTTTCCAGGTTGTCCAGGTTGTCCAGGCTGCGCGTCCGCGTTTGCGCCCGCATCAGCATTGGCACCACGCTCTGTAGTGTCCGTCTGTCCTGGCATGGGGAAAGCACCCTCTCCGCCTGCTCCGTTTCCTCCCATGGCTCGCTGCATTTGCATCTGCATGCGGATCATTTCTGGGTTGAACATGAGTCGTCGCAGTTCAGGGTTCTCGATGGCGGCGCGAGCCATAGGATTGTCTCGGATCATGGGGTTATTGCGCAGCATATTCACAACGGCGGGGTTGTTCATAGCCTCATTCATCTGTTGAGCAAAGTTGGGATCTTCCAGCATACGCAGCATTGCATCGGGACTTGAAGGTGCGCCCATGCCACCATCGGCGCCGAACATTTCTGCGCCTGGCAGGCCGTGAAAGCCAGCGTATCGTGCACCCGTGATTTGAGCGAGAGGATCGCCCGCCCCAGTACCAGCTGCTATGTTGGTAGGCACGTTCGACGCAGGCTGGCCAGCTCCCGGCGGCACTGAAGCTGCTCCGCCCTGATTTGCGGGGGCCTGGCGCGCGTTGCTCGCAGCACTCTTGACAAGGTGGACAGTGTTGCCATCCTTGATCTTGTAGGTTGCCAATGTGTCGGCGTCCTTGAGCACGCGGCCGCTGTAGATGAGGCGTTGGCGCTCGGCCGGTGTGTCAGCATACTCTGCCGATGATAGCTTCTCCTTCAATTCGGCGACTGTGGTGGTGGCAGGCAGGGTCAGGGCAATCTTGGAGTCGGACGAAGACTTGACGTTGAACGTGACCTGCACATCGCTATCGGTGTTACTGTCGGCCATGGCGGCCTCGTAGAGGTGCTGATAGCAGGTAGCGGGCGGGCTGGTTCGGCGGCTTTAATAATGTGAGCGGATGAGCGGGGTGGTCGAAGGTCGGCGGTGGTGGTGTTGTGTTGTCTGCGGCGTCTGGTATATCACGATTGCAGGGTTGACTTGTAGCAGGCAAAGACGAGCAAGACCGAGCGCAGTAGCAGGAGCAGCAGGAGGCTGAAGGCAGCGGCGCAGTCGCGGTTGTTGAGTGAGCAAGCAGCGACTGCAATGGAAGCGAATAGTCAACTATGACGATGGTCCTCTGCGTGCCACAAGTCGAACCCAGACCCTGGAGGACCACAGCCACTTCTGCCACCAACTCTCGCTTTGCTTGACTCGGCGGCGGCTCCTCTATCATCCACAGCACGCCTTGATCAGCCGAGGTTTGTTGTATCGCTTGTTGAACAACAACCAAGGTCCCAGGTAAGCACCATTGCACCATTTCTCAACCAGCTCTACACTCTCTCTTCTCTCACATCCACCATCTATCCCACCACACACCATGAAAGCCATCCAAGTCAAAGAATACGTCCAAGGCCCCCTCGACCTCCGCGTCTCAGAGATTCCCGATCCCACTCCCTCGCCCGAACAATACGTGATAGCCGTCAAAGCTTGCGCAACAAACTTCTTCGACCTCCTCCAAATTCGCGGGAGATACCAACATCAGCCTCCTCTCCCCTGGGTCTCTGGCGCAGAATTCTCCGGTGTGATTCTCAAGACACCAACCTCATCTGCCAAACGGCCTCCCAAATTCAATGTCGGAGACCGTGTGTTCGGCTCCGGACAAGGAGGCTACGCGTACAAAGTCTGCGCATTAGAATCTCAATTGCAGCCGATTCCCCAAGGATGGAGTTTCTATGATGCTGCGGGGTTGTTTGTCACAATGCCAACATCGTATGCTGCTCTCGTCACTCGCGCAAATATCAAGAAAGGAGATTGGGTCCTTGTACACGCTGCTGCGGGAGGAGTAGGTCTCGCTGCCGTGCAAATCGCCAAAGCATTTGGCGCAACAGTCGTCGCTACTGCTGGAACAGACGAGAAACTTGAAGTCGCGAAACGTTTCGGAGCAGACTACGGCGTCAACTATCGGGACGAGTCATGGCCGCAAAAGGTTCTAGAACTCACGCCGAAGAAACGAGGTGTGGACATTGTTTACGATCCTGTGGGTTTGATCGATAAGTCTCAAAAGTGCATTTCATGGAATGGTCGTTTGCTTGTTATTGGCTTTGCTGGAGGACCCATTGAGAAGATGGCTACGAATCGCATTCTGTTGAAGAACATCTCCGTCGTGGGTCTGCATTGGGGTGCGTATGCTAAGAATGAGCCCGAGAAGATCCCAGAGGTCTGGAACGGGTTGCAAGAGTTGTTTGTGTCGAAGAAGGTGCGTGCTACGAATTACACGGACAAGGAGTACAAGGGCTTGGAGTCAGTACCAGCGGCGTTGCAGGCATTGGGAGGGAGAGAAACGTGGGGCAAGGTCGTGGTAGATCTGCCAGAGACGAAGGAGAGTAAGCTTTAGATCGACATCGACGGTAGCTTTTCAATCTATCCTCGAGGTGTAGACCATTGGCTTTACGATAAACATGACAATGAGATGTGAAGAATGCGACGTTTCCACTGTACAAGAGCGTTTGCTCTGCATTGCTATACTTTGCTCCAGTATTTCTACTGTATGCTTCATGTCGTGCTGTCGTCCACGAGCTTATCTGTGCTTTACCACAGGCTGTGCCAATATCAGCCACATTGGCCCATGCCTCGCCTTCAAAAAATGTGTAGCGGGCTTCCCATTCTTTTTCCCTTCCAAGCGCCTTCGCTAAAGAGACGAATATACAATCATATGCGCTTTCGCTGGGTATCATGTCACACAAAATCAAACAACCACTCTTCGTGCATCCGTCTTACTCTTCTTCGCTCCTTACTCTCCTGTGCTTGACTTCCTTCTTCTGTCTCACGGCTTTGCTGACTCGCGCTCCCCCAGCAGTCTTGAGATCCGAAGTCCGTCGATAGTCCATTCTCGACCTCTGGACAGCCAGTGAAGATCGTCGAGAAGTGGCAGCGCTCAAGCCGCTTCCGCTGTCGTAGCCCTCGTCGTCGTTCATCGTTTCCACCGATCGTTTGGTCGATTCAGACGATGTCGAAGAGCCCACAACGTTGCAATGCTCTTTGCTGTCCACCATTCGCGATACTAGTGCCGCAATGTCTTTCGCATGCGCAGTGGAGCAGAGTAGCCTGGTATTGACCTGTCGTGCCATTCGTCTTGTTGGGGAATGTGATCGTTGTGGTAACGTCCTCGTCCTGGACATTGGATAGGAGTATTCCTCAGTCACTCCTGGGATCTCCCACCCGGCATCGTCGCCGTCCATGTTTGCGTATGCTTCGCATGAGTCGTAGCATATTTGCGAGTCGTGTCGTAGCCTCGAGGATGCAAAGCTGACTGCAAGATCGGTGACCGAGAAGCGTGGAGGTGGGTAGGCTGTTGTCGTGTCTGCTGTGCAGGGCGATACTGATCGCGAAGTGTCCCGTGTAGAGAGAGTGAAGTCGGAGCTCAGGGAGGGTGACCTGGGCGTGTCGAAGGTGAAGTTCTCGTCGAAGAGCATCGTGATCGAAGCGTGCTAGTCCTTTCCAAGTCCGGAAGGATCGCTGTGCAGTGAGCCGTCGGAGACCGAGATATGTGTAATGGTCGATCGCTCGATGAGGTGGCACGAGGCACAAATGCGAAAGCGTGGTGCGATGCTAGGAGGTGGTGCGCGCTGGGGAACCAAGCAGTGCCGCGGGGAGGAGCGGTCTTGGACAAGTACTGTAGGTTCTGGTGTGGTGGTGACGGGAGTGGGGGAAGGTGATAGAGTAAGTACGACCAAGACACTTGGCTCGGCGAGATCTATGGGCAAGATCTAGGCGACGGCGGCGGCGGCCAACAGCGACACATTCCTTGGGCCTAGCAGCCGCAATCCATGTGCCGCGCGTGTAAGGCTGATGAGAGGTGGGTTGGGCAAATGGCGTGCGGGCTAGATGGCGAACGGTCTGGATGCGCGCCCCGGTCGGGAGGTGCCAGGCACGCACGAAAACGCTGTCGCCAGAATTGCCACGAGAGAAGGGCCGACGACACAACAACTTGCAACTGCTTTATCAACCGCACGGGCACGCCTCTCCAGCCAAAAGCAACGTGGCGCTGGTCCTCCAGCAGGCGCTCATCGTGCTGCTGCCGTTGCACGCGCGATCTGGCCGCGCTGGACTCGACGTTCCAAAGCGCTGGGCGCTCCGCCCTTGCAGCGCATGCGAGGAACATCGGCCAATTGATCGCCTTTGAGCGGGGCAAAAAGATACCAGAAGCAGCACGAGATCGTCACGCTGCATGTCGTGCAGGCACTCGAACACTTCTCGAAGAACTCTCCTGCCGCGTCACCCGGCTTGAGCCGAGTGCAATATATTCTCCCCTCACGCTTCGCCGTCGCACACGCCAAACTCCTGCTGGCGATGAGGTTGAGATGACGCTCCGTGTAACATGGCCTCCGCAGCCATCGTTGCACCAAGTCGCCATTGACATCGCCCATCCGCGAGGGTCAAAGAAACACGACGACGACGAGTGCTTTTCGGGCCGGCCAGCAGCCCGGGCTATCACGCCGAGAACAGCCCCGGTCGCGGATCTTCACCCGTCACGTCGTCGTGCTTCTTTCCTCCTGCACTGCTCCAATACCAGCCCCTCTGCCAATCTGGCCGGCGTCAGCAACACATCCACCGGGTGACCACATCCACGACTTAATCACTTCAAAGCCTTGATGATTCGAAATGAGACTGACGCAACGTGGCCTGCTGAACTCGTTGGAGAGGAGCTTAGCAGTGCAACACATGCGCTTAGCCATGGCGTGCAGTATCCAAGATCTGGACTTCTCCATGGCATCTGGGCACACCTAGGAAACCTGCATTGCCCAGGTTCTGCAACTCTACAGTAGCCACAGGAGTAGGCCCTCTTAACACGTGCTTCCTCTGCCGGCAGATCGGTCCAACTGCGAACGTGTTTACTTCGCCACACTGTGCATGGGCATCAGTACGACGTTACACTGACACAACCATGTCGCGCAACCCCACCAACAACCAGACGACCACCGTCCCTCCCCACAGCGCCGTCTCGTCTCCGTTCTTCGAGCCCGCGAGGCCCGCTCGCATTCCGGAGATGCGAGACACTGTGGCTTGGGACGAGGTCGCGCCAGCCGTCATGCTGCTTTGCCAAGGCCGCGATTATCCGGACCTCCAACCTATAGGGATCACATTGTGGCTGAATGTTTTGCAGTTCTTGATGGAGACTGCTATAGTCCGAGCTGCGAACGATCGATAGACAACACTTGGCGGACGTCAGGCTGTGCGACGACATATTTTCTGATGCTGCAGTTATCACTTACACGATCTCGTATGGTATGATTTATGACCACCTTCAAATGTGCAGCTGGTCTGCTCGGCACAAATTGCACACTCTTGACATCGCATAACGGCCCCCGACCGTTGGAGTTCTGGAACTTGTGGTGGCTCAGGCCTGGATGCCGCCTCCTCGCAATTATCACGATCATGAATGCGCGACCTGCCGCCTCCAGCACTCACTTGCCATCGCTCGTTGACCTGGCTGCAGTGGCTGGCTGGTGAATATCCAATCAACGGAAATGGAAGCATTGCATGCAATGCATGGAATTGAAGCACGATTCTCGAAAAGGCGGGCCACCTCGACCGATATGCTACAGGGTATCGGAATGCTTTCATTGTATGTTCCTCTACCCGAATGCCATCGTTTGGCGCCCAGATCGTTCCCAGATCACTGCCAGTTGTCGCTCGTGCCTACCGAGCCAGCTCGGTCATGGCTTTGGACATTCGCACAACCGATTACACACTGCCGAGACGAATAGAGGGCGCCAGGCTATCGACCCCATTTTTCTCCCGAGACCCTCCAAGGCTGGCGCTTCTGCTCAGCACATTCTGGTCGACTTGCATGGCGCTTCCATCGATGTCCGGTTTCACGAGAACGATCATCCACAAGCCCACCTGACCAGTGTAGTGAATCAGCGGCGTGCAGTGCAGCCAGCGCGTCCCTCCCGGTCCTTCTCCATTTTCGTTCGGCGTGTTGAGCCAGCGGACTCGAGCTGTGACGACGTCACCTGCTCGTAGTGACGCTTCCAGATTTTCGCGCATCTGCCTACTGCCGCCGATCGTGTGTAGCAATGGAGTTTGCAGGAGTCCGGAAGATCTCATAGTGGGTGAAGCGAACAGTATCCGCAAGGATGGTGCAGGGCGCACAAGAATGTACTGCGATCAGACATCAGCATCGCTGTACAACATTGCACAAGGTAGGACCGAATGGCAGCTTACATGTCTGTACACCCCAGCCAAGTTCCCGTTAGCCCCTTCAATCGATGTTATACCGGTCATCGACGCAGCGCTGCCTTGGACAGAGGGCGGAACAGCGTCGTCTTCTGAAGCGTCACTTCCGTCTGCAATAAGCACTCGATTACCACTGGTTGCAGCTTTCGTTCCGCGAGGATCGAAGACCCGATGGTTTTGCAACATGCCTCCGTTCTTCCGAATGATATCCAGCTCGTCGCTGTTGAGCATCTCGCTCAGCGCCTTGATCTTCGCCCGAGAATCGGACTTTTGTGCATCGCTACTGCTTTGACCATCCTCTTCGTTCTGCTGCTCGATCAGAGCGCGCAAGCTTTCCAATCCCGCACACTCCCTGAGAAGTGGAGAGACGTCAACTTGTGCTCCCAGGAAGTATCGAAGCTCACCATTGCTAATCATAAGTCAGGTCTCGTTGCAAACCTTTCGCTTACTCCAGGCACTCACCTATCGGTCAAAGGCGCATTCATCACCATACAAAGGAAAGGTGTCCCATCTCGACGATAGTTCACAAAAAGCTCTGTATGGTCTCTCCGTTCCTGGCACGAGATGGCGAAACGTCGACAAGAATCCACCGTCGTGCCCGGGCCCTGCATGAAGCGACAGTTACGACCAAGGACATACTGAAGGCTCCCACCGCTGTGGCGCGTGAAGCCCTCAGAAGCAAGAATGATGGGGTTGTCGCGCAACCTGCAATCGGTAAGACAAAAGACCTCGGCCAAGCGCCCGTTCTCTTCATCTAGATGCTCCGGCAAGGCACCAGTGATTCGACGCGTGACTAGACCAGTGACAATTTTGATGTACTTGTGTGCAATGAAGAAGTGTAAATCTTCTCGCAGCAGTTCAGCAAAAGCTTCTCGAGCGGCGTGGTGTAGGGTCTCGTTCTCGACAGGTGCGGGAGAAGGTCCGGTACTATCAGGTACTGGAGACTGAGGAGAGATCTGCATTGCGAGAGCATTGGCGTAATCATGAGCCCTGATCGCCTTGTGTGCAGCCAAATACCGCATTAAGATGGGCATTCTTGCCGGGCGGTACTTCTTCATGAATCCCACAAATTTCGAGTGGAACGCTGGGTCGCTCAAGATCAGACGCAGATGGTCGGCACTGTACAGCTTCTCGGCGCGTTTCTCTAGCCAATTTTCGCTTCTGTCCTCATCAGCAATCGGCAAACCGTTGGGGCTAATGAGGTCCCAGGACTGGACATCGTCCGCGTCGTTGACGTCTGCATTAAACACTCTGGCCTTGTCTGGAGACGGCTCCTGCAGACGAGCTACAGCATCGCTCGAGAGTCTGATAGGAGCATCAGGAACCGTCGCACCAATGGGTGAGGTGGGTCTTCGCTCCGATTGAGGCGATCCCGCGTCTGCTGAACGATTGGTCACCGGGCTTGTCGCCGAAGTAACAGCAGGCGCAGCAGGTCCGATGAAACCATATCTCGCTCTTGATTGTCCTCGTGGCGCCTGGCTTGTTGCTGGTGGTATTCCCGCCGTTGTTCTGTATTCACTAATGTCAGTTGCTGATCCAGGGAACCAGCATTCGAAGCGCGACGTACCTGGTCACCTCCCCAACCAAGCGGGACCCATGAGCCGGACTTTTCGGGACGAGTAGATCGTGCTTGACTCCAGTCGCAGTCATGGACGAGTCTTTCCGCAAGAGGTCCGCAGGCCGAGTCTTTGGTGAAAGGGCATTACGCTGGCCTTCGGAATCGTTCTTTGGAAAGAGCCGATAGCTGACCAATTCCGCCTTCGAACTGGAGATATCAGAGTCTTTTCTGACACTTGAGTTCCTGTCTGGAACGGGCACGGGTGTGTAAGCAGGCACGGCCAAATCTGGCGGAGGAGAAATGCGTGGGCTGCCCAGCGGATTGCCAGCTAATCGTTCATCGAGATGGTCTGCCAGTGATGATATGCCATAATTATCGCGTGGAGCTTTCTGTTACATGCTGTCAAATATCGATCTGTATTGTTCTGACCGGTAAAAACTCACAACGCCTTTCGTTGAGAAGTCATCTGTACTTGCTGAGAAACCGTCGAGGCTGTCCTGCGAGCGTACGTGTCTTGGTTGCCGCCATCGGGATGGCGTGAACTTATGGAAGAGCCTCTGCGGCTGACGACGCGCTGAAAGGCCGTTCTCCATGATAGCTTTGGCCCGACTGCTGGCAACAAGCTTGTAAGCAGCTTTTGAAGGCCTACAAACAGCCCTATATCTTTCGTGAAGCTCATCTGCATCCGACATGGGCACCGTGGTCAGCCAGGGCAAGCTACCCCGTTTGAGGCCTCATCTTCACAGCGACACCCTCACTAGTGTAGCTTGCACCTAGAAAGGTATTGTGACGTGACTGGTGCCAAGCACTTGGGGCGCGCAATTGGTCTCAGAGGCTCTGCCTACGACACTGCTCGGCCAGCAGGGGCGTCGTATCTGGCGTATCGGAGCCATCGTCCATCGCATACTTTTACATACCATCTTGATAGCCTGCTGCTTATGCAATACATTAATGAGTTCACTCTAGGGCTGTCCCGGTGGTATACCTCGAGATGCTTCGTAATCTTCGTGATGACCGATCATTCATTCGACCTCTTATTGTCCTACCAAACGCAGCCGAGACTGGATACGATGGCAGTGCGCCGAAAATGTTGACCAGCGATTGCGATCGGTCAGGAAGAGGTAAAGTTGCATCGCGCCTGACAGCCGAGTATTCGCCAACTGAAAGCTTTCAAGGATCAAGCACCGACATACGCTTCAGTGTTGTATCTCTGTACACATTGAAAGTTTGCAGGTACAAGCGCTATTGTGTGAAGTGCTTTCGGCCGTTCGCTTTGAGCCTCGGCGTGATCATGATGTTCGTGGATGTGCAGGTAATGGAACGGAGCCTGAGGAGACGCCCCAATCAATTGGTAGGTGTTCTTGCAGAGCAGTAGTGTCAGCACCGATTGACGCGGGACGTGTCGTGCCTGCGATCGTCACGACAGGGCTCTGTATTGTGATGAGCGGCCGCATTCGGCAGCAAGGTGATGCTGACCGATGCAGCGATGTGGGCAGTTTGAGCAATGTGATGATGCCCATTCCCGATTGAGCGGAGAGGACGGACAGATTTGCTTGATGGGAAAGGTCGTCAGGAGCGGAAGAAAGAGTCTATGACTAAGCTGACTGCCAAGGCAGGACCGTGCCGGGGACAGCTGCAAGATAAAAAAGCAGGTACGCCCGTAGGTCAACACACGGACTGTTGATCAGTCGATCGCAATGTTGAGTCGTTCTCCCAAGTCCCAACTGCTTGGGTCCGGAGACGGCTCCCTCACAGGCAATAAAATCCTCGCCCAATTGCTGATAATACCGGCCAACTCCGGCAACGTCTTCAGGGTTATCATCACGAACTTAGCCTCAATCTAGTGCTCACCCTCCTCCATGCTTTGGATCATCACCTTGATCCCTCCTTGCTTAGGGTCTGCGGCGACCTTGAATGCATCGATCGCGTCTTCGAGCTTGAAGCGATGCGTTACGAGCTTTTGCAAGTCGATCACCCCTCCCTTCAATAACCTGATCGCCCGAGGCCAGGTGTTTGCATATCTGTACTGAAACTGAAGGTCGACTTCTCGTGTACTCAGGCGCATGAATGGGATCTTGATCTCTGGACGACCGACGCCAATGACGAAGACTTTGCCGCCGAATTTCGCTGCGTGAATCGCACCGCTGATTGAGCTTTCCACACCAGTACACTCCATCACGACTGCCGGCTCGACGCCATCTGCAAGCTTGACAACCGCTTCCGCAAATTGCTCTGGAGTGTGACTGAAGTCCACCTTGTGCGTTCGTACCGATGGGCAAAATTCTTTGGCAAACTTGAGTCGTCCCTCATCGATATCCGTAATCACGATAGGCTCTGCGCCCGCAGCCTTGACACATGCCAGTGTCACCAAACCAATAGGACCTGCGCCACAGACCAAGACCGAGTCTCCAATTGTGATATTTGCTCTTTGCATACCCGCCAAGGCTACCGACAGAGGCTCAAGCAGTGCACCATCTTCGTAGGACATGTCGCCGATTTTGTGGCACCACACGGCCGGGTGGTTCACATATCGTCGCAGCAAGCCTGGGATTGGTGGCGTGCTTCGGAATTCGACGCTCACACATCCATTGTACTTGCCAGTCAAGCAGGGTTCGCATTCTCCGCAGATGATATTCGGTTCAACTGCCACGCGGTCGCCGATCGAGTGAGTGGTTACGGACGGGTGCTTTGCAACAACGACTCCTGCAGACTCGTGGCCAAGAATATGGTCGCCGTCGACAATCATAGGCCCAATGCAGCCAGCGTGCCAGAAATGCACATCGGACCTAACGGAAAGCAGACTCTCAGCATGAAGTCCGCGCAAAGTCGCAGGAAAGCAGCGATACTCACCCACAAATTCCAGTACTCTTGATGGCCACCGTAACTTCACCAGGCTTCAAATTCTCGCCGTTCTCGACATCGTCTTTGCTAGGCAACGCATCTGCTATCCACAGATCGTGCGCAGGATTTGTGTAGACACCGATGTTTGGCTTCTCGTGAGATATCTGGGTTGTGGTGGTGGTGGACATGATGTGGCCGGATCCAGACAAGAGAGATTCGTCAACTTGCTTCATCGTGGAAGAAAGGAAGAGAGTGCGCAGAGGAAGGTCAGTGGTGTTTTGGCAGGGTGGCTAGCTCTCCGGAGCGGCAAGAAGGCGAGACTGGAGCGTGTGGGATGAATCGTGACCAACAAACCCATGTTCCCACCGGGACTTCGCCGCTGTTATTATCATGCGCGCGCGCCATGTCAGCAGAATCATCCGGTGGCAGCGCAACGTGGTCTATCTTGGACCATAGCGGCGTCTCAGGAAGAACTCTGTGTTTCCACCTGATGAAGATAGCAGTCAATTTCTCCGCGAATGTGAGCGAGCAGTCGACCAGAAAGTGGGGTGGTGGGGTCGGCATGTGGATGTCCCGGCAAAGCCGCCTTTTCGCTCGACACGAAGCTCAGCCTGTCGGCCTGGAGCGCGTTGCATCGCGTCCGAGGGAGGCAATGGCAGGCGATTATTTGCCTAATAACTACCGTCTTGGGTTCCATTGACACGAGCCATGCGCGACACCGTTGCAGAGCCAACGCATGAGCTGCATCGCCAAATGCCAAAAAGAGCCAAGCAACGCACTCATGCTCCCGGCTAAAGTGACAGACTACTTTCCCAGGAACGAAAGCTTAATTGTGCTATCACCGGTGCTATGCTGGATATACTGTCAAGCAGTCGAACGGGTCAACTCCAAATTGCCGTTATAGTGAAGTTATTCCCAATCGTCAACAGGGAACTTGGCGTTTCCTCGTTGTCGCACGCCATCCATGATCCGCATTAGACGCAAAGTCTCTGAATGTGGCATGATCGCATTTTCCGTGCGTCCTGCCGTGATGTCCGCAGCAACGCTATCAGCTTCCCAGAAGAATCCGCGTCCTGGCTTAGGAAAATCGAAGTGCTCCGGTGGGCCATTGCCTTTCGGGAAGAACGTGAAGCCTTCCGGATGGCTCGGCTCAGGACCGTGAATCTTCAGAGTCCCTAACGAACCCTCGACCCTGCAGAAGTTGTACTTGGACGGCACGTTAGTAGTAGAGGTGCAGATCGCCTGTCTACCATCACCGGGATATCGTAGCAAGATAGAGCTAGCCACATCGACTCCGTGCTCTAGCGTTTGCGTACTCTGAACGTCTGGATCGACTGCATCATCGCCCACTCGGTTGGTTAAGGTAATAATTCCCCAGGTCAGCGAATAGATGCCAATGTCTAGCAAGCTTCCAGCGCCAAGTGCAGGGTCTTTGTAGCGACTGTTTGCTGGTAGGCTGGCGATATCGAGCTCCAAACCGAAGTCGCAGAAGGTCCGGTAGATCCTGCCTACCTTGTGCTCATCAAATAGTAGGCGCTGTAGCTCTTTGACCAGCGGAAAGAACCGAGTCCACATGGCCTCCATGATGAATACATTGGCCTTCTTGGCCGCGTCGAAGACCTCAGCAGCCTCTCCAGCGTTCATGGCGAATGGCTTCTCACACAGAACATGTTTGCCAGCAGCAATGGCATCTAGACAGCTCTGCTTGTGGAAGCTGTGAGGAGTGCCAATGTACACACACTCCACTTCTGGGTCCTGATAAACTTCGTGATAGGATCCGTAAACATTGGGCTGGGCGGCGGGACGCAGGGCGTGAATGTGCTTCTTCACAAATGCCTGGCCTTTCTCCAAGCTCGAGCTTCCGACTGCTGCTATGACATGATGGGCGCTCTTTCCTGGCCATTGAGGCTGGAGTACATCGGTAACGAACCATTCACTGATCATTCCTGTCATATGAAGTGAGCTCTTGATCAAGGTGTTGGTGGCCGGGTGAGCAGTTCGTACCAGTCCCTGGTGGCAGAGTCAGGTTTTCAGCGGTTCTCTGTTCCGAGCTTTGCTACGCACCGACAAGCCCCCATTTTAATGTTGGTAGGTCAGACATAGAGGCCCGCTGTGTGTTGTCAATCTTCTAGTCGTGTTATTAGATACTGCTTGCTGTGGGTGATCGCGTTTTGTCAAAAGGTGTGTGCGACTTGTCAGCTGCGGAATCAGTTCGAGGTGACACGAGAAGTGCAAGGTAGGATTCTTGAAGACAAGTTGGACGTGAGAAAATCAACGAGGTTGTCCATCAAGGCAGGAAGCGGAGTGCCAGCTGCAGACCAGACCAGGATCAGTGTGCCGTGGGGAGCTCTGCAGAACGTGGAAAGCGCTCTTGGTCACGTCTTGTCATGTCTGGACACGTAGCTCCACATTTGCGCTTCATCCTCTCTATATTCGTTTCTTGCCTGATAGACGACGAACGTGTCTTAGGATCGTGACCGGGCAAGAAGACGCGTCGACAAGCACAGGTCGTCTGGTGGCTGCAGCCCACCCATGAACCATGAACGATGACCTCACGCCTTCTTCCGAAACCAAGCTCCGCGGTCCAACAACCGCCTCCCAGCTCTAGCGAAGATGCAGTCAGACGCCATCTTGGACCAGTCCGCAAGCGAGACTCTGTAACACTCGTCAAGTCAGGCGCAAATGTTTCTTCTCTCTCCACGCCTCACGACCGCCGCTGCACCGGCTGTATAGCCTCGCTCTCGACTTGGAAATGGGAGACTTGGGATACCGACTATCTCTTATGTTTCTCAATGTCTTCTTCCCACCCCTCTCAATCCTGATAATGTGCGGAGCCGATATGACTTTCGTAGTCAACGTTCTCCTCTGGCTTTGCGCCATTATTCCGAGCCATGTACATGGATTCTACGTGAGCTGCGTGTACTTCCATAGAAGGCGCAAAGTAAGTCGCAAAAGGCCGTCCAAGGCATTACCTCGCTTACAGAAGCAGGTGCGAAAGGGTCGCTATCCAGGAGGACCAAAGGCTCTGATCTATTCGGATCATGTGCTCAATGGAGGGGCGAATCAGACACTCGTGGACAGACTCTACTGGGCGGAGAAAGGCGATTCTCGAAGGAGATCGTCAAGCAGAAGCAGGTCCCGCAGCACAAAGCATCGCGGCAACTCGGCGAGATCAGAAGTACAGCGATCGAACGTCAATCGACAATTGAACCACGAACGGCGGAGGCCTAGGTCCGTTTCGCGTTCATCCTACGACCGCAGTGACCATACTCAGTATCTGTCCAAGGATGGCTACGGCACGATTCGATAAGGCCCAGATGTCATGGCTGCGTGAATTTTCATACCTTGATCGCATGCTGGTCATGCATGTGAGAAATAGAACTCGGTATTGCAGCCGCTTCGAGGAGGTAGCAATGAATGTGCAAAAAGCTATGAATACATTGAGGGGTCGGAATCCGGTCTCTGTGCTACTACAGCAATGTTCCCTATGGATCATTGTCTTCAATGTGAATCTTGACAGAGCCGGAATTGCGATCTGCTGAAGCTGCCAATGCCTTGTCCGCTTCCTCGAGTTTGTATCTGTGTGTCACCAAAGGCTGGAGATCGATCACTTTGTGTTGCAGCAGCCTGATTGCAGACGGCCACGAGTGATGGTATCGATTGATGAATTTGAGATCGACCTAGGAAGCTCGTTAGCAATAAGCATGGACCAACATAGCGAGCCATGTCGTACCTCTGCGAGTGACATGTGCATGAACGGGAGATCGTTCATGATCGGCTTTCCCACACCAATCACCATAACTTCACCCGCTGCCCGAGGCATATAGCAAGCTGTCACCACACTCCCTTGTACGCCGGTGCACTCATACACCACTCTTGGCTGCTCACCTCCTGCGTCCTCCAGCGCTTTGATAACCGCCTTGGCTGTCTCCTCAGCTGGCTTATTTGGATCGATCTGGAAGGTAACGCAACCAGGAGCGAACGATTGTGCAATCTTGAGGCGTCCTGCGTCAAGATCGGTGACAACAATTGGGCAGGCTCCTGAAGCTTTTGCTACTGCAAGAGCGCACATGCCAATAGGTCCTGCGCCACATATCACAGTTCCCTCCCCGATTCGGACAGGACTTCGCTCGAAACCATGGAAGACAACACTGAGTGGTTCGAGAAGCGCTCCATCCGAGTACGACAGGCTGTCGGGGATCTTGTGCAAGAAGGCCGCTGGGTGGACATGCCATCTACGAATTGAGCCTGAGTAGGGCGGTACTCCCGAAAATGCTACATCTGCACAGAGATTGTAGTTTCCTGACGAGCATTGATAGCACTCTCCACAAGGTACTCCGGGCTCGACAGCAACACGATCTCCTGGTTTCAAATACTTCACTTTCTCTCCCGACCAGACAACCTCTCCTGCTCCTTCGTGGCCCAGACAATGGTCACTTTCTACTATCAGCGGGCCTATCCGGCCTGTGTGCCAGAAGTGAACATCGGAGCCGCAGATACCATTGCATCTCATGCGAACCACGCAATCTGTTGGACCTGGCTGTAAAGGAGGCGACGATCCCATGAAAATCTCGCGCTTCTCGTTTGTGAACAATGCCGGATTTGGCCCAGGTGGTGTAAAAGTCGTTGTGCCGTTGCTAGCTGCTGTACCATTCGCTATGTGGGTGGCATTCCCATTGACAGGGTGGTTGATATGATCAACGCCGGTATGTGCGGTTGCATTGGCGCCCTGAATGGCATCGACATCTTCTGCCGGGGGTCTTGCTGGTTGCTCAGTCATTGTGGTTGCAGTTGTGGAGCAAATGAAGGCGTCTGATTACTGCTGCTGTAACGTTCAGAATCTGGGAAAGATCAATACAGACTCAATCTTCAACCACAAGTGTGGTGTATTGCGAAAAGAGAAAAGAAAAGGCTACACGGCGCAAATGCGAAAGTAGTCTCGTCAGAAACACGGCATGCGTAATGTGTCCGATATACTTGCCTGCTTGGGTGAGCTGTTGACACTGTGTCTTCGAAGCTCAAGCCCAGAACCGTCGGCTATCAATGTGCTAGGCATTATGCAATGAACCTGAGACTCATTGTTGCCATCTCCTCACTATGAGCTACAAGCTCGCAGCCGGGAAGGCGGCATTAGCTTGCCACTGCCACATCAATGAGACAGGTAAGCCGAGGCGCGGGTCAAAGTTTTGTCTGTTCAGTGACCCGCCAGCATCCCCATAACCATTCGCCTCATTCGTAGCGTTGGTCAAGGCGTGGGCCAGTATCCCAGCGGGCAGTTAGGCATCCAAAGGCCGCTCTCGGTCAGGGTTGTACGCAGCGCAGTGGCGACACTGTGAGCTCGGCAAGTGGTTGAAGTGCGGAGGTACGCTTGTCTCGCGAAAAGCACCGTGAGCTGAGAGGATTGAGCATGAAAGCTTTTAGCCAGAGCGAACAGCTCCAGGGGCGTACTGTCGTTCCTTTGTATCGGAGAAGGAAGCATGCAGGTGGAAAGTGGAAAGACCGTGCGAGCCTTGGCGTGCTTCAATGTCCGAGCGTCGTTCATCAATCTCCACCACAACCACAACAACTTCACGCTGCTGTTGAAATGTCCCAGATGCTTCTCATTCTGCAAGGCAATGCTCCACGATGACGCCTGCGTCTGGCGTTTCCTCGTGGTGCACCAAAAACGCATTCGTCTGGTCTCCTCTGCCACGAGGGTGCACAAACTCACCACTGACGCATGCACAGCTGCACAGCAACCTGCTTGTACAAGGAAGTTGATCGGCTATAGGACCAGGACCGCATTGCAACGCCTTCTTCTAGGAACCGGTCAGGAAGCGTGCAAAGTACCCGGACCTCAAGACGGCACAGCTTACTCAGAATGAAATGAGTCAAGAGCAAGACATCTGCTGAGCGTCCCGTATTAGCATGACGTCTCACAATGCCCCAGCGTGCTCGGTGAACACTCAGAGCAGCAATTGGCAGTATGCTACCATGACATACAGGATGCTGTACACTTTTAGAACAAGAAGATCTGCCTCTAGTCTGAACCGCTCGGACCGACGTGACCCGACCAAATCAAGATTACAGCGCTCCGGGTCTCCATGCCTGTTCTCCTACAATTAGGTGCCGCCATCTCGTGTGCCCGCCCGGAAAAATGTCGATCATTTGCGGGCAAGACTGCTCTTGCTTGCTTTGTCGTATACAACTATAGTGCTCACATTGCCTTGCATTTCCCTCGTATCCCGCCTCGAACGGGATGTGGAGCGTTTCAGCATCATTGCATCCAAGGTAGGGCAATGATACAAGTATAGGTCACAATTCTCACAGATCAACGTACTCAGCACATCGAGCGGTTGAAGCAGGATTGTCATCATGAAGGTGCAAGTTTTGCTAACATTGCACGGTCTTGCCAGCGTGGCGGCCGCGGCTACCTTCTTTCCACTTCTCAACCAGACGGACACAGATGGAAAGCCTATCCAAGCTCATGGCGGGAACATAATCCAGGCTCAGAACGGCGACGGTTCTTGGTACTGGTTCGGAGAAGACAAATCATCGAATAATGGACGATTCAATGGAGTTTCGTGCTACAAGTCCTCCGACCTTAGCACGTGGACGAATGAGGGACATGCGCTGTCACCGATCGCGAACACCAACATATCCGATTCGCGTGTCGTGGAGCGTCCCAAGGTCCTCTACAACGACAAGAATGCAGAATACGTGATGTGGTTCCACGGAGACTCCTCGAACTACGGTGATGCTCAAGTTGGCGTCGCAACGAGCAAGACTATCGATGGCCAATACGAATGGAAGGGCAACTTCAAGCCTTTCGGCAACGACAGCAGAGACATGACCATCTGGAAAGATCCCGATGATGGATCAGCATATCTCATCTTCGCCACTAGCAATAACGCCGACTTCCAGATTGCCACACTTGACGATGACTACTACAATGTCAAGGAAGCAATCTATACTTTCAGGGGAGTGTTTCAGGAGGCGCCAGGCGTTTTCAAGATTGACGGCAAATTCTACCTGATCTTCTCACCTCAGGATGGCTGGACTCCGACTGACAACGGCTACCACGTCGCGGATAGCATGTCCGGACCATGGAGTGATGCCACACTCCTGCATCCCAAAGGAGCATATGCATACTTGACTCAGAATGCCTATGATATTACGATCAAAGGATCAGAGCAGACTTTCTACCTCTACCTCGGCGATCACTGGAATGCGAATAATCTTGGAGCTTCCACTTACGCCTTCTATCCTGTTTTATATGACGGCTCTGGCTTAGTACTACACCCAACTGGAGGCTGGACACTCGATGTTGCAAAGGGTACCTGGGCCGATCTTCCTTTCACGACAATCACAGCCGACGACTCCACGACTCCCAAAGACCAACTGGTGCAATGCGAGGACAACTGCGCAGGCGGGCTGGCAGCCAACATGACCTCAACAGAGAACTCTTTCTCTTTCACCTGGGATGGGAGCGAAGGCAACAAGGTTGTCCAGATCCTGTACACGTATCCTGGCGCCAAGAATGCTTTCCGACATATTTATGCCACAGTTGACGACGTCGAAGTCGAGGGCTGGGCGTTGCTCGAAACTACGAGAGCGCAGACATTTGCCCAGCGAGCACCTATTCCCTTGAATCTTAAGAGTGGGAGCAAGGTCGTGCTGAAGATGGCAGAGTCAGGATTGGAAGTGCGAGTCGATGGGGTGGAAATCTACGACGCTGCTTAGCGCACCTTCCGTTTGCCCCATGTGCCTAGATCAAGCAGTACAGCAACAATTTGGACCAGACAAAGCCCGAGATCAACAAGTAGTCGCTGATTTTCGCAGACAAAAGGTGCCATCAGAGCGAGACAAACATTGCACAAAAATCCAAAGCTTTTTCAATCCTAGTCAATATCATGATCATCACCATGAAAGAATCTCAAAATCGCCGCCGCAACGACCTCTCCATCGTGCTCCAAATGCGCAGTCTCATTCGCATACTCCACCTCCCTTCGATCCTTATCCTTGATCGCACCAGACTTGATCCTCAACTCGACTTGTCGCTTCACCATCTTCGCATCCAAACCCAAATGCCCCTGACTAGAAAACAATCGATCTCGAATATACAGCCCTTGAATCTTCGTATGCTCTGTCGAAGCCCAGACATGTACATTCTGTCCTTTTCTGAGCAACTTCGTGGTCTCATGAGATGGAACTGAAGTGACTTGATCTTGATGCATTTGATGGACTTCCAATACTTTGTCATCGGTTTTGAAGAGCTTTTTGCCAATGTAGGTGAGGTCCATGGTCGTATGAGCCAGTTCCCATTTTTGGCCTGGGGTCGCTTCCACGCTGGCTCCCAGCGTTCGAGCGAGGAGTTGATGGCCGAAACAGATTCCAGCGAACTTCATTTCTGGTCGATTCTGCCATAGTTCTGTTATGAGGTCGCGGAGTTTCTGGATCCAGGGATCGTTGCCGTGTGCATCGTACATGGAGCCTGTGATTAAGATTGCGTGGATGTCTGATGGGATTTCGGAAGCTAGTGGAACGTGTCCGTGATGGCCGTTTTCCTCCATGATTGTCAGTCATGTTTGTACGCGAGTTGCGATCATATCTGCGTACTGGATCCTCGACAACGAAATGTGTGTCCGTTTCAATGCCAAGTGGAGGGTCATGATTGTCTCCAGCTTTGGTGAAGAACCTGTCGCCGATTTCGCCGAAACCGCCTTTCTCTTCCACAGTCCGAGGATCAGGCTCGTCTGTTTCCAGAACGAGCATCTTGACGGTCTCCCTTGCTTTGGATATCATGGCTGCGGTCACCAGATGCTGTCTTCGGAAACGAACAGATTTGGTCAATCTTGAAAAGTGAAAGCTCGACTGTGGTCAAAGAGAGCTTCTCAGGAATACAAACCGTGTTGCTCGTTCGGTCAGCACAGCTTTCAAGTTTCAAACTGCATTTCTCAAAAGACGCTCAAAGCCTAGGAACTACGATCAAGATCTTACTACTAATCTTGTGATTGGATCGAATACGCGCATGGCTTCTCGGACTCCATAGAGCGCGTCATTATCTGACATTCTCTGCGAGACAAGCTTTTGCAGCACATGGCGAATAGTGCAAAGTGTTACAAATGCGTAAGAAGAATGGGTGAATTGGTCGAAGTGGGTAATAAAGATGGAAGTGATGCAAGCATGTGCAAGGGAAAGGGCTTGGCCTGACGCTGCCAAGATGGCGTTGGATTTCTTCACCGGGCAAAATTGTATGCTACCAAGACGGAAGACATGACACGAAGGCCAGGGACACTACCGCTGACTACGTCTCCATGCTGTCATCAAGCAATCATTAGCAACTCTCATCAAGAAACAAAGGACGTAGAGCTGTCGCCAAGGGAATCTTTCACTGCAAACGGAGGCCAGAGCCATTGGCACAACAAAGTGCCTGCTGACCCCTGGTATTCTGCAATCTGCCTTGTGGCGACAAGCCTGCTATGGTACAATTCTACCTGACTTGATGGTATCCAGACGATGCTGTGTCGTCCCCATTGTTGCAAAGAAGTCCTTTGCGCCGTTGTATGCAATTTTCAAGAATCCGCCACCTCTTCGTTCCTGAAGCACTCTTTACCGACGTCCCAAATAGCTTGCGCCGAAGTCCTCAACCCATTGCCTGCCTCCATTCAAACCATGACTGTTGTTGAGGGTGCGAGCCTCGCGTTGTGCCGAAGAGACCTTGTTCTGTAGATCTTGCGCGCCCGTGCCAATCTTCTGAAGTTGCACGAGATGGCTGTTGAGGATGCTCACGATCTGTCTCAGAGGGTCCCCGTTTGGACCATCGTCGCTCAGAGATTTGTTGTTCGTGAGCTTGCCAGAAGTGGCGTTGATTTCGTCAACCATATCAGTCAAGCTGTTCTGAAGATCACCCAGACGACCGGCGCAGTTCTCAGCAGTCTTGTATGTGCGTTCACGCTCAGCATCAACGCCACCAATCCCATCCTCACCAATGCCAGAGTTCTGCATCATCTTGTCGACTTCATCTTCGTACTTGTCGAGGAAGTGTTCGATCTCGTGTTGAGTATGCTCGACGTTGGTCAATTGACGCTCGACCTCGCTGCAGTCACGCTCAGCCTGGAAGCAGCGACCATATAACGTGCTGATCTTTGTACTGTTCTCCACGAGCTGACGATCCCAGGCACTCACGCGCTGAGCGAGATTCTGGAATGTCTTTTGATGTTGAGTGAGCGATGTAGACCACATAGTCAGAACTTCATCGAGAGACTTGTGTGCGAGGCGCGAGCCTCCGCTGGGAACAGCGCCCGCAGCGCTAGCAGGTGCGCCACTTGTTGTGCCGCTGCCAGCTGTAGCTGCAGCAGTGTTTGAAGCGGCAGTAGCTGACGATGTCGGGGCTGAAGATGTTGCTGCTGTGCTAGCACCAAACAGACCACCAGAGGAGCCCGATGTGGTTGTAGCGCCGCCACCTCCAAGAAGACCGCCTGTAGTTCCCGCAGTGGAAGTTGTCGCGGGCTGTGATGTTGAAGTGCTCGCCCCACTGAACAGATTGCCGCTCGACGCAGGCTTAGCAGCAGCTGGTCCGCTGCCGAAGAGACCTCCAGATGGAGCAGGGGCTCCCGAGGACGGAGCAGCAGTGGTCGTCTTGTTGCCACCTAGGCCGCCCAGTGAAAGTGCAGGCGTAGTTGAAGCCGGTGCGTTGCTGGTAGATTGAGTGTTGCCGAAGAGATTTGGGGTAGCGCCAGATGTATTGCTGCTTGCTGCGGCGGGCTTAGCTCCAAAAAGGCCACCGCCTCCAGGCGTGGATCCGGTCTGTTGTGAGGTAGCTGTGGATGATGGAAAGAAACTGCTTGGCGCGGTGGTAGTCGTCGCTGGCGTGGCTGAAGCAGTGGTTGTATTGGCAGATCCTGCACCGAAGAGGTTTCCTGTAGCAGGAGCTGTGGTTGCGCTACTACCTGAACCCGACGTCCCTGAAGTTGTGGTTACTGCGCCGAATAGAGGCTTCGCTGTGTTGTTGTTGGCGCCCGAAAGCATGCTGCCGCCGGCGGAAGGGAAGCTCAACCCGCCAGATGAGCTTTGTTGAGCGGTAGCGGAGCCAAACAGCCCGCTGGACGGCGCTGAGGGTGCTGCAGTGGCAGGCTTGCCGAAGAGTGTGCTGCCACCCGTGCTCGCTGGAGTACTAGCGCCAGATTGCTGCTGTCCACCTCCAAAGAGATTGCCTGTGCTTGGGGCAGTGTTTGACGTGTTGCTCTGTGTATTGCCGAACAGTCCTCCGCTCGCAGGTTTTGCGCCAAAAAGGTTTCCACCGCCGCCAGTAGAGGCCGCGCTTTGAGCACCAAAAAGGCTCGTTGTCTGTTTGGGTTCGCCAGCCGGTGTCGTTGACGCGCCGAAGCTGCCAGTCGTGCCACCACCGAAAAGACCCCCCGGCTTGTTGGCAGTAGGTGTGCTGCTGCCGCTTTGGCTCGAGGGCTGACCGAATGGATTGCTGCCAGGTTCTGTCTTCTTCGCCGTGGCAGCGCCAAACAGCACACTGCCCGGATGTACCATACTGCCGCCTCCTGATGTTGCTGGCGTGCCGCCCGTGGATTGTGCTGATGTCTGCTGCGTTTGCGCGCCGAAGAGTGTTGGTGTGCTCGAGCCGCTGGCGCTATTCGCGTTGCCAAAGAGAGAGGTGCCGCCTGTGTTCGATGCGCCGCCTCCAAATAGTCCGCCGCCCGACGATGTTGTTTGCGTTGTGCTACCGAATGGTGTTGCGCCTGATGTGCTTGTGTTCGTGCTGCCAAACAGGTTTCCAGGAGTGGAGGAGGTCTTGCCAAAGGCGAAGCTCGGAGGCTTATTCTTATCGTCTGCCATCTTCGCGACTGCTATTGTGCGAGGATGACAATAGAAGGGGTGATGTCGCGAATAGCGTTTCTATTGTGCTGATTGTTGAAGCTGGTTGAAGCTCTGGGTCGCGCTTCACGCCAGGCGCGACAACGGGCTTGGCACTTGTGTCGCGACCGGAAGTCTAAATTTTGCCGTCGCTCTGCCCTTCCAGATGTCGCTGCTGTTCATTCACGATTGCCCGAAAGTTGAGACAGTCTGTTCATTCACGACTGCTGTGGAAGCTTCTTGGGTATACCCCGATCTAAGCTTGGATTTGTCTTGAATGACAGCGATTGGCATGGCATGATGGGAACATTCCTGTCTATGCTGGAAGATGTGTATTCATCGACCTCAGCCAAAGCTCTCACAATCTTGTTTGACTTGGTCGAGAACTGGCAAAGGGGACCACGAAAACGTGACGATTGCGTAGGATCATAAAAATCGTGTCCTTCCTGTGCCGCCTATCCTACACATCTGGGTATCCTCGAGCTCCGACCATGGGCTATCTTCCTGCCCTTATGCAACCGAACTCAATGCAACGCCAGGCCTGCTAAGGCGATTTCCGCTGAACAATACGAGACAATGCAATAACGCGCCAGAATGCTAGCTAGAAGCCGTTCTTCTGCTTCTAAGCTGCATCATCAGAGATGTCTCGGTGCCTAGCAACCACCTTCCTCTTGAACTCTTCCATGTCCGTGTCCCAGAGTGACGCCGCCTCGCCGTTGAGTGGTGATGAGCTGTGAGCACGTCAGTCAGTCTGTGGACCACCCTTGCTTCTTCGTGCTAGACTCACTTGTTTGGCTCCCCTAGCAGACTTTGAATGCTCAATAGCACACTACTGGTGTTCAGTACTGCGCTCCACGCTCCTTCTGAATCCTGCCCGCCTTGTTTCAGAATATCCAAGCAGATGCGTCCGCTGAAGTCTACGTTCGGGTGGTAGATGGGAGTCTTGAAGAGCACCTCTGGGGGTGAGTACGGATAGTTCGCCGGGTAGGAGAGGGTCAGCTTGAGCGTGAGGTTCTCGTAGGGTGTGCCCGTGGGACCTGCGATCGTCGCGTTCCAGAATGTCATGTCTGAGGATGGAAAAGCGGATAGGCCAGGCGTCGGAGAGGTCATCAATGCCATGAGCTCTGATTGCAGCCTTTGCGACGACTCGTGTCAGCATGTTTCATCGCCATCCTACCAGGCGAGCGACGTACCTCTTGATCAGGTTACCGCTGGGTGCGACTGGAGCGCCTCTGTTTCCACCTTTAGCTTGCGCGATGGAAGGAGGAGAGGCCATAGTCGCGGTGTCCAACCTGTTGGCCATGTTTGTAAAGTAGTTGTGCTGCCGGAAATGTTTAGGTCGAGTAGTTATGTCCAGTCCGAGAGCAGTGAATGAGATTCGTCGTTGCAGCGTGCTGTTGCCCGTGTCGTGCGTACAAGGTAACACTCGTACGACTCGACTATATCGATGCTTACAGTGTGCAGTGCAGTGTTGGAACTGGAGGCAAAATTAGAATCAAATGTGAAGACGCGAGGTTGCTACAACAACCATGGATGTGGGGATCGTGACCGTAACCTTCAATGTTGACGCGTCGAAGCGCGTGACGCGATGACGATGACGACCAGACTCACTTGCTCAACAACATGAAACAATCGGGACATGGAATCAATGTATGTCATTATTCATCTCTCGTTATGGGTATCTCAATGTCATAAATTCATGCGCCAATTGCCGACCTCGACCAAAGACTCAATTGACTTGTGTCAATTGCAGGTCATCATCAATGAAGCTCTCAAGTTGAGTAGACGTGAATCCAAGGTCCGGCGAGCAATATAGAGATGATGCTGAGAGGAATGGGCCTCGAATGCCCGCTCCTTTCTGCTCCATCGGAACAGGACTACGCGAAGTTGTCGGTGGATTGTTTGCGCGAGACGTTTTTGCAGCTAACGTGGGTGGCGGCATTTCCGATGCCCCTCTGGCTGTCCTTGAGTGGGCGATCAATCGATGATCTGGGCTCACGGCAGCTCCATCTGCATCGTGGTCGCTGGCAACAACAATCTCGACGTTGTCCTTTGAAGGTTTTGGCCACGGAGCTGTACTTGCTAGACTCGGGCTTTTGAGCGGTCTAGGGGGGTCGATCATCGCAATATCCTCCATGGTCAAGTCGAGACTACCGGAGCCAAAGGAGCTGCCACTAGCATTTGATGCTCTCCGTACCTCGTTGACACCGTCATCAAGCTCACGGGCAATCTGCGTGGCACTTGCAAGGTCGCCAAAGTCATCGCACATGTCTTCTAGGGGAATCTGTGAATCTTTGCGAAATGTGCCGGCTCGTGAGAATGCCTTCGGCCGAGATGTAACCATCGAAGCACTCGTAGCTCCTTCCACTGAATGGTGCGTTGCTTTCGACTGGGGACTGTCCAATGCTCTGGCAATCTGCGTGCTGCTGTCAAGGTCATCGAACAAGTCGCTGAAATCCTCCTGCTCTGGAAGCCGAGGTGCTCTGATTAAAGCAGCAGCAGGACGAGGAGGTGGAGGCATGAGACTAGCATCGGGCCTGAGCTGCTTCGTTGCAGGATCGGACGCATTTGCATCATTGATTGCACCGAGCAGGGACGCATCGTCCAGATCATCGTCGTCAAACGCTTCCTGTCCGTGTTGTCTACTGGCTTCTTCTCTCCCGGGCTTCTCGGTCGCCTGTCTGCGGAAAAAGGCGCCGAGATGGAATTGGCTGCTCTTGTAGCCAAAACGGTCGCATCGCCGCTGTGTCCCTAGCTGTACCTGCTGCTTGCTTTGTGCCTGCTCGCGTTTCTCTTTTTCAGATCGCTTCTTTGCTGCTTCCAAGCGTCTCTTCTCAGCTTCTCGGGCACGATCAGCGCGCTCCTCGAGTTCGATCGCGCGTTGAAGTTGCCGCGATTCCTTCTCGGTGAGTGTCGGTCGGCCGCGAGCTTTGAATGAGGCCTTCGCCTGTTTGATTGTCTGCTTCCTCACGACATCAGGCATCGCGGCGTCTGCAACTGGACGGGAAGCGAGACCGGTATGTCATCGCGATGATGAAGTGGAGAGTTCGTCGTCAGATGTCGGGAGGCACGTCTTGCTTGGAGTGGGCGAACGCGAACACAGGCACAGCCGAGTGACCTGAGGCAGACTTCGATGCCAAGAACGGACATCACATCACTTGCAACACTTCACAACACTTCATCCTCGCTTCACACTTTTTGACTGTCATATTGAATTTGAAGGTGGCACCGTGCACTTAGAACGTGAGAACGATTCCGTCGCGCTCGCTCGACTCCAGTCATTGTCACGTCTTGCAAGAAACCATGTGCATGTTATCATACCATTCGGCTCCGCTGGGGGAGGAAAAGACCAGGCACCGTGCAGCATGACTGCTACTTAGCATGTATCCGCACTGCAGCAGCATTACTGCCTTCTTCTCAGGCCTCGATTCAGGTCTCAATGCCGCACAGTCAGCTTGATTGCCCTACGGTGTATCTATATTCACCTACAGAGCTCTATCACCCCATAATCTGTTCGCGTTGGAGCCAGATGCTCACTACTCGTAGCGTAAGCTGTTCAGGTCGCGAATATGCCAGTCGAAAGCTGAGTAAATCTGCAATAAAATGAAACAGTGCAATGAAAGTACTTCCAAAAGCAGTCATCTGTGAACAACGGAAAAGAAGCAGACACAAAGAAACTGCCAACAGTAGGGCGGGTGCTTTCAAGATTCTTCCTGACTTGAGTTTCCATCGCATCAGTCTATCAAAGTGCCATGTAATACATCGTACGAGCAAGACAATTACGGAATCCAGTATGGAAATTGCTTCTGTGCAAGAAGGGCACGTTGTGCGAGTAACGAGCAGAGTCCAATTGCCGGCCGGCGTCAAATTCATTGGTGTGGAAGAACCAGTGGCCATCCTCCAATACGCACGCGATATGTCTCTCGCCAGAGGCCGCATAGTTTACGAAGTTTTCAACCAAGAGCGGAGGTTAAGTGGCTATGCTGTCCCTTCTAGCATCCACACTGAAGCAGTCCGGAACTGTCGAAGTGGCAACGATGCTCGTCTCGCGTGGGTTGATCTGCCTGACCCACTCCGCACCGCCCATTGGGATATCCGTCGCAAGATTCTGGACCAATTTCCCAACATCGATGCAACAGCCGCCAGGTTGATATCAGAGAGACTTATCTCTCACAATACGCAGATCAATAAGCCTAACATCGAGAAGGCTGTTGTCGATCACGTTATCCATATGTGGACAGCTTTCAACTTTCGCCTTGAGCAAGGTGAATCAAAGGAGTCCGTCATCAAAGCAATCAACCCTCGAACGCGAGAAGTGCTTGCCAAGTGGATGGGTCCAGATGTGAGAGCTGAAAGGGTTGGCGATTTGTGGAAACGATGGGATTTGCTCGACGCTCCGGTGCCTACGAAGAACGTTTGGGGCGAGGAGTTAGTATATAAGGAGATGGATCACGGAGGACAGAGAAGGTGGGGGGCCGTGGAGGAAATAGAGACTTTTTACACGCCCGGCGCAATGACCTGGTTTGGTGGAAAGGAAACTACGGCGAACTTGGCGTGCCGCTCGAAGGGATTTACTTGAGCATCCATGAAACAGCGACTTTCGTCCTCAGTTGCACAACGTGAGTGATCTCTGGAGACTCCATGTTAGCATCGAAGCAGAGCGTACCTCATACACCGAGGTCTTTCTTCTTTACATCTAGCATTCGTCGCATTTATCCACATGATGATATGTTACAACTTCTGCTCTGTTCAGCACGCCTGCCGCATACACCTCTACGTCCTCGCCCTCGTACGCCTTTTGTGAGCCTATCTGTAGCTTGGCTTGACGAAATCAGCCATGGTCTTTGGCTCTCCCTCGAAGTTGTGTGAGCCATCGGTATCCGCGTGTCCATGTCCGTGATCGTGGCCGTGTCCATGACCATCATCCTGAGGACCAACGTACTCCAGCTTGTACACACTACCGCACTCTGGGCAGCGCTCAATGGGGCGATCGCGAGATGTTACGAGCCAAATAACAACGTGCGAGTCAGCAGGGCATCCGGTGCAGCCAACGTATTGCTCATCACCAAAAGACTTCACGGTGATGGGGTCGTCGAGCGTGCCTGTACCAGGTGTCAGCGCTCCTCTTCGCCCGGCTACTCAGTTCCACTGTCTCACCTTTCCTGCTGGCATCCAAAGGACGCATGTCGAAGATGTCCACACCCTGCATCTTTCCGAGAATTTCCAATCGCTCGAGACCGGTCGCTTGTTCGAGATCGGTAGGGATAGTACCTGGCTTGGCTCCAGGTGGGAGAAGGTCGTGCTCATCCTTAATTTCTATTCACGCTGCACTCAGCCATTGTCCTCTTGCTACTGACTCCCTTCCTACAGCTCCGGTCTCTCACCTTCAAACTTCTTCAGCTGCCCAGTTGGCTCGCCAATATGAGGATCACGCTCGCTTCCTGCAGCTTGTTAGTGATCTGTTTGCGCGTGCGTGGTCGGCCTTTTTCGGGAATGCCATTGGCGAGCGTACGTTGGCGGGCGGAGAGCGCGAATGAGCGGGTGACAGCTGGCCGGAACACAGCGCGCTTTGCGAGCGCAGGAGCGGCGCGGCGGAGGAACATGGTGATTGTGGTGGAGCGGAGTGGTGAGGTGCTGTTTCTCGTGCAATGCTGAAGCTTGACGTTCGTTGCTCCTTCCTGCGGCAGATCCCGGACCGCGCCGCCAAGAATTGCTGTCAATCGTGTTTTCTCTGGTTCGCTGGAGTCTACACATCCTCACTTCACTCGCCAGACAATTTGTACTCTGGCGGCTTCATCTCGTTCTGCTCGATATCAGACGCACCGTCGAAAGTCTACACGGCCAAGTCTCGAGTGCATAATAACTTAATGGCTTGTACGAAGCAATAACAGACAGTGGACTTTGCCAAACTACAATAAGTTCAGCCGCGAGGGTGCTGCACTCGACCATTTTTGGCATATCGAAATTAGCTCTCATCTATTCTGAAGCAGCCCTGGGTGCACCTGTTATCCTCATATACAAGCGGAGCAAGGCAGGAACCTGGTAAAAGTCGATATCGGACGGCGAGCTGTGCTCCTAGTCAAGGTATCACAGCGCGGGCTGAGCGTGCGTCTGATCACATGCGCTCTCAGCCCCTGGGCCATTTCGCTCTGATTCGAATAATGCTACATTCTCATCTACTCTCGAACCGCAATATTTGGCTTTCGCAGTGTCATGTCTTGCCGGCCCGATGTCACCTGCCCACGCTCCGGCTGTCCGCCATTTGGACCTCGCCCTCTGTCGGTGCTTCAGCGATATATTGTTGGGTATAATGTGGTTGGGAATGTCGCTGGTCCGGTGATGGTAGCTCAGGATGATGTTGCAACCGATCCGACTTCTCGTTCGCCACTGCAACATAGCCTGGCGCAGTCCCATAATCGTACTCTTCAGGTCTTGAATCCTTCCCTTCCGACCATTCACCGCTATGATGTGCGCTACCTTGCGCCGCTTTCACCTTTTTCAGCTGTCTCCAAAGTATGAAACAGCCAGCCAAAGCTGCCAGGAGGAGAACACCCAGTGGTACAGCAACGCCAATGATTGCACCCATGCTGACGTTGTTACCAGCAGCCGAAGCGACCACCACCCCAGGCTCTTGCGCAGTGGCAGTCCAATTTTCTGGTAGTAGATCCCCCGTGCTGCGGTCGTAGATGACGGTGCCTGGACTGAGGGAAAACGGCCTTGAGCTTCCACCACTTGGGACTATACAGTTTCCGGACGTGACATTGAAATTGCTTACGCAACAGAAGTCGCCATTCGGTCTGCTATCGCGCGCAAGAAATATGGTCACCGGTACGTCTTGTGCGGCTGCGACATGTCATTAGTATCGCGAAGATCATCGCCCCCGTCATGTTACCTACTGTCGGCGCATTTTGCTGGACACGCTGAACTGGAGAATGTGTAATCCGTACAACCGCCTCGAATGAGACGATTGGGAAGGCCGGCGCCCTGCTGCAGACAGTACCCATTCGAAAGACAAACATCTTCCGGACGACAGCAGGCAGCGTGGGGTGCCCCGGCATTGCACGTGGTGAAGTTCTCTGCTCGCTGATGGTTTGGAAAGAAACAATCTGTCTCGCCTGTGACATGTCGCATAAGGAATGCAATCGTCAACAATTTGGCGAGGGCCATCCTGTTGTGTAGTTTGAAAGAGAGAGAAGTCAAGAAAGAGCACTGAACACCCTGCCCTTCGAATTTGCGAAGCCGCCCATCTTAAGGCAGTGATGGGCTGTGTTCTGTGCGTCCATGCGCACGGCACCGAAACATGCATACACTCAAACCTGAGGCCGAGTACAGCAGAACTCTAGCGCAATCCTTCGCAACATGATACGCACATGTGCAAGCGAAGGATCGAAGTTCAACAGTGCCGACCAATCACAATCACCGCTCATTGCCGCTGCTCCCAGAAATGGCGTCTATTAATGCGCAGTGCCACAGACATCGCTTGAGAGGAGTCTGCCCCGGCGATTGGCAGTACACAGATGCTTCGCCCGGTTGAGCCACAAGCGGCCGCTCGAATTCTGCTTGGACGCAACGAGCCCGGAATCCGACTTCTGGTCAATGAAGACTATTGAATTTCCGGAAGATTGCCTACTTCGACGGGGTGCAGAATAAGTCTGACTGAGCAGCTACACCTGATAGCTTTCGAAGCCTCCACACCCTGAAGCACGCACAATGTCCGCAAGTGCATTCATGACCGCAAGCACATGTCAGCTTCTAGTCGATCCGACTGGGCCATGCGGGGCGTCCTGTCCGCCTGCTGGCCGTGTGAAGCGATGTCCATATTCCTAGATTTGCAGGGACGCGATGTCGAGTCAAACAATGGCTATATTACGCAAGCCCGACCTCTACCTCAACCGCGATTTAGTGGACTCGGAGCGAATCCGCAGCATGTTCTCGTGTGGCATTGCGCTGGTCTCCTGGGAACTGCAGTCGCGTCCAGCGTACTGAACGGCAGAGGTTTATTGGTTGATGACAGCATCAATCGAGGAAGTAGCTCCGGCTTCTGTGTGTTCCTCTTCTGGCACAGGTCGTTCATCGATATCGTCGAGACTGAACAGCAGCGCATCGTCTTCCAACGTTGGCTGCAGGTACTTGTCATCGGCCCAGGCTTTCGCATCGCTCACGTCAGGTTTAGCATCTCCCTGTTGGACTTGAGCGCGAAGATAGTTGACTAGCTTCATGGAGGAGTAGAAGTCCAGATCTGGAAGAATCAGCTTAGATCTGCGAGGAGGCATCATTCGATCAGCTCACCATGTTGTGCCTGCACTTTTGCCAGATCGAATTCGTGCGTCTTGGCAGAGTGCTCGTTCATGGCGGTAGCTCCGCTGAATATCTCGTCGCAAAACAGACACTTGATGCTGACATCCTCAGTGTCATCTTCAACGTCGTCCCATCCCTCTGAGTCGGGCTTCAGATCAAGTCCCGCCAGCTCAACATCTGGCTCGCTACCACTTTCGTCGTCCCCCGAGACTTGGTAGTTGCCATCTTCTTCGACAGGCGGACCAACCTTCTCGCCTTCGGCATTTCTCATCCGCCATCCATGAGGGAGGTCGGGCATGTCGAAGCTGACAACGGCAGACGATCAGGCCGAGTTTATGTAAGGAAATTTCGTCCTCGATTGCGCTTGATGATAGGGTCTCGGATAGCGGCAAGGACCGGATCAAGCTTTGCGGAGCCGCGATGTCGTGATGATGGCACGTGCTCCGTTGACCGTTGGCAATAAGACCAGGTGAGCGTCTCTCCATTCACCCATACATCCTCCTGCCTAAGCATTCCCGACATCGCCGTGTACGATGGCGCCCGACAGAGGAGACCGTGAGCGGCTCCTGAGCAACGACGAAGACGATGCGCTCGAGCCACAGCATAGCATCACGACCGAGCCCATCGGCCAAGAGCCGGACGCCGACTTCCTCGCACGGCAATCTGAACAACCACAGTTCACGATCCGCGCACTCACAGTGGGCATGCTGATAGGTGTCCTCATTGCCTTCTCCAACACGTATTTTGGCCTCCAGACAGGATGGATTTCAGGCATGGCCATGCCGAGCGCATTGATAGGCTTTGCATATTTCAAAGGACTACGCACGATGTCTCGAGCAATAGGTGGTCGTATAGAGAGCCTGGGCCTTGGGAAAGACTTCAGCGAAGTGGAGAATGTGTTGGTACAAACTGTGGCAGGCTCTGTCGGGACAATGCCACTGGGCTGTGGCTTTGTTGGAGTCGTGCCTGCATTGGAGTTTCTGTTGAAGCCCAGTGAGACACCGCCTGAGGCTGTGTATCATGCTGGAGCGCAGGGGGCTGGAACTCCTACTGGAGGTATCCACCTGACTCTCGCCAAGCTCATCTTATGGTCCCTAGGGTTATGCTTCTTCGGAGTTGTCTTTGCTGTTCCTCTGCGCAAGGAAGTCATCATTCGGGAGAAGTTGAAGTTTCCCTCCGGCACTGCCACTGCGCTCATGATCGGCGTCCTCCACGGGGGTGAGAAGACTGGCGCAGAGGGTGAAGCCGAGGCACATGCCAAGTTGAGACGGCGAAAGGCTGGAAAATCTGGCGCCGATGGTGACGAGGAGACGCAAGGCCTGATTAGCGAAGGCGCGCATTCTGACCGGCATGAACATGACTTGGAGCCCATCGCGAGGTCAGAGAGCCGCACTGATAAGCAGAAGAAGGATTGGCAACAGCAGATTCGCTTGCTGACCACCTCTTTTGGCGTGTCTGGCGCATACGTATGTCCCTCCAACACTATAGGCAAGACCAGTCCGCAACTGGTACTGATAGTAAGTAGACTCTCATCTCGTATTTCGTTCCGCAACTTCACTCAATCCCCTTTCTGGGTCTACATTTGTCAGAGAAATGGGTGTGGAACCTCAACCCAAGTCCAGCCTACGTGGGACAAGGCATCATCATGGGTCCAGCAACAACGATACATATGCTGCTCGGCGCTCTACTTGGGTGGGCCGTCCTCTCCCCGATCGCTAAATACAAAGGCTGGGCATCTGGCCCCGTCGATGACTGGAATACTGGTTCCAAAGGCTGGATTGTTTGGATCAGTCTGGCAATTATGCTCGCAGACGCCATTGTATCTCTGGGTTGGCTGATTTTGCGCCCTGCTATGTGGTATGCCAGGACTTATGTTCCGCCAATTGTCGAAGGGATCAACCGTAAAGGAATCAAACGCCAGCTGCGAGATCTTGCCTCGCCAATTGTGCGCGGCTACAGCCCAGTGGACCTGTCAGAAGACCCGAGTGACAGTCGTAGCAAAGCGGTGGGATATGAGCAGGAGGAAGAGTATGATGCCCCGCCTGAACATCAGATCGGCGTGAAGACCACTCTCATTGGACTGATCTTGACTCTCGGATTCTGCATCTTCGCAGTGCAATACTCGTTTGCGGGCATCATATCGATTGGTCTTACAGTGTTCGCCCTGCTTTTGGCTATGATTCTGAGCATCATGGGCGTCAGAGCTCTCGGCGAGACCGATCTCAATCCTGTGTCAGGTATCAGCAAGCTCACACAGCTCATATTCGCTGCTGTCGTGCCTGCAACCTCAAAGAACGCCGTCACCGTCAACCTCATCGCAGGCGGGCTCAGCGAGGCCGGAGCATTACAAGCCGGAGACTTGTTGCAAGATCTTAAATGTGGCCATTTGCTAGGTGCATCCCCCAAAGCCCAGTTCTGGGGACAACTGATCGGTTCCGGCGTTGGGGCTGTCGTATCAGCCTGTATTTATAGGCTGTACACGAACGTATACACCATCCCAGGAGGCCAATTCCAAATCCCGACCGGCTTTGTGTGGATCTTCACTGCACGACTCGTCACTGGAAGCGGCCTGCCGCCGAAGACTTTCGAGTTTGCGATTGCCGCTGCCGTCCTCTGGTCGTTGCTTACTGCGCTACGAATATATGGCCAGAGTAAGAAGGCATGGTGGACGAGTTACATCCCTGGAGGTATTGCAGTTGCCGTCGGAATGTACAATACACCTTCCTTCACGCTTGCAAGGACTGTCGGTGGCGTGATGGCTTGGTATTGGACTGTTTGGAAGAAAAGAGAGGAGACTCCGATGATCGTGCTAGCAAGTGGACTTATTCTCGGTGAAGGTCTACTGAGTATCGTGAATCTGGGGTTGGCAAGTGCGAAGGTGCCGCATCTGTGATGGATTAAAGAGCCAGGCGACTCTGCAACGCAAGGCAACGACTGTCCATAATTGGGAAATCAGACTGACAGCTCGACAAGGTAGTCGCATTGCTTTGATTTTGACCGGCATTATTGCAGCACTTGCATGATCAAAAGTAGACACTGATCAGGATCGGCTACCTTACCATTGTCAATACCCAATACCAACGAGACAATATGGATCAATCAGCTCAGCCATTTCTTTCACAGGATGAATGGGATGATCTCATCGCAGCATTTTCTGGAACTCCGTGGCAACCACAAGTCCACCCTCACCTGGCACAACAGCCAGCCGGAAGCGGCGGACCTTCAGAGATTCCCGACTGGCAACTGAATCCAGAGATCGGTATATCCGAATGGACAGTCCTCGAAAAGATTGAGTCGCCAGGTTTCGTCGTGCTGGATAGCGTTCAGACAGAACATTCGAGGTCTGCATTCGTCAAGTACAACTGCCACGTGAGAGACGCAATTGTGAGCTCGTTCGCCGCTGCGTGCACCGTTTTTTGTTCGTCACTTGATGCTCACGATGCACAGAGAAGGCCACATGGAATCTTCGCACAATCCTGCTGTCTCATAAGAGGCGGGCATGAAGCAGAAGCGTCGCTCCAGAACGCAATTCCGTATGCCGAGCAGGTGATCTTCCACTTGCAGTTTCGTGAATGTACCCTCCTACAAGAGCACTTTGCGATCATCAGACGTGATTTGGAGGGTTTCGTGGCTCAAGTGCGAAGGCTCGTTTTCTGGTCGTCACAATGCAAGATGTGGGTATTGATGACGGACGTCAACGATCGCGTGGCGAAGAACCCGATGGCAGCAGATCCCATGCCGCCTTATCCTATGGCGCTGCTACAGGAGGGCTGTGAGGAGGATGTGAGTGTGGTGGTTGGAAGAATTTGGAATTACAAGGGTAGTTTGGTATACGTGGGCAGGTCGAAAATGCTAAATTGAATGTGCGAGCGGAAAGGAATCATGAGGAGTATTCTTTGTGACTCTGTGTATTGGAAAGGCAGGATAACTGATTAAGTATCGACGGTCAGGCCGAATCAACTGATCCTCACGGGCAACTCAATCTCTTTGGCGTCAGCCATCACAATGCGTCTGGGGAGCATGCAGTAACGTTCAAAAGTGCGATGAAGTGAGTCATAGGGTCATACATATGGCCACCTTGATGTGCCATGTCTTTTGACCTGGCATCGTGAAGCTCGGGTGCTCATATCGAGATATACACTGACAGCCTGCTCTATCCAGGCTCCCTTCGTAAGGAATTGGGAAACATGTATAAGCAAGTCCGGATGCCATCGACGAACTTGTAGTAATCTTTTGCATTGCGGGTCCTGCTACGGGGAGAAGCAGCAACTTGATAGAATATTTACATTTCTCAAATTTCTAAGCAGAGGAAGAATCATTCAATTTGTCTCCGTTCGACTCAAGTCTTCTCGCCGGAGTGCTAATCTGTACGATGCGGCGTGATGAGTGGCATTAGAACGGAAAGGCTTGTCGCTGTGAGAAAGCTGAGGAAGTGGTGGAATGCTGCCTGATGCTCACCATGGCCATTTGGTGACAGCCATGCACAGGCACGGAGGGCAAAGAAGCGGCTTCCATCGGCACAACGATGCTCACATGCCAGGTTCGTTCTCATCACATGGTCGGCTTTCACCTCAGAAACTGCCTCCAGCCTCAATCTGCGCAATCTTTGCCACGATCCTCCCATTCAGGCCCCTTTCCGTCAACCGTATCATATCGTCAAGCCGCTGTCTGATGCCCTCTTTCGTACGCGGACCTCTCTGCTGAACTCCTTGCGGCACAACATATGTATCATTATGTGCCTGCACTCTCTCGTCCCAGGTCATGTCGATATTATCGCGAACCGTGCGAAGCATGTGAAGGATCTCGTCTCTTGTCCACTTTCGGGAGCCTCCGTTCAGCTTTGAGCCAGGCTTTCTGCCCCCAGATCTCTTCTTGGGGGCACGGGTATTTCTGTTCTCTTCGTATGGCTCGTCACTGCCTTCGTCGCTCGACTCGTGAGTGTAGTCGGCCGGATCGCGGTAGAGAGTGATGTCGATGCCATCGTTCTCAGCTTGTGCCAAATCTCGCTCGATGGTTTTCGCAACGTGTTTCATGGCGAAGGCGATGGCGTTTACTGAGCCAATCCATTCTCCTCCTTCCATGCTCCAAGGAGCGTTCTCGATAGCGGCAACAATGACCTGAGCTGTGCAGTCGACGATTGGAGATTCGCTTTTTAAGGCACGAACAGCAGTCGAGATCTCTCTCACCCAGACCCACTTCTCTACTTCCTGGTCGTTGAGGATGTGCTGGAACCACGCAACCAGCTGCTCGAGGACGTAGCGCTGTCCGCAGCGGGCGTAGAGACCTTGCTCGCCGTTTGCGAGGAGGCTCATGAGCTCGGCACTTGTGGAGTCAGTCAGAGCGGCCTGTTGGATCATGTGTCAGCAGCATTCACCAAGCAGCACTCCGTCACGTGTACCAGCGGCCACTGGCGGCCTTTTTGGTGACGGTGCCGCGGTACACAAGGTGTCTGAAGGAGACTCACATTGGTACGAGTCATCTTGTGTAGGGCCGAAAGAGGCGACGTCAATTTTGTGGCTGTGTTCGGTCTTCTGCAATGTGTAGTCGCTGTTCAGGAGATACGCATTCGAGTTTGGGGTAAGGCCGTCGATGAGAGTCGAGTGATGAAGAACTGCTCGAGAAGGTGACAGTGCGCACTCGTGAAGTATCTGTATTGGAAGAGCTGAGTCGAGAAGTTTGGATTTTGAAGACAGTGTGCGGCGACAAGGTGCGACAAACCGTTGCCAATGCGCATGTGAAGGAAGTGAAGCTCGCTTCAAAATTCCCGCCTGACCCCAAGCTTCTCTCATACCATTCATCATCTATTGTCTTTGCCCTGCATCATTTATAAGTAGATCAGTCTGGCGCGTATGTCGCAATATGGCCGAGACATTAAGGCAAAGTCTTTGCATGTCTTGTCTTTTCGATTGTTTGCTTGCCAACGTGCAGGATAATGACGAGTTCAATTTCGAGAGCGCGGCACCATTCTACTCGCTTGGAATTCTGCAATTGTAGAAGTCTCAGTATGTTGCTTGTAGTCGTGGATAGTTCCTGCTTGGAACGCAGTTGCAGTTCGCCTCAACGCCGTCGCATCAGTACAACAAACCTCCGTCGCTATCCTCATCGCGTCTAGAATCGCCGTCGTCGTCGTCGTCATCGTCGTCGTTGTCTTCCAATTGTGCTCCGGAATCGTCTTCCAATTGTGCTCCGGAATCGTCTTCCAATTGTGCTCCAGGATTGTCTTCCAATTCTGCTCCAGGATCGCCTCCCAGATCGTCGGACGCGTCACTATCGCCCGCTTCGCTGACAGGCAATGAAGGCGGCCATTCGTCTTTAGGGCCGGTGTATCCTTCCAAGTCCACCTGATCAATCGACATCCCAATAGTATACACGTCCGAATACACATTAGGGAGCACAAGACGGAACTTCCCCTGATATCTCGCGTCGTTCGCAGGAGCATCTCGAAGTCCTCGCGCAGGGTTTTCAGGACTATTAGCGAATTTGAGACACTTCTTGAGAATCCGTCCGAACGAAGGCCGTGCTGCGGCATTGTGTCGCAACATGGCGTAGATGAGGTCACGTAGTTCTTGGCTGTAAAACGACTTGGAAGTGGCATCGAGTGCCGGAGGTTCGAATGTCATTTTACGCACCCACTCGGGGTTTAGGGGTTCGACTTCGAGTGACTTGCCCGTCTCTGCGTCCTTTGGCACCGGTAACGGCAGGCCAGTCAGGACTTCCCAGAGAACAGCTCCCACGGCATAGACCTGGTTTCTTGTCAGCTTAGCTTCAGACAGGTCAGGCAGTCTCGATTCGCAATACATCAGTGGCCGAACTCATATTGACCAATTCGTCACCATCGTTCGATTGATATTTCATTTGCTCCTAGATCATCAAGTCAGCTATCCATTGTGCATGTGGAGGGGGTTAAGGCGATGATTTACTGGGGCCATGTAACCTGGTGTTCCATATATGTCTATGTCCGCGGCATTCCTTAGATCACTTGGTACCATGAACAACGCGGCTCCGAAGTCACCGACTTTGACTTGAGGATATCCGCGGTAGCGCTCCTTTGATGGAGGACTAACGAACACTAAACCATGTCAGCAATGATCGAATGTCGAATCTTTGCCTTACTCACAATTTCCTGGCTTAAGATCGCGGTGGATGATTTGGAACCATGGCACTATCCCCTTACTTTCCAGCTCACCTCGTTCCATGAGTACCCCTGCTGTAGCTAGAGTCTCTAGCAGGGACCAAACGAATGGCTCTGGAACAATGGGAGGTCTGGCAGAGCGCAATTGCTTGAACCTCGCGGCAAATCCTGCTCGCTCATGGGCCGCCTCCCCGGCAACGATCGCATTTGTAAGTGCCTCACTCTCAGGTGCAGTTAGGTCGATGGTTGGCAACGCGCGCCGTCCCCACGCCCCAATTGTCATATAGGGTCCCGTCATACACAAATCCCAGAGGTCGCTGTAAGGGCAATATTCCATCATGATTCTGTACGTCAGTGCGGTTCTGTTGATTCTCCAGTTCCGAATCTTGACGATATTCTCTGACCCGATCTTGCCGCGAAGTCTGTACATAGCCTGTACCTCGGTCGGAATGCTTCCAATCTCATAGCCACGGGACCCACGAGTCCATAGGCTTCGGTCGGTCCATGTTGTATAGCTAGGAACGGTATTCTTAATAACCAGCCGGTCGCAGATGTTTCCATCGGTGTCCTGTTTCAGCCACTAGAGTAGTTCATTTCAGGTAAGCTTGCGTCTCTGCCAGGCCGCGTCTGGAACCGACGACTACAAGTGGCCTGCTACGAGCAGAGAGGATGGACAAGCCTATGCATGAGCGACTAGACTTACAAGTTCTGCAGCACCATAAACACCCGCTCCCAACGTCCAAGAACCAGACCAGCGCGTGTCAAGTCGACCTTGGGCTTTTCTCCTCTCCTCAGCCTGTCGCTGTCGGTCTGCCTCTGACAGCGCTTCCGGTTCAACGCCATCAGTATGCAGATCATCTCCAGCATGCGAATTTTCTTCTAGTTCTTCTTCCTCAGATGCTGTTGGTCGGGAGTCCTCCAACGGCCTGCCATTTCCAGCGTTTGAATCGTCTTCCAGCTCTTCTTCCTCGGATGATGATAGGCGCGATTCCTCCAACGGTCTGCCGTCTTCCGCGTTTGGGTTCTCTTTCAGCTCTACTTCCTCTGATGCTGTTGGACGCGACTTCTTCAACGGCCTGTCAGCTTCCTTGGACTCTTTCCTGTCTGCTTCTGGTTGCGCTGTTGATTTTCTGGTCTTCGGATTGCGAGCCTTCTTGACAAGGAGATTATCTTCAACCTCTTCTTCTCGTTGCTCACCGCCCAAGGAGTTGCGCGTCTTTTTGGACGGCCTGGAAGATTCCTCAGAACTGTGCTTTCTTTTCGCCATGGTAAGATGTAGATCTGGTGTGTCAGTCAGGGACGGTGTTGGCGTGATTTTGAGGGAATCATGTTCAGGAACTCGTTCTTTGTGTCAAATTTACGATGCATTTCACATTGGATTGTCTCCGGACTTGGTTAGCGTATTTTCTTTGTTCTCGTCACGCAAACCACGCGAGATGACTGTTCAGTGAAGATCAAGAACATTATTCCCGGGCTCCAAGACGGTTATCTTGTAGGGCTTGTAAGCGCATGTGAGTGCAGAGACCTAACCAGTGAGTCTGGTCGTCATCGTCATCGCTCACAAGTGTGAGAGGTGAAGTCCTTCTCATGAGCGACCAATGGCACGTCCGTCATCCAGTACGACCATGAAAGTTGGCTTTTCACCCGCAGCTTCTAGGTATACCTCAAGCTCGTCATCAAGGTCGATCTGCCAGCTATCCTCCGTGCCATCCGAATTTTTCACAACGCCACTTATTTTCGTGACTACAGCCACGCCTGCCTTGCTGGTTGCAGCTGCATGTAGGTCCTTCATCGTCGCCGCACGCACTTTGCCATGCCATAGCTTTGGATGATTTGTGGCGAGCCTTGAATTTGGCGATAGACGGAACCAGGCAGGTATTGGTTGAGGTGGGTGCTCTATCACGAACGGCCCTGGCGCTGACAGCGCGGGATCTAGATTCAGAGGCTCGACAGGCTGCGCCAATGTGCTAGTTCCATCGTGCTGAGGCAGAAACTGGGTCGACTGGTTGCCTCGTGGCCCGGGCTTTGGCACTGGTAGCTGGGCTCCACGCAGCGCTCTTGCTTCAGCTCCAGCCTTAGAACGTGGTGCTGTAGCTGCCCATGCAGGACCCGGCCCAGGACCATACCTTGCGTTGCGCTGCACGACTTGTCGCTCGCCACGCTTGTTTCGGTCTTCGCGGAAGCGCTTCATTGCATCTCTGCTTAGCAGCTCCACAGCTTTCACTTTGCGAGGATCTTGGGAGTCAATCGCATGCTGCAGACGACCATCATTTGCGTTAAGCCATTGCTGACGGAGCTCCTGGAAGTGGTCTTCACCACTCAAGAGGCGTGATTCGAAGTGATCTGCAGCCAGAATTTCGTACAACGAGCGACGAATTGCTTTGCTCTCAGTTGGGTTGATGCCGATGATGTTGTTGGCCTCAGCCACAGTGATCTGTTTGTCTGCAACGCGCATTCTCTTGGTCACGTCCTGGCAAAGACAGTCCAAAGCGATGCTTTTACGCTCTTGATCTGGTTGAAGAGAGTGCATCATCGCACTGAGGTGCATGTTCTCCCGGATGAGGGTACTTTTTGCCTCGTCCCAGACGCCGTCAGCACACTTGGTCTTCTTGATGATGTTCAGATTTTCACAAATCGTCTGAAAGTCTTTGCGGACGGTCTGGTACATCTCATTAGCTAGATGCAGGATAGCTTTGCATTCGTCCAGACTAGTCTCGGAGTTGTATCGAGGTGACAGTCCCGGGGCATCCGGTGGGAGATGACCAAAGCCTCTGATCCGTCGGCGGCGCTTGTTGGTGGCAAGCTTTTGATCACTCTCCAGCTGTATCTCGAGAATACGCTGTTGCCGCAAGGCTTCTTGCTCGGGATTCAGAGGTGCCGCGATGGGAGAGTCGTCCTGCGCATTGGATGCAGTATCGGAAGGAGCAAGGGAATGTTCCAACTGCATCTGCGGGCCGGCATGGACGAGAGCGTCGTCTTCTGCATCAGTGCTACGCGTGCGTTTCTTCTTCTTTTCGACATCCGGAGGCTTGTAGCCAGACTCGTTGCGCAAACGAAGACCGAGTTTCTTCCAGATTTTGGTGAAGTCATAGTCTTTGATTTGGAAGCCCTCAGCGGCGATGGTGCTCTTAATATCTTTCTGGTTCATGTTCTGATTCCACAGCTCCTGGATGCGGCTCGAGGCCGCCGCGACTTCTTCATCCGTGAGCTTGCGAGTGTGACCGGGAAAGGCCCATGCTGCGAACTGACGCAGGAAGCCTTTGCGACTGAGCAGGTAATCAGTGAGCTGTCAGGTGCTGGGTGAACATGTGAGAGGGCAATAATACCATGGCAGGTCGCTGATGGCGATGTCGAAGTGCTGCGAGAAGTACTTTTGGATCTCCGAGGCGCTCTTGTGTTCGTCAACGTACAGCTTCCAGCAAATGTCCTTCTTGTCGGCCCAGTCGTACTTGGGCGGGCGGCCGACGCGTCGCTTGGCCGGCTCGACATCAGTGGAGCTGGCGTTGTCCATTGCGTACTTCTGTCCCGGCGCGTGTGCACTGCTGCTGCTGTACGGTGGGCGACAGGTGGGCGGTGTGACATTGCTGCCTGCCCCGTGTCGAGGTGCGCCGAGTGGCTTCCAAGCTTGTCCTGGCCTCACCCTTCACGCTGCTCGTCCCTACTTCCCGATCATATGCAAGATCAGACTGTATCAGCATCTCGCCAATCCTGCAACCGAGCCGGGCGCCGACCTCGCCTTGCTCTTTCTGGCGATGAAGTTGATCAGCAGCGAACTGCCAGAAGGCGCGCCTCCGCAGACGCAGCTATATGCGGATGTCAAGGCCTTTCTCGCCTACATTGAATCACAGAATGGGTACAGCATGCACGTCATGCAAGCATTGCTCTTGATCTCGCTCTACGAGCTCGGGCACGCCATCTATCCTGCTTGCTACCTCTCCATAGGACATGCGGCTCGTCTTGGACACGCGACGGGCCTGCATCAACGTGATGCTCCCCAAATGCTTCCACGGTTTCACACCTGGACTGCGCAGGAGGAGAAACGACGAGTGTGGTGGGCAGTCGTCATTTTGGATCGTTTCAGTAGCATTGGACATCGAAAAACCCCTTTCGCCACCTACGTCCCCAGTCTCGATGCACATCTACCCACTGACGATGACAATTGGGACCGAGGCCAGTTGGTGGTTGCAGCACCACTCGCTCTCTCAGCCTCACCCTCTGTACAAGCAGCCCCATTTGCAAGAACCTGCCAGGCTGCGCACCTTTTGGGCAAAATTGTTAGACATGTCAATGACAAGGCATTGCCGAATACGTATCGCTTTGAAGAGGCACTCCAGCTCCACCGGACAATGCGAGCTCTGACTGCTGCATTGGTTCAAGAGGCAGCGAACGATGATCCTGACCAGGGTCCCACTCTTTGCACTGCGCTCGCCATATGCTATTCCGCACTGCTGACACTTTACGACGCAAACAGCTGCACCAAGGAACATACAGTAGACACTACAGAAGCTCAACTGCTGATGCAGAAGGAGAGCGTTGAGGGTTTGCGCGAGATCACAGCTGGGGCGATGGATCATGCTCGAAGACTTCGCGCTTTTGCGGAGCGAAGAGGAGGCTGGGGTGGCTTGAGTCCGTTGGCCATTGATCCTCTGTACCAAGCTGCAGCGAATTGTGAGTATTTACACTGCTACTTTGCGCTTTGCTAACGGCCTGTAGATGCTTGGTACGTGCGAGAGTCAAGTGATCTGCAGTGCAGTGAGCGCTTGCAAGAGGTCAAAGAAATCTTGATGGTCATAGACCAAAGGTGGCGTGTTGCTGGTCAGTATATCTCTGCAGTCACTACCGTCTGGCAAAATCTTGCATCTTCCTGAGCATGAGCACACGAAGCATGCATGGCAGGTTGCTCGAGCATTGGCGTGTGGCCTGACGGCATTCGCATTGCAGGCGAGTACATTAAAACCATCGAAGTCACAGAATATCGTTCTGCGAGCATCAGAAGGTGAGTTACAGCCTTTCTGAAGATGTGACGTCTAGATCGTCTGACAATTTGGAAGTATGCGAGCTCTGAATCTGGATCTGCAACCGCTGTGCGATGCCAGTACTTACACAGCTATGGATTGATGGCACAGTCATCTGTGCTGGAGCAAACATTCGGTTTCAGCATGAGCATGGTCGCACGAGATGGGTTGCACCGGGGAGTACCATGGATATGACCTCGGCACGTGCTGGGTGCCATGTTATATCAACGCCGCCGGAGCTCCATTGCCCAGGTAACTTCTCAGAAAGGTTCGCGGCGTAATCACAGCTCCGTGGCCGCGCATCGTTTGACTTCGACAACATTCCTAGAAAGCGATCTGGTCAACCTTTGAAGGCAGTATGAGAGCAGAGGGGGTATACGGATGGTTTGGCGTGTTGGCATCGTGGCTGCAAACGAACCAGTCCGGCTCTGAGCCGGTCGTGCGATCCAGTCGAACATCCTCTATGGGATCAGCGATGGCCACGGCATCCGCTGGAGCCTCCACCAAGCGTCGGTCCCGAGCAGCAGCGTTGAAGTGCCTGGAAGGCAGACGACTTTCAAGTCTTACCGGAGCTTCGAGTCGCAGCAGGAAAAGATGCAATCCGGCTGAAAAAGATGTTGACAGCGACAGTGAAAACGAAGATCCATGGTCTGATCCTCTGCCTGACCCGGGTCGTTGTCATATCGAAGCTCGAGCAGCGAGATTCCGTGCCAGCTCGCATTACTCGACACAGAATGAGCTCCCAAGCGGAGAAGCGGAAGCGCCGCTGTCTCTACAGATGAGCACAGCAGCAGCAGTTCCGTGCGCTAATGTGGCTTCTCACAATTTCGACGGCATTGCGTCACTGCGAGATCAAGCGGAAGGGCAATCAAGCCGAGCAGTGAGGCACAGCAGCTTCGGCATGCATGTCAAGACTGCATTGCGACTCAGCAGTAATGAGAGTGACGAGGGTAGCGTTTTACGGGAACTCGCGATACCAAGTGCAGCGCATTTGGCGGACAGCAGGAAAGAGCGAACTTGGAGCAACTATACGGCTAGACGTGACTCGCCGAATGCTTTCTCACCACAGCTCAAGTGGCCTCCTTCGCCATACTCGCCGTCTGCGAATGCTTCGCTTGATAAACGCTTGGCACCGGTGTCGCGTCAGAAGCGCAGTACACACCAAACACTCGGCTGGAATCAGCCTTACTGGACACCAGCAATGAACACGCCGAAGGATGTCTACCACCGAGTCGAGCGCAGCCCTCTACTGGAGAAAGGAGGTCCCTTTCACGAGGTTGACCTGCACCAACGTGCCGAATCAAAGCCAGATCAGCCCACAGTACCGACGAACGAGGTGCATCGCCAACCCACACGGCTCGCTCTTCTGGCTAGTACCACGATCTGGTTCTCTTGTTTCGGCCTGCACCATGCCTTCGGTGTTTTTCAGTCATACTACACAACGCTCTACCCGACCAGCAGTCAGACAAGCATTAGCTTCGTGGGAAGTACTCAGCTGGCTTTGATGGTCGGTATGTATGCGCTGACGAGCACCGTCACGGCCTACAAGCATTCAATCCGAGCCGGTGGTATGCTTGGCGCACTACTGGTCATACTGGGCACCCTTTGCACTTCGTGGTGCACGTCCTTGCTGTCGATCTATCTCATACAAGGAGTTCTAATCGGCGTCGGCATGGCTCTGGTACTGCAAGCTGCATCTGTTACTGTCATGTCCGACTTTGTGGGTCGAGCTGCAATAATGATTCTGGTTTTAGCTCTTGCTGCTGGTCATCTAGGAGGCATCTTCTACGCGCTTGTCATCAATGAGCTACTGGTGCGATACATTTTTGCCACGGCCATGCGTGTCCTCGTTGGAGTGGTTACAGTAACTCTACTACCTCCAGTCATCATGCTATGCTGGAAGCGACATCCGGAAGAGCCTCAGCAGCAGCCTGCACAGCGAGCCAGGAAACCAAATTCTGCGCCACAAGCACTTTCAGCATCTGGTATCACCCTCGTTTTCCTCGGCTTGTACTTTTTGCCCACGTACATGCCGGTATTTGCAGCGACAGCAGCGGGCTTAGAAAGCGACCAGGGCGCTCATCTGCTTGCTCTCATGTGCGCAACGGCTGTCTTTGGGTGTTCCCTTACAAGCCTGGCTATCTGTCATGGAATCAGAGCTGCCAAAGTGGGTGGAGCCTGTTCCGTTCTCGCCGGCATCGTTGTCCTCGCATGGCTCGGCATTCCCGCACAATCTTCCTTTGGCGAACTGGCTATCCTGTCTACGCTCTACGGCTTAGTGAGTCCTGGAATATCGATATATTGCCTTGCAGCACTATGCACTTTGGGCCCAGATTCCTATGAAATCACTGATACTGCACGGGCTCGAAGCTCTCCACGCTGGATCTCTGACAGACTTCCAAACTTTAGCGTCGTTGTCTTGATGATTTCCATTAGCCTGGCAGCAGTTATTGGAAGTCCAGTCGCTGGTGCTCTGATCCAACTGCATCCGAGTGCGATCTCGCCAGCTTCAAGCAACGACTTCTTTAAGGCGAAAATATTTGCTGGTGCCACATTGTTCGCGGGGGGCGTACTGTTGTTGGCGAGCAGCTATATTCGAACAGGAAAGTGAGGATAGGTGGCTTCGTTGTGTTCGAAGCTCCACTTTTGCTCCTTACTAAGGGATAGCCATGTAATTGAGCTTGTGATCGAAGTTCTTCTACTCGTCACTCCATGAACTAGTGATTGTGTTTACATCTCATCTTCTCTGTTTCACAACGTAGTCTCTATTGAGCATGCGGCACGGTCTAGATCCATGACGCTGCATCGCGATCCAACGCCAAGACCACTGAACCTTGTCCTGCCATCGTCACATCGAAGCTGTCGCAGTCATACATGTACCGTACCTCTATGCGCAATACCGAGTCAGGTCAGGACTAGGTCGATCGCCCCTAGACTTTGCTCAAAGTACTTCTGAACGATCAAAGGGATGCGCAGCACGCCATGAGAGAGCACGACTCACCCGGCAATGCCGCCAGCAAGTCGGCAAATGGATTACATCTCGCCTGTCGCGAATGCGTACGTTCACTAATCGTCGTTGATGATCAATCGCCTCTTCTCTAATATTCGTTTACAGCAACGTAAAAAAGTCAAGTGCGATAGAACGTACCCATGCGGCCAGTGTGAAAAGGCGGGTATACAGTGCCACATCTCCACCCGGAAACCGCGAGCCAAGACTGGCAGTAGAGCGGTAGATGCAGAACTACGAAGCCGGATCGCGAAGCTGGAAAAGCTGGTAGAGAGCTTCGCGGACGACGACGGGAAATTGCCAAACCCCGAAACTGCGAGAGCTGCCGGCTTGGGCGGTCAGGAGCGCACCTCGTCCTTTGCGACACCTCCAGCTTTCACGCCAGGCGGTGGTACGGCTAGTCCTGGGAGCCCACGAGATGCTGCTTCACCAGATACGAGCAAATATGTCGCAGGTAACTTCTGGTCTTCACTCACATCTGAGGTGAAGGCGCTTGCAGAGGTCTTTGAAGAGGATACTCGCAGCGATGATGGCCAGACGCCCGAATCAGTGGCTCCCTCTGGACCCTACGCTTACGACCCTGCGACTGGTGCAAGCACACAGCATGAACTCATCCTCTGTCCTCCGGGAGCTATTTACGTTATGCCCGGCGTGGTGACAGAACCCTCACACGCGGATGGGCAGAAGCTTTTGTCTGCTTTCCTAACTCACGTGGAGATACTGTACAAGCTCATTCATGTACCGACACTTAAAGCCCTCATCGAACATGGTGAGAACTACCTTGGCAGAGCACCGGATGCTCCCTGCAACCGCGCTCTTCGGGCTTCAGTCTTCTTTGCAGCAGCGAATGCCCTCACCAATGAGGAGTCGGAGAGAGATTTTGGCAAGCCTCAGGAGCAGCTTGTCACGGAATACCGCCGCATGGTCGATATAGCTCTCTATCAAACAGACCCTCTCAACACGACAGAGATTGCAACGCTGCAAGCCTTGGTATTGTACACGCAGTCGATACGAGTTGTCGATGCCAGCAGGAGAGCATGGTCATTGGTCGGACTGCTCGTTCGAATCGCTCGCGCGATGAGTATACACCGAGAACTGCCTGGAGAATCAATATACCTCGGCGAGCTGCGTCGTCGACTTTGGTACAATATTGTCTTTCTGGACTGCTACGCATCAATCGATCGCGGCTCAGAATCTGCTATCCATCCGGATAGTTTTACACGACTACTCCCTGCTCACGTCAACGATTCTGATTTTGGTCCTGGCAGCACAACACTTTCACCTCGACAAAACGAGCTCACGGAAATGTCTCTCCCGCTCATGGCTATGGAAGGCTCTGCGCTGAGTCTGAGAATGTCCGCCATGGAAGATGCTACTTCCGGACCAAGCTGGCAGCAGCGTCTCGAACTTGCCTACTCGTTTCAAAAGAAAGTGCACGAAAGGATGCTGCGTCATTGTGATCCTGCTATTCCTGAGCAACAAATGATATTAGACACAGGATCCGCGGCTTGCCATTCCATGATTTTGCGTGCCGTCCGACCCATGCAACACAATCCAAACAGTATCCCTCCTCGAGTGGATAGTCCTTGGGTTATGGACTTGGCACTCAATATCCTCCGACGCAGTGATGAGCTGTGGGCGAATATGTCTGGGCGTTGGCGACGTATGCCATGGGTTCCGTGGCAAGCTCTTGCGGTGACGCTCGCCGGATTGTGTTCGATTCGAGGCACCGAACAGGCGAACGAGGCTTGGGCGTTAATTGATAAGAGCATGGCCCGGTACGCTCCCGATGTCGCTGACACCAAGGACGGTAGCCTCTGGAAACCTCTGGAGAAGTTACGCATCAAGGCAGCTGCCTTCCGCGATGGTGTGGAGCTCCGGCGACCGCAAAAGTCCAGTCTTGCGGCGATGGAGCAATCTCTATCAGCGACTGTTCAAAAGTTCGATCCCGGCTCGAATTTCCCAGCAGCTGATCCCGCAACATTGCCGATGTCCTCAACTGCTGGGGCGATGAATTACTTGCCACCTGACACTTCGTTTCCTGTTCCAATGGATACTGCAGCATTTGACTTTCCGCCGGAAATGCAAGCTTCGCTACCGAATGACACTTCTTGGCTTGATTGGGAAGCTGTATTGCAAGACATGGATGAGATTCGTGCAGATGATATGCAGTGGATGTGAAATGATCCCGTACTAGCTTTGCATCGATTTCATCGTTGCAGAAAACTCCACTCAGGATGAGCTGCTCTGGTGACCCAGAGACTCACAGAAATTCAACGAAGGGGCATCTCCACTCGACATCGATGGGACGGACAACTGGAACAGTACCCTACATCTAAAACTCCACTCAGGACAAGATGCTAGAGAGGTTTAAAGCCTTTGAGATGTTGTGTTCTTCTGCCAGCTTGAGACGGGTCACTCAATCTATTCAATCGAAATCACGAAGAGATATATTCGATAAGGACAGATCTCCTCTCGGTACCGATACATATCGTCATCGATCAACTCCAAGAACAGAAGAGTCAGAGGAGATTCCATATCTATCGGCAAGCCTTCAACATCGGCAAAACCGCCACTGCGACAGCGATCCAGCAGCCTAGATTCTGCTCTGGGGTTCTTCTGCAACCATAATAGCGTCACGATACCTTCCACTTATAGATCGGCACACGAGAAAGACGGGCCATAACTCAACTCATAGAATATTACACGGCATCGTCCAGTGAACTTCGCGTCCGCTTGCTTTGATGAAGATATAGCGGTCTACACAGACATGTGCCGCAATACGTCCAAACTAGGATGTCGCTCTGCTCGCACGTACTTCGATCATAACGGCGATGACAATCGCAATCGCAATTGCAAATCAATCTTTTTCTTTCAACTATCGGCATACATGTACAGTATGTCGTGAAAGAAACCTTGGCCCGGAGATACCCCGGCCCCAAAGGGTCGTTCCTGCAGGATTTCAGAAACCACGCTAACCCGCTCTCGTATTGCTGAGCTTGCTGGTGGCTTCATGCTGTGTAAAGAGAGAATTGAAGGATTGGAGATTGTTGTCGGGGTTAACGGAGCGGAGAAAATGGTCGAGGATGGTAGAGCTTGATAGGACGCATATAAGAACGTGGGATGCTGCTGGTCGAAGTAGAATGTTGATTTTATCACTCATTCGAGTTTGCTATCTGAAACAAGAGCGGACAGAAACATTATCCACCTACCTTGGAACTTTACTACACTTCCTTTCAAAGGCAGCTGTGCTCTTTTACAACATGTCTTCTCCATTGCAAAACACAGCTGCTTGGCTCCCTACCAAACAAGCCAAACCCTTTCAGATCGGTCCAGCTGATGTTCCAGCACTCAAGCCCCGCGAAGTACTGATCAAGACCCACGCCGTAGCGATCAACCCGGCCGACGCAGGTATCCAAAACCTCGGACTGCTCTGGGAGAAGTATCCGATCATCATCGGCTGCGATCTGGCGGGCGAAGTCGTCGAGGTCGGAGACGAAGTGGATGCTAGCAGGAACATTCGGAAAGGCGATCGTGTCCTGGCTTGTGTAGAGAAGGGGGCTTTTCAGCAGTATTGTGCTGCTGCGGTCGAGTTGGTGGCGAAGATACCTGAGCATGTCAGCTATGCTCAAGCGAGTGTGCTGCCTGCGGGGCTTTCGACTGCGGCTGTTAGTCTGTTCCACGAGGAAGGAATGAGGCTTGAGTTGCCGAGCTTGGAACCCAAGCCCAATGGACAGGTGATTGTGGTTTGGGGTGGTAGTTCTTCGGTTGGAAGTTGTGGCATTCAAATGCTGGTTGCTGCGGGATACGAGGTGTTTGCTACCGCAGGGGCGAAGAATGCGACTTATTGCGAAGAGCTTGGGGCTACAAGAGTGTTTGATCACAAGCAAGAGGGAGTCGAGGAAGAGATCGTGGAAGCTGTCAAGGGCAGCGGCAAGAGGTTCGGCGGCATTTTCAGCGCGATCATGACGCTCGATGTGATGAACACGGTGGTCCGGCTCGCGGACAAGCTTGGTCATGACGAGCAGTCTCGCACGGTAGGAACGGTGGTGCCGCCAGATATGCCGGTATTTCCACTGCCGGGGTTGCCTTCTGGCGTCAAGCTGGCCTTCTGCAGAGGACCAACAGCGTTTGTGCAGGAATCAGAATTGGCGGCGATGTTGGGATGGAGCAAGCGTCCCGTGTCCCATATCGGACGTGCAGTCTTCGAGGAGTGGCTGACGCCAGCATTGGAAGCAGGCTTGCTGAAGTGCAAGCCGGAGCCGCAGGTTGTTGGAGGGGGGCTGGAGAAGGTGCAGGATGCGTGCGATATGATGTCGGATGGTGTCAGCGCAACGAAACTTGTGGTAGTGTTGGAGGGAAAGTGATGAGTATGTCAGACCAATGGCCGGGGGGTGCCAAGAGTGCAGGAGCAGGAGTGGTGGGTCGACCATGGGTTGCACATCATGCAGAGTACACGCGCGTGCATGATATGTATCTTTGCATCTTCTGTATGATTCGCTCGAGAGCAAGTGTGAAGAAATGTAGCCGATCTCGAGAGGCGTGTCTCCTTGTATCGATTTGTGCCTGGTTATGGTGTGCTGCGAAGTCGTCCGAAGAGCATGGTGACATGGAAGATGCCTTCATCCCCATGTCTATCAAGTCGATATGCACGATCGGACGTAATGCATGGCCCACGGCGAGGGCAAAGAGTGGTCGATGGCGTGTCGATTCCGACAACCGAAGCGTGCTCGTGTCAAGGAGGTTATTAGGAGGGAAGTCGCTGGTGGCGCCCGCCAGTCGTCACTTGCGCGCGCGGTGACGCAGGGTCGACGCAAGGATGGAGCACATCTGAGTGAGGCTCAATACCAATGATGCCGTCAGAGCAACGGCTCTTCCGGCCTCAAATCCTGGCCACGCGGCAGACGGCTGGCAGTGGTGCTCACTGCTTCCGCGCGCCGTGACTGGTCCCTGATGAGGGCGAAGAAAAGTGGCATGGCATGGCTTGGGGGAGCGGAGGGAAGTGCGTGTTGTTTCTCACCTCTCGCCCTCGCGGAGACCGTAGAGGCCATTACCATCTCATTGTCTATACCACAACAACGCTCGCTCATTCCTCCCATATCATACCACATCTCGCCCAGCCCCGGGATCGCCATCCTGGTCGCGTGGAGCCGGTCGGACGACGAGGGTGCTGTACAGCAGAACAAGATCGCACGCTCGCTAGTTAGTGGCAGCAGAACGACGTTATTGTCCATCTCGCGGCCATGTTGGGCAAGAGAATCGAGGTCAGTCGGCCGTCTCATCAGCAGCGCATCGATGATGCACGTCGCACAGCCATCGCCACGGTGATGACATTCGAGGCACCGCGCTCTCTTTGTGTGCTCACATCACTCTGCGCGCGCTGCTGCCCGTCCAGTCAGTCTGCCTCGCTTTGGCGGGCCCGCGCCTAGAATACGTCATGCCACTGGGCGTGATGGTCCCGCGTCATTCTGGATTCCACCTCACTCGCTCGCTCTGTCACCACTGCACCGCACTACATACCTCACACCATACCCAGATCGCCGCCGCGGCACATCCCATTGCACTTTCGCTGCTGCACTGCACCTTCCCCCAAACTCTCGACACACGTTGCGCCGAGCATCCCGCAGGCGCCGATTGTTCGCGAGCACTCTCTGTCACCTACACTTCTCTCTCATTCCTCACCTCTCCTACCTTTGCCGAGCGCCTCCCTTCGCACTGCCGCTCTCGTGAAGGAAGGACTCCTTCTCACCCTCGTGCCGACGCAGCACGCTCGACATTCTGACCATGTCGACGATACAGAACCTCAAAAACTTCATCCGCCATGGCAAACAGGCGCGAGACGGCCGCTCGCCTCAAGATCAGGCCACCACCCACGTCTCGAATGTCCACGCCCAACAGCAGCGCTTCGGTCCGGGCGGCACCACGGTACAGCAAGCACACCAGAATGTAGGCTACAGCGATCCGAACGTCTACGAGCACAAGCCCTTGCAAGCGAACGCACCCCAGGGCGACTTCTCCGCCGCCGCTGTCGACAACCGCAACGTCGCCGCGAGAGCCGGGCATGCTGCCGGTCAAGCCGCAGATCAACAGCAAAAACAACAGCAAAAGCAAAAGGACTATGACCCGCAAGTGCTGGAGCGAATCGTCGCCGAGGAGCGGGAAAGTAAAGGCAAGATGCCCAGATATCCCGGCTTGGACCGCTGGCAGCTGCTCGAGAAGATGGGCGATGGCGCCTTCAGTAACGTCTACCGCGCACGGGATACACAGAACGTCTACGACCAGGTCGCCATCAAGGTCGTCCGCAAGTTCGAGATGAACTCCACACAGGTATGCTAACTGCAATTGCTGCTACTGCTGCTGCTTCTCCTTGCTTCTTCGACCATATCAATCTTGCGTCACGCGCTTGTTGTGCCAACACGTGTGCCCAATAGGGAGTTTTGCATCCGGATTACGAGAAGAAGGCTCCCAAGGGCGTCGAGGTGCGCATCATCTCTTTCGTCTGCACGCGTTATTGACAATACTGCCGACTTTGCATCCACACACGACATACCTGCACAAGGGTTACTGCTGACGTCATGCCTTCCTCCAGAGAGCCAACATCCTCAAAGAAGTTCAGATCATGCGCCAGCTCGACCATCCCAACATTATCAAGCTGATCGATTTCTCCGAATCCCGACAATATTACTACATTGTCCTGGAACTATGTCCGGGCGGCGAGTTGTTCCATCAAATTGTCCGCCTGACCTACTTCAGCGAAGACCTGTCGCGACACGTCATCTACCAGGTGGCGAAGTCATTACAGTACTTGCACGAAGAGGCCGGTGTCGTGCATCGGTAGGTCTGAATTGCTGGAACATTCACGGAGCACATGCTAATCCGAGCAGCGATATCAAACCAGAGAACCTTCTCTTCTACCCCATACCCTTCATTCCTACCAAGAATCCCAAGCCAAAAGGCCCTGAAGACGAGGACAAGGCTGATGAGGGCGAGTTCATCCCCGGACAGGGCGCTGGCGGCATCGGTGTGGTCAAGATTGCAGATTTCGGCCTCTCCAAGGTCATCTGGGACAGCCAGACGATGACGCCATGCGGAACTGTCGGTTACACCGCGCCCGAAATCGTCAAAGATGAACGATACTCCAAGAGTGTCGACATGTGGGCACTGGGTTGCGTGTTATACACCCTCCTCTGTGGCTTCCCACCGTTCTACGACGAGAGTATTCAAGTTCTCACCGAGAAGGTTGCACGAGGACAATACACCTTTTTGTCTCCATGGTGGGATGATATTTCGAAGTCTGCCCAGGATCTCGTCTCCCACTTGCTCACCGTCGACCCGGAGAAGCGATACGACATCAATCAATTCCTCGACCACCCTTGGATTCGAGGTGCAGTCAACGAGCCCACATACGCTGCTGCAGATGCCCCGCCACTGGCAACACCACTGCACGTCCGACAAGGGCAACAGTCTGCTGGAGAGAAAGGCTCGCCGCTCAAGCCTGATTTTGCATATCTTGATGAAACTCCTGGCGGTCGTCGCATGGATTTCCGATCCCCTGGCGCTGTCAATCTTCGTGAAGTCTTCGACGTTGGATATTCAGTCCACAGACAAGAAGAAGAGGGAAAGCGAAGAAAGAACTTCAAGCAAGGCTTCCGCGGCGGCAACTCACTCAACGCGCTGGACGAAGAATACGCCGATGACGACGAATACGAAGGAGTCTCGGAGTCGTACTCGAATTCGCAGCATCCGCCGGCGAAGGTGCCCAAGTCGGGCGCCCCTGATGTGGGTGGTGTGGAGAAGCAAATGCGTAACACGAGCTTATCAGCTGCTGCGCAGGCTCGTCAAGCCGCTGCCCCCAAATCAAGTCAGGCACGCGGCTATGGTCAACACTCGCCGGAAGTCGCTGCTGCCGCCAAGCGCCAAGTACGAAATAAGGCTGGCGCATTCGAGCTCAGTTTGGACAATGCTACTCTCCTTGGCCGACGCAAGAAGCCTGAGCCGAGCAGTCTCAGGCAAACTGAAGTCGTGCAATAATTGCATGCGAAATCGTTCTTGCAGGTTTTACTAGCACGGATTCGTTAGTGGTAATGACGATGGCAAGAATTTCGTCCTTGTCGACAAGTTGCTCCTGTTTGCTTTTCTTCGTTTCTGTTGAAAGACAAATCAGAGCGCGGTACTTCTCCTTTCTGCGCTCTGCTTCTAGGTCGGGTTGGTGGGCTCTCCGGCAGAGATCATCACTTCATCTCACCAATCGACGGCATGATGGACGGCGTTAACTGTGTTTTTGATGCGAGATGAATGGATGACGGACAGTACACGTCCGCGGGACTGGTGTTGAGACGACGGATATTTGAATGAGAAAGAAGTCGATCGGGTTCTTCCTTCTCGCAGCTCTTCTGTCGTTCCTCGAACTTGCATGAGAAGGAGGACTGAGCCTTCGAGGAAATCAGGTAGACAGATAGAGAGAGAGGTAGCTTGAAAGAAGAAGATCTCTTCCCGTCGTTCTCAGGCTCTTTCACTTTTCTTGTGATCTGAATTTCGAGTTCCTTGTTCTTTCCAATCATTCGTTCCTTCGCTCTTTGGGTTTACTTGGAAGTTGAACGTTGTAGATGAATATGCTGATGCTTCACAATCTCGACTATGGCTGAGCAATACTCCTTCTGATTTTCGCCTTCTCTTAGATCTTGCTAGTCCTCGAATGTTTTTGTTCGCTTCATTGGGCAGAGATCGTGCATAGAGAACGAGTTTCACTGTTATTCCGTTCTCAGGATAAAGCGGCAGCGGCAGCAATACTGTACTCACTTGCACATGCGTCGTCTGCAGCGCGTAGTCATTTCCAGAGGAATTTGAGACATGTCTATTCTGTTCTCGCCCACAAGATAAAAACCATCATGTGCGCTTTTGTTGTTGTTGGGCACCTCCACTTGAAAACTACAACTGCAGAAATGGTGCTCGTCATCGGACAGGTGACTTGCATTATGTAGCTGTAACTCGAGGAAGAAAGAATTCTCGTTCTCGTTCTCAGTATCAGTGAGCAATGACCACTTAGGTCAACAGCTGAGAGTATAAATACAGATTAAGCAAATGCATGCACAAACGCCAGCCACGTCGACGATCCCCTTTCCTCTCCGTTTTGCTGTGGGATTTTCCATGCTCGCTTATGCTATTAGACAAACAGGCCATTTGCTCGGTGCTACTGAATTGCTCCGTAGCTACCCAATGATGGCGTTCAGAGACATTGGATTCTCTGGGCGTGTGGATGGTGCAGTAGTGGTGCTGCTGGAAGCGATTCCAGCGGGTTGAGAAGCACTGAAAGTCCTGGAATCGATGTTCTCCTGCTTGCGACCCTCGGCCACAGGAGTTGTAGCGCCGCTGCCAGCTGGCACCAATTCACCCGTAACTGGATCAATTTTCTTCTTCCTCGGACCCTTCTTGATCCCCTTATCTTTGCGCTCTTCGCGGTTTTTGCTGCCAGGCGGTCGCCCTTTACGAACGCCTCCACTGCTGCTCGCTGCTGGAGAAGGTTGCGGGGATCCGCTCTCGCTGCGACGGGACAGGCTCGCGCCACGTAGCTCTTGAATACGTTTCGGAACATGACCAGCCCAGCGGCCACGGGTGGGTGGGACGTAATCGTTGGGATCACCGTTCCAGCCGGAAGCGGAGAAGCGCTCGGGGGTCATGCTGCCGGCTTTGCCCACGGAGTTGTCGGTTTCGGTGGTTTCAGCAACGTTGAGGCGAGAGCGCTTGCGCGGCATGGTCACGACGACGCCGTCGAAGCGGGAGACCGGTTTGATCGTGCGGCGCGTGGTCATCTCGCCGTCGCCGTAGTTGACTTGTGTGGTGTGGGGATCGATGCGGTTGCGGCGTCTGCGAAGCTCGCGGCCTTCGGCGTCACGAACGATGCGCTGTGCGTCTGGGTCCTGGTAACCCACTTTGCGAGCGTCGAAGGCGTAGTCGTAAAGTGCTGCTTCTTTCTTGTCTTCCCAGATGGCGTGTGATACTGGGTCACGGCCTCCGTGAACCGGCTTGCGCTCTTTCTTGCCGTTCATCGGATGGCGTGCCACCACCTTGTCGAGCTCGAGATACTCGTCTTGGAGCGACATGAGCGCCATTTGTGCGTTGGCGGCAAGAGCTTTGAGCGAGTCAAGTGAGCGCACTGCAGGGTCGTGTTTGGTCAGTGCTGCCACAAACGGCTCTGCACCGACGATGGGGCGGAATCTGGCTCGCATGATGTGTGCGGCTTCGTCGTCCGGGTCTTGCTCGTCAATGTCTGACCACTCGTCCTTGTACAGGCTCGGAAGGTCGTCTTCAGTCAAACGATCTTCTTCGGGAGCCAGTGGAGGTGGCTTGGGCGTTGGTGCTTTCGATTCGGAGTTGGAAGACGCTTTCGAGTGAACACCGTACTGCGAGGCATCGCGCGAAAGTCGGCCAGGGCGGCGCATCTGAACGTTCGCTTTGCCTTTGCCCGGCCCCTGCTGAGCTGCAAGGCTCTCACGTTGCAACTGTGCTTCCGGACCTTCGCCGCGCCCGCGGAATCCAGTAGAAACGCGCTGTCTCTTTGCTGGACGTAAACTGGCTTCGTATGCCTCCGCTTCTTCTTTGGTCAGCCTGCAGTGCTTGCCACCTCCTCGATAATGCCACTGATACTGCGGATACAGGTCTGGTCCTTCTTCCTTGCGGAGCAGAGCAGTGATGGGTGGTGGCGGTCTGCCGTTCTCGTCAAGCTCTTCTCCGCGCTGCATGGCGTCGAACATCTCCCGAGCACCTGGACCCCGAACCGCCATTTTGTTAGAAGAGCCTGGAGGCGGCAGTCCACGCGCCCATTTGCCTTGTCCGCGATGATGAAAGATCTCATCGGGATGAGCATCTACATACTCTTTGTCGAGAAGCATGTCTGGGTCGCTCTTTGATCGCGTCGGCTTCAGTTTGTTCTCACGTACAAACGCATCCTTTACGTCCAGATTTGACTTGGAGCTGTATCTGCGGCTGGTCGTCCGCGAAAGGGAAAGCTCGTGACTGTCCCCATTCGCGTGATTCTCCGCTTTGCTGGACCTCCGTCCTGATGAGGCGGAAGCGGCGGCGGGTTCAGCTGCACTGTAGGTGCTGCTCTTGCGACGTCCAGTGCTGCGATTTTGGCTCACTCCTGACGCTGTCCGCGGATCTGCCAAGCCGAAGTTCTTCTTGCTGGCCTTTGCAAGCAAGTCTTCCGCGTCTTTCTTGTTAAGATCGTGGAGTCCAAGCAATTCGCCGTTCGCAAGGACAAGCTTGGTGCCTTTGATACCATGTGGACTGACGCCTGGTCGATAGAATTGGTTCCCTCTGTGGTGAAAGATTCGGCCTGCATGCTTGTGAAGATCCTCTTTCTTCACAGCAATGTCGCCACCAATGTCGTGCGAGGCTTCGCTGCTGCTGTATTTGATGACATGGGAGGTGCTTGAGCCACGTCGAGTTGACTGCTTGCTCAGAATCGTTGCTCGGGATCCGCGTCTATATCTCCCAGCACCGGTGTGGTAGAATGATTCGTGTGGATGCGCATCGACATAATCCCTGCTGTACGTCTGCTCGGGATCGTGCTCTGGCTCGCTTTCTTCAACTTCTTCGGCGTCGTGGTCATCTTCATCTTCTACTTCCACATCTACATCGTCATCGCTCTCGTCGTCGTCATAGGTGTTAACTATAGTGTCGACGAGGCGCGAGCTTCGACGCTGGTCGATGTTAGGGTATCCAACGGTCTTGGCTTGCCGGGCGGCCAGTCTGCTCGGCCGGGCATTCTCCGCATCGGTCGTATTCTGCAGTGGATGTTTACGTTCCATCGCATCGGCCCATTGGTGGACGAGTTCCCGATGCTCTGGGTTCTCAATGTCTTCGATGGCTCTCGACCAATTGTATCGCGGAGTCGCTCTGAGCAGGGCCATGATGCTGTTGTACGATCCTCGAAGTTGCGGGCTCCAGCCAGGACGCGCCATTGGGTTTTGCTTGCGTCGATACTCATCGAAGTGCTGCCAGAGGCTGTCGTACATTTCTTCCATCGCTGCCCCAGAGCTATGCGCTGATGATGTCGTCGCCCGCTCTGGCAGGTATCTGAAGTGAAGGTGTCAGTCACGAAGTGATCGTCTAGCAGTAAGATCAACAAAACATACCTCGTCGGTCGCGGCGACGATGCAACAGTCTCCGGTTTGATTTCTGATGCCGGTAGGTATCGACCTTGACCACGATGGACCCACTTGGTCTCGGGGTGCTTGAGCGTGTATTCTTTCGAATACGTCCCGCGTTCGTTGGGGCCTTCGACATCATCGCGAGCGTCGCGCCTGGGCTGCTCGGATCGATTGTCGCTGTCGTCGTCGGAGCTGTGGAAGTCTGGGCTGGGCTTTGATTGCAAAATGGCACGCAGGCGGTCCCTCGCGGCGCGCGGTGCAAAGCGAATCGTCAGGTGACCGTACTGCGTGTACGCTCGGGTGAGCGTCGACGTGTTGGAGCGCGACATGCGGACGGGCGTCGAGTCTTGTCGCTGGTGTGTCGGACGTGATGGCGTTTGTTGCGATGGACCTGCCACCAGGATGTCGGATGAGGTGGAAGAATTGTGGCTGCCCGTCCGTTTCAATGACCACAAGTCCGCACCCTCCGTTCTCCGCCGCCGCGGTGACGAGACGACAGCGGCGAACGAATTGTCCATCGCTTCGCAACGTCGTCTGACAACCAAAATAGAGGCAAAAGACTGAGGCCCTGGTCGTCCAATTGACAAGGTCGGGATGCGAGCCTTGCCAAGGCGGTCCTTTCCTCTCGACCAACCCAAATCCTTCTCTATTTTGGGAATGGTGCGGATGCGGTCTGTGGAACTTAACGTCAGCAACGCACCACTCTCCCTCTTCTCTCCATCTTCAGACAAGGAATTTCATCCGGGCAGCGTGATAAGTCATCAATCGCGAGCATCAGGTCGCCTGAGCAGAGTGATTGATGAGATGGAGTAGGCGAGACGCGACATGCAGGAGACCGCAACACATGCCCGTGCCGTAGCCGAGCATAAGGCTATGCTACTGTCGACCTCATGCAGAATTTATTCTCGCGTTCTCCACTCTCTGCTGGTACCGTATACCATCATCAGTGGCAATATCCAGATGGACTTGCGCGATGGCCCGTGGCTTTTGGAGCCTCGTCGAGCTGCGAGGTAGTCAACTGCAGCCTGCTGTGCGCTGTATACATACGGGGGGCATCAGAGCCCGTGGGCGTCCTCCCGAATATCTGACGGCCGCGACCGATGTCTTCCAGCTTCGATGATAGTCTGATTAAAAGGCAGGAGATATGTTACTTACACTTTACAGCCAGTACCAACGTCCAGGAAGCAACCGATGTAGGCAGAAGAGGAACGCAATGCACCAGTAAAGTCCCACCACCAAGACCACCAAGTTGGCGAGACTCTCCCAGATCTCTTCCGCCTTTGCTCTCCGTCCATCCAAGATTGGCTCGAATGGCTGAGTTGGACCTACGGGGACACGGTAGACGCGGACGAACGGAGATCGGTCTGGAAAGCACTGGTGTTCGAACATGGCTTCGCAGATGTCGATGATGATAACAGTGGTGATAGCGATATGGTTGGCAGCATTCAAGCTGAGCAACAATGGCAGAGCCACAATGGTGCAGAGCTCACTTCTTGCAGGTTGAGTTCACACAGGCGGCGGCGAGCTCGATCGCAGCGACCATTTTGCACTCACATCTGCAGCCATCGACTTTCTACGAATGGCGATGATAAATAATACAATGCTTTTGAAGAGCAGCTGACTGTTCGCATGTGACCTTTACGTGCTTCACTAACAGTGTCTGGGATAGATGGCGTGACACAGCGTATCGTAAGGCAAGCCGGCGTACTTTCAAGATCTATTGCCTGGAGAGCAAACATCGTTGCACCTGCAAGCTCAGTTGATGACCACTTGGCTCACGCTACCGCACCAATGACAGCGTGAAACTCACCATTCTGAAGAGGCGCACGAACTGGACGTTTTCATCGACGCTCACTTCAAAATGCTTCAACCTTGTTTGGTCTAGCAATCGCTGATGGAGTGCACAATCAATCGTGCCCAAAATCGGGCTACTCGCCTGGGCGAGCTTGTATTACACAATGCGATTCCGAACCGGGCGTTCGACATAGTGGAGTCAAGTGCTCTGGAGAAGAAGGACGATCGAGAAGGATTGTGCTCACATTGCGCATTTCTTGATGATCTCATCGATGTTGACAACGACGATGAGTGAATACCAGTACTGTCGTTTGTACCTACTTTTAAAGCATTTGAATGGGGCCTACATGTAGACTGTAGCAAAATTTGTTAAATTACTTCGCCATCGGACCACGGCCACCGTGCTTCACAAAGTGTTAGCGGTGTGAGCGACCTCAGGAAGCGTGCTGCCCATCGAGTCGAGCATTGTGAATAGTGTCATTCAGTACTGATCGCATTGCAATTGACGATGCCTCTGCTGCATGTTGAAGCAACCACATTTGTGACACAGTCAGTGTGCAGAACAGCTTGCAACATCGATCTGCATTGCGTCTGTTACCACTGATACGACGAGGAATTCGTTTCCCATCAGGCACTTGTAGTTCCAAGCGCGAATGGGATCAGTAGCATTGCGAAATGTTCATACTTCATCGATCATCGGAATTGAATATTAGTCAAGTTGCATATGTAGCAGCAAGTGAGTATATGGTCAAGAAGTGAGCAGTCTGTGGAGAGGAAGGAAAGGGAGAAAGGTACGGGTGGTGCGGACAGAATAGAAACAGACCCTGGTCGCGGGTCGCGAGCCACGTCAACCCGATCACGGCAACTCACGCAGCTCAGCAGTGTCTCGCGGTCAGCCTTGGGACAGCAACCCGGAAGGCCACCTCGCAACCTTGCTGCTGCTGCAACACACTGCCATGCTCGACTGACCACGCCCATCGTCGTCGTCGCACACATCTCGCGTCCCCACGATGGCTTCCTCCTTCCACATGAACATCTTCCGCATTCTGGGCGACGTCTCGCACACGGCGTCCAAGTGCATCCTCATCTGGGCCATCCACAGCAACAAGTCGGCCGAGGGCGTCAGTCTCCTGACACAGTTGCTCTACTGCCTCGTCTTCACCACGCGCTATCTCGATCTCTTCTGGGTGCCGCCATGGTTCAGCTGGTGGAACTTCGTGCTCAAGCTCTTCTACATTGCCAGCTCGGCCTACATCGTGTTCGTCATGATGCGGGTCTTCGCCAGGACGAGGGAGAAGGAGTATGGATGGAAGCTGGCCATCTGGTCCTTGGCCGGCAGCACCGTCGGCGCACCCATCGTGTGCCTGTTATTTGAGGGTTGGAAGAGATCCACGCTGTCAGAGGTATGCAATGCTGCGTTACGCCTTTCACAATGAGATGCCATGCCAGGACGATCATGCTCACGTGCTCCACGCGAATAGGTAATCTGGACGTTCAGTATCATTCTCGAATCAGTCTGTGTGCTGCCGCAGCTCCTACTCCTCCGCCAGACCAGCGTCCCGACCGTCCTCGATTCCTTCTATCTCGTGACCCTGGGCAGCTACCGATTCTTCTACATTTTGAACTGGATCGTCAAGATGTTCAGCGCAGACCATACCTTCGATGCCACGAGCGTTGTCTTTGGTCTCATCCAGACAGCTCTGTACGTGGACTTTGCATGGGTCTACTGGTCACGACAACGTGTCAAGCTTCGGTATGGCGGAATTGTGGACAGTGAGGATCTCAGCAAGAGCTTCATCGTCAAGCGCTTCATTGGGCGACGGAACAATCAGAATGGCACAGATGACGACGATATCACCGAGGAGGAGGATCGTCTGGCAGCACAAGAGTCGGGTACCGTCAGGCCGGGCAACAACCGCACTCCCAGCGACCGATGGGGTGCCAGAGGCATCAGCGTCTCGGCCGACGACACATTGCAGGAGCATCTTGACCACTCTTCTCGCGACGCCCAAATGGTTGATCCATCTCACTTCGAAGATGATGACGAGGATGATGATGCTCCTCCGCCACCTGCAAAGGATACGCCACAGCAAAAGTCCAAGGCGGCAGAGAGCGCAAGCAGTGCTGGTTCGAGCGGAGTCGCGACACCAGACACCGAAGATGCTGTTGGGAGCAGTGCTGCCGAGTGGAGCAACAAATAGGCGAATGCCTGGTTACGAATATTCATGATACCCAGACCGCCGTATGGCGTCTCATCTCATCGTGTGGGTTGTATCCATAATCGGCGCTTACTGTATCATAGTGCTTGCGAACATGGCTTCTATTGCACCACGAAATGCAATCTCAATCTTGCAGCCAGCCAACGTTGACCATAAGCCCACGCTTGCCGCGGAGATCATATGAAGAGCAGGACCTGTTAAGAATGACTAACACATCCTAAGAGCGAATGCCATACCTTGCTCGGAACAGCTTCCATCGCGACCGGCCCACTTGCTGCGCAGCTTCGGGCCATTGATGCGGCGGTTGCTCTATTGCGGGGGCTAGCTAACTAGGTGACGCATAATCAGCGCTGCTCTCATTCGCGCACTGTTGTCTCCGTCCATTGACACCTTTCTTTTGACCTCACCTTTCACTCATCACTCATTTACATAGAAAGATCTACTCACCGTCACCATGGAACCCGAGAACGCCGACAGACAACTTAACCAACGACAACCCGAAGATCCTCGATACCTCAACTTCAAGCACTCACAGCCTGGCTCTGGCCTGAACAAGTTCTCCTCGACACTCACTCGCGAACATGATTTCCCCGCTGCCCAGGCCATGCTGTATGCAGCGGGCGTACCAAATGAGAAAGCCTTGAAGACTTACCCTCAAGTGGGCATTGCGAGCGTTTGGTGGGAAGGCAATCCATGCAATACACATTTGCTCGATATTGGGAAAGAGGTCAAGAAGGCAATCGAGAAGCAAGAGATGCTGGGATGGCAATACAACACAATAGGTGTCAGTGATGGCATTACCATGGGTGGAGAGGGCATGAGATTCTCCTTGCAAAGTCGAGAGATTATTGCAGACAGCGTGGAGACTGTCACCTGTGCACAGCACCACGATGCTTGCGTTGCCATTCCCGGTTGCGACAAGAACATGCCGGTAAGGTGGAGCATTACATCCAAAACAAGGACGAGCGTTAACCTTTGGTAGGGCGTCGTCATGGGTTTTGCGAGGCACAACCGACCCTCGATCATGATCTATGGCGGGACGATCAATCCGGGCTATTCTAAACTTCAAGAACGTACTGTCAACATTGCGACAGTACTTGAAGCCCACGGAGCTTATATTTACGATAACTTAAAGAATCCCAAGAAGCCAGAGCAAACCAAGGACGATCTATTGACCGATCTCGAGCGAACCTCATGTCCTTCGCAGGGTGCGTGCGGCGGCATGTTTACAGCCAACACCATGGCCATGGCAATCGAAACGATCGGTCTTTCGCTTCCTGGCTCTTCGTCGACACCTGCGACTTCGCCTGCCAAGATGCGAGAATGCGCCAAGGTGGCGGAAGCCATCAAAGTCTGCCTCGAAAAGGACATCAAGCCACGCGATTGCCTCACGAAGAAAGCCTTCGAGAATGCTATGACGATGATGATGGCCCTCGGTGGCTCGACGAATGGTGTCCTCCATCTCCTGGCCATGGCTGGCACTGCGGAACTCGAACTTACTCTGGACGACTTTCAGCGCATCTCCGACAAAGTCCCTTTCATTGCTGACATCGCTCCTTCTGGAAAGTACTTGATGGTAGATCTCTACGAAATTGGCGGTATTCCTTCTGTTCAGAAGTTACTCATCGCGGCTGGTTTGCTCGACGGCAGCACGATCACGGTCACGGGCAAGACTTTGGCAGAGAACGTGGAAAGCTGGCCTTCGTTGAAGCAGGGACAAGATCTCATTAGACCTATCGACAAGCCAATCAAAGCAACAGGGCATTTGGAGATCTTGCGAGGTAACTTGGCACCCAATGGGGCTGTGGCCAAGATTACGGGCAAAGAAGGCATGAAATTCGTGGGCAAAGCACGTGTGTTCAACAAGGAGCACGAGCTGGACGATGCGTTAAATAAAGGTGAAATCCCGCGAGGCGAGAACCTCGTTCTCGTCGTACGCTATGAAGGCCCGAAAGGAGGTCCTGGAATGCCTGAACAGCTCAAAGCTTCAGCAGCGATCATGGGTGCTGGTTTGAAAAACATATCACTCATCACCGATGGACGATATTCTGGTGCATCTCATGGATTCATTGTTGGCCACATCAGTCCTGAAGCTGCGGTAGGAGGGCCGATTGCCGTTGTGCAGGATGGCGATATTATCACAATTGATGCCGACAAGAACCGGATCGACTTTGATGTCAGTGAGGAGGAGATAAAGAGACGACTCGCGGAGTGGAAACCCCCCAAGATGCCGGTTACAAGAGGCGTGCTGGCGAAATATGCGAGGTTGGTAGGTGATGCAAGTCAAGGGGCTATGACGGATCTGTTCTAGATGTTGCTGTATGTTTTGCAAAATGGAAGAATGTTCACACTCAGCCGCTCGGCACTGGAAACTTGCAGGACGAGGAGTATACACGGGACCAGATGGTCTTTCTGTCTTGACTTGCGAAGCGGCGCTTTTCGCGATACGGCTTCTGAATGCGTCCGGTAAAGAAAGAAGTGATGCATCGATGCAACGCAATATTCGACAAAGCAACTTTCTTTGTCTCGACACTCAGAATGGTCAGAATGTCTTCGCAAAATGCGAGATGACAAGCCACTGTCCCGCCAATTGTGAAGAGCTGAGCGACATATTTACGATGGATATGGACAAATATCTCCCGCATAATAAGCCGGAGGACATGGAAGACTACCTATGGGAACGCGTTTTGGCCAGCATCGAGAATCGGCCTGCGCAAAACCCGCCGCTGCGGCTACAGCACAAGATCTCCGTATGGTATCCTAGCCCTAGGCTCCTTCAAGACGGCGAGGAGATCGATGAACCAGTCGGAGACGTCTCACATATGCACAACCCTCTAGACCCACTATTTGAAGATGTACGCGTGAATCAGGCCGCTGGGCACTCGGATCTAGATCGCTACACTTTTTCCACCGTCTATGCAGCGTCGACCCAGTTGACTGAGCCGGACTTCGACGCGTTCATAGCTGAACAAGAGGGTCAAGATACGATCAAATTGCTTCACGCAATCCAGAGATATCAAGGGGAGACACATCTGGACATTCTTCCTTACAAGAGCAAGAAGGACGGCAGAGGTGTCACCCGCGTCAGACTCGCCTGTCGCTGTATCTTTTTCGACTTCGAAGCACGAGCTTTCCAGTTCGATTTTGAGTTGCAATGCTTGACATTTAAAGCATGGGAGCGCTATCTGTTTACTCAAGCCAACCAGACAAACCATCCATGGATCGAAGATATACATGAGCTCGTTATGGGCAGCTCACGGCGTGCCATCGCTCACCGTCTTATGATGCGAGCGCAGCACTACGAATTGAAGGAGGAGGGTAGCCTTGAGCGCGCAGAAGCCGAAGAAGAAACGAAGGACGCCATCGAAGCAAAGTACAATTTCAAGCCAAGGCGATGGCCTAACTATGAGGCAATATTGAGCAAGCGACGGATTGACATCGACGACATCCCAGCAGACGATCGTATGTGCCTTATTTGCCGCTCAGACCTCGAACCTGAGACGCAAGCAGTGTCCTTCTGTGGTGATAACAGACATAACGCCTGTCAGGACTGTCTACTTCAACTGTGCCGGGCTATGGGACCTCTGGAAGCTAAGTGTGTGCTATGCGCCAAACGTCTGATCTCCGAAGGAGAGGAATATGACTTCCTCACTGTCGGGTGGGTGCAGAGAGTATATCAACCGGATCCGGCTTATGCAGCTTGGGAGAACGTCTGGCGTGGTTGCGCTGACCTGGACTCACAAGCGCTGGACATAATGGAATTCACATTCAAGGATGAGAGGCTTGATCTCCATAATTGCGACCTCGTTGTCACTGTCTGGCTCCATTTCATGGACGTCGAGCTTGTGTATCCCGATCCTGCACGCAAAAGCGTCATGAACACTCGTGAATGGGCATTGATCACTCAAGTTTTCATCTCTCTCATTTTTAAGAAGAGAGATGAAGAGCCCAAGTACGGTATTCTTTACATGACTCTGGTGCGCGATCTTCAGAATTTCCTGGTGAGACGGGCTTGTTGGAAACGTGGCTACGAAATCTACGGACAAGCAAACTGCGAGTATCATCTTGAAAATGCTGATCCCGAGCAAATATCAGCCAATCGCAGAGAAGGCATGCAGACAGACGTTCATGGAATAGACAAGGTCATTTGTCGAGTGCTACACCGGACACTGAACTTCCTGCGACTAAGAGAGTGCTCGTGCCAAGCTGCGCCTCCAGAGGGAACACCGCAAGACGTTCTTTGGGACAATCGATTCCATACACATACTCCTGGTGGAATGCTATATTATGATCCCATCCTCTTTGAACGCTTGTTTCCTCAAACGACGGGCTTCTTGCAGCGGGATTGGCGTGACGAAGCGTACTGGAAATTTTTCGATCGATTACCACAAGAAGCACCACACGAAGCATGATGCAGAGCTCGTAGTTTAGAGAAAGAGTATGTCGAGAGATCTTGATTGAGTCGCTGGTGCAGCGAGAGGTAGACGCTTGTCGTCTCATCAATACAGCATCTTCACCTCCCGCAGTGGGCAAACGCCATCCCGCAACTTCTTTCCATAATTAGCTGTACAATCCCCGCTAAGAGCTCGGACTAAGTCGCCGAAGCTACCCGCCCCCACTACCGTCTCTCGCCAGCCCGCATTGGCGGCAGCTTCTGTCGACGTGTGTCACAAGTGTCCAGAAGTGAAAAAGTTCTAAAAAGTCCCTTCTTCGCCGGTAATGCTCCTCAGAACGACTCGACAACTTCCAATTCAGCTCCTGATCGCCACTCGTACAGCACCCATCAAAAGCTTCCAGCACTTCGCTATCTTTGCCAAATCCAGAAACTACAGCAAAATGTCGACCGGAATCAAGCAGATCAGCACTGACAAGGCTATGAAGCGTGAGTCGTTGCGAGCGTACGGGACCGAGCAGTCATGCTAACAAAGAGCCTCTACAGCTGTTGCTGCATACGTGAGTAGTACCACGCCATCCAATTGACTTTCTCCACGATCAACACCCTTTCATCACATCGACAACACTCGGTACCGATCTCGGCATTACCATCACGCAGACCGTCCAAGTAAAGACAAAGAGCTGACTTTCGGCATCGAAATCCCTAGTCTCAAGCAGTCAACGCCGGTGGTTTGATCTTCGTCTCTGGCCAAATCCCAGCCAAGGCAGATGGAACTTTGGTCACTGGCAGCATTGCCGACCAAACCACTGCCTGCATTGAGGGATTGAAGAACATCCTCGAGGCTGCAGGAAGCTCAATCGCCAAGGTCACCAAGGTATGTCTCGTCTCTTTCATGATCTTACTCGTGGAGATCATGCACAAACCATGGATTCGTCACGTGCGAATTGGCTGTGCAACAGTGATCGACACCAGGAATTGAACCTGATCTGCACGGGCAAGCAAGCGAGGCGAAGCGATCCTGGATCCTTTCCCAAGTATCCTTCGCCTTGCATCCCTCCTTCCCGCAGATGGCATGACGAGGTTTTCGGGGGCGAAGCTGATTCTGAATGTGCCCTAGGTCACCGTTTTCATCACTTCGATGGACAACTTTGCGGAGATGGTAAGTCGTTGATTGACAAGCTTTTGCCCTTTCCTGGCGTCATCATTGCTGACATCTCGTCACAAGAACTCGGTCTACGAGAAGTACTTTGGCGAGCACAAGCCAGCTCGTTCCTGCGTTGCGGTCAAGGAGCTGCCAAAGGGTGTGCCAGTCGAGGTTGAGGCTATTGCTCTGGCTTAGATGGAAAGCAAGTGAAACGGATTTGAAAGAGTATCTTGAGCAATTCTTCGTTCGGATGCTTCTACAGTATTGCACTGTTCATACAACAATCCCAAAAGCAATTGAGCAAGGTTATCAGTTGAAGGTCGCCTCCGCCTCTACTCTTGTTGTATATGGACCTGCTGCTTTCAAACTCCCATCAAATGCAACACCACACCAATGCAGCCAGCTGAAAGCAGAATTTGGCCCGCCTTATCGTTCCAATGCCTCGCCATGCAATGCCATATTCGAAGTGCCAGAATTCCACACTCCAATCTTATCTTTCCTTCTTTCTTTTTTCTGCCGTTACCAAAAAAGTCGTAATGTTTTCGTACATCGTCGTTGCTGCCCTCATAAGAAGCGAATGAAATGGGGTATCATCTAGAACCGAACAAACAGCGAACCAGAATAGATGCTCCAGGTACAGCCATGAAAAAAGCGAGCGGTATGGGGTATCATGCTTTCTCTCCTCTTTTCGAAAACAAAAGGCCGCAATCATAATCCTCCAAAATCAAAATCATTCAAACCAGGTTTGTTCGTTCCTCTAAGCCTTTTTCATTTAACTCTTGGTCTTGTTGAACGTGTGTGTATGTGCGGAAAGAAAGGACTCCAGTGGGATCAGCTCAAATCATCAGTATGTGGAGATCGGGCCGGTCTGCATGCCTTGCCACGGGAAGAGTTCGTAGGGCTGCTGTGGTGGAGGCGTATTGTTGGCACTGCCATGTAGTCACGACATGGGCATGAAAGCAAAGTGTACGGGACCTTCGATCGGACTTGGAAAAGCTGACAAAGAGGCGGGAGTCATGTTGAGCGTTGTCGCTTGCGCGGTGGTGTTGCTGCCGGCTTCCAGGTCGGTCCATTTCCTGGCGCAGTGACGTGCTGGCCAGCGCTCGGAGACACCAAAGTCGAGCATCTGTGGATCGGTGTCAGTATGTTTCTGGGTATGGGTGGGTTTGAGAAAATCGCTTACTTTCGCGCTGATGATCTCCCACTTGTACTTTTCCCAGTACTCGTGCGCGAGTTTCAATGCCTGGACGTCTTGATCTTCCCAAACTCGGAACTTCTCTCTCAGCCTCTTGTAGCGCATTTGAAGCGCTGCTACTTGGAAATTCTTGCCCTTGTCGTTCATGAAACGCGCTGCAATGTCTTTCCAAGCAAGGTTCTCGTCCTCTTTCAATTGTACGAGAAATCGATCATCCTCGCTCAAGTCTGCCTGCGATGCTACCGAGGTCGCTCGTTTTCGGCGCTTGCCAGCCGATGATGGTAGGTCAAGTTCTGTTGCTTCGTCCCGCTTGCGCTTGATTATCTCACCAGCCGGACTTGGTGCAATCGAAGCAAAGGCTCGTCGAGGTTGGGGTTGTCGGAGCTCTGGGGGACTTGATGTGCTATAGTGGTCATCTGTCGGATAGGTCTGGAACACGTTGGGTGGAAATGTTGATGTAACTGGTGGTGTGGGTTGACCGCCTGCAGTCGTGTATTGGATACCTTGAATTCCGAGCCCGCTGGTTGTTTGCCATGTAATGGTCTCTGGTGATGGGCCAAATGTGCTTGGGCTACTCCTCGGTCTCCCAGGGTCTTTCATCATCTGAGGATGTTGAGATTGGAGCGGCATATGTATTCCGCATGTCGCAAGATTGAGGTCAGGGACGGACGCCCTTGCGTATGTCGTCCATGGTTGGCTCTCGACTGTGGATGATGGGTAAGGAGTGATGTATGAATCGTGGAAGCCACACTGCGAGCCATTAGATCCATGGAACCAGCATCGGGGCAGCTCGACTCCGCGAATGGCGGCGTTGAGCACAGGCAATTGACATACTGAACTTGGCGGTGCATACCATTCTGAGCCTTCGATGCCGGCAGTGGCATCAGGTCCCATGTGCGATGGGTCGATGGTGCCAGGCAACGTTGGAAATACCTGACCAGAGGTCATGTTGTCTGGCAGAAGAGAGAGTGTTGGTGGTGGCGAAAGAGCATGGAACGTGATAATCGGGAGGATGAGTATGCTGTCGATCGTGGTGATAGAAGACGGCTTGCGGAAAGCCTAAGGGAAGCAACACCATGCTGTGCGAGGCGGACGTGTTGGTGAATATGTAGGATGCGCTGCGAGTCCTTGCACCAGGCTAGGACCGTCAATCGACAGACGAAAGGCACAATGCATGCACGGGCACCAGGGCTGAGGTACAGAAGACAGGCTTATTTTCAGACGAGCGGGCGGGTCCCAGCAGCCGCGTGCCTCGCACCAGGGCGCCGCACAGGAGGCATAAGCTGCTGCTCTGTGCGCCGCCCGCCAGCCTGCGCGTGCGGTAGTGCTGCTGGCTGTTCGGCGCAGTATGGCAGGA